CTGATGAAATCACTACTGTTAGAGTAGAACTACCAGAAGAGAATTTGGATTTCTTCAACATTTATTTAGAAACTGGTATTTTATTTCTATTGCATTAATCACTCTGTTTGGGTTCCAAATTTTGATTATGTTTGTCGGTGGTGCTGCTTTTAGTATTGCAAAACAAACTCCTGGTATGTGGGCCACTGCTATTTTATGTGGGTTCATCAGTATTCCTGTTGGTTTAATCATTAGAATTATTCCAAATGTTTGGGTTGAAAAAATCTTCCCAACTAAAGCATTTAAAAAGTTCATTTATATTGTTGGATTTGGATGGCTCAAAAGAAAGAAGAAAGACAATGATTTAGAAGACAATAATAGCAACGACCTGGGCGTACGTGATTCCAAAGATTGATTACATATACATTATCGACGTCTTTCATGTATCATTATTACTTAAAATAAAAACTTTTTCTAAGTTTCATAGATTTATTGTGTTATTAGAATAATAAAGAAAAGCATTCTTTTTTCTAAAAATAAAAACTTTAACTTATTGCATCTATTCTTTTATATATGTATATATATTTAAATACAAGCATAAACTATTCAATTAGTTAACTTCTTAATTAAAAGTTTTCAATGAGTTCAAACATCTACAGTCAAGATAGTAATAACATTTTTATTTCTTTAAAAAAAAATATGAATTTTTCTTTCAATATATATTTTGATAACGATTTATAACTAAACCAATACACAATTTATAAAACAAAGAAAAAAAAAACCATAACTATAATATAAAGAACCGAAAATAATAAATCAATAAATTGATAATATAATTTGAAGAAAGCATAAAAGATTTGTAGATAAAAAAAATAAAGCAAATAACTAGCCGTATGATGAGGGTATCATGAAAAAAAAAACCTAATATAACTATTAATAAGTTAAACCGAAAATAATAATCATTAATCTAATAAAATAGATATAATAAAAACCGAAAATAATTCAAAATAAAAGGAAGAAGAAATCAATCCTCTTTTATTTTTCTTTTTCAATAGGATATAATATATAATCCTTGTAAATTTTTTTTTGATTTGTTTTTATAAGGGTAAAATGTATCAGAACATTTAAGCTCTAACACATTGACAAATCCAACCTGGTTGTGGAGTCCAAGTAACACCACCAGATGGTTCAGTTGGAGAACCTGATCCAGATGGAGAAGTACCGGTTGGTTCAGTTGGAGAACCAGAACCAGTTGAACCAGTTGGAACACCAGATGGACCAGTTGGAACTGGAACAGTAATAGTGTTTGGACCTTCAGTTAAAGTAACAGTAGTAGTGTAACCTGGACCGGAAATAGTTTCAGTGGTCTTTTCAGTAGCAGTAACAGTGATGACACCACCAGTTGGTTCAGTTGGAGAACCAGAACCAGTAGAACCAGTTGGGGAACCAGAATCAGTTGGACCGGATGGAGAACCAGAACCAGATGGAACAGTGATGGTGTTTGGACCTTCAGTCAAAGTAACAGTGGTGGTAAAACCTGGACCAGAAATGGTTTCAACAGTACTTTCAGTAGCAGTAACAGTGACGACACTATCAGTTGGAGCTGGACCAGTTGGGGAACCGGAGCCAGTGGAGCCAGTTGGAGAACCAGATGGAACAGTAATAGTGTTTGGACCTTCAGTCAAAGTAACGGTGACAGTGTAACCTGGACCAGTGATGGTTTCAGTGGTCTTTTCGGTAGCAGTAACAGTGATGACACCACCAGTTGGGACTGGACCAGTTGGGGAACCAGAACCAGTGGAGCCAGTTGGAGAACCAGATGGAACAGTGATGGTGTTTGGACCTTCAGTCAAAGTAACGGTGACAGTGTAACCTGGACCAGTGATAGTTTCGGTGGTCTTTTCAGTAGCAGTAACAGTGATAACACCACCAGTTGGAGCTGGACCAGTTGGAGAACCAGAACCAGTGGAGCCAGTTGGAGAACCAGATGGAACAGTGATGGTGTTTGGACCTTCAGTCAAAGTAACGGTGACAGTGTAACCTGGACCAGTGATAGTTTCAGTGGTCTTTTCGGTAGCAGTAACAGTGATGACACCACCAGTTGGGACTGGACCAGTTGGAGAACCAGAACCAGTGGAGCCAGTTGGAGAACCAGATGGAACAGTGATGGTGTTTGGACCTTCAGTCAAAGTAACGGTGACAGTGTAACCTGGACCAGTGATAGTTTCGGTGGTCTTTTCAGTAGCAGTAACAGTGATAACACCACCAGTTGGAGCTGGACCAGTTGGAGAACCAGAACCAGTGGAGCCAGTTGGAGAACCAGATGGAACAGTGATGGTGTTTGGACCTTCAGTCAAAGTAACGGTGACAGTGTAACCTGGACCAGTGATAGTTTCGGTGGTCTTTTCGGTAGCAGTAACAGTGATGACACCACCAGTTGGGACTGGACCAGTTGGAGAACCAGAACCAGTGGAGCCAGTTGGAGAACCAGATGGAACAGTAATAGTGTTTGGACCTTCAGTCAAAGTAACGGTGACAGTGTAACCTGGACCAGTGATGGTTTCAGTGGTCTTTTCGGTAGCAGTAACAGTGATGACACCACCAGTTGGGACTGGACCAGTTGGAGAACCGGAGCCAGTGGAGCCAGTTGGAGAACCAGATGGAACGGTGATGGTGTTTGGACCTTCAGTCAAAGTAACAGTAACAGTGTAACCTGGACCAGTGATAGTTTCGGTGGTCTTTTCGGTAGCAGTAACAGTGATAACGTCACCAGATGGGAATGGCATAGTTGGGAGACTGGTAGATAAACCGGAACCAGTTGGGCCAGTGATGGTGTTACCACCTGGGGTTAAGGTGAAAACAGTAGTGTAACCTGGACCAGTAACAGTGTAGACGGTTTCACTTGGGACACTAACAGTAGTAGCGGAACCTGGTGGAAGAGTGGTTGGAACAGTTTCGGTACCTGGACCAGTTGGGCCGGTTGGTTGAGTTTCAGTTTCAGAACCTGGACCGGTTGGAACAGTAACGGTGTTGGTACCTTGAGTTAAAGTGATGGTAGTAGTGTAACCTGGACCGGAAACAGTGACAGTGGTTGGTTGTGGAACAGTTAAAGTAACAGTGGAACCTGGTGGTAAGGTGCCTGGAACAGTTTCAGTACCTGGACCAGATGGACCAGTTGGTTGAGTTTCAGTTTCAGTACCTGGACCGGTTGGTTGAGTTTCAGTTTCAGTACCTGGACCAGATGGACCGGTTGGTTGGGTGACAGTAACAGTGTTGGTACCTGGAGTCAAAGTGATGTAGGTAGTATAACCTGGACCAGTGACGGTAACAGTGGTTGGTTGTGGAACAGTAACAGTGACAACAGTACCAGTACTTGGAATGTCGGTAGTTGGGATAGAAACAGTGGTTGGAACAGTTTCAGTTTCGGTACCTGGACCGGTTGGTTGAGTTTCAGTTTCAGTACCTGGACCAGATGGACCGGTTGGTTGGGTGACAGTAACAGTGTTGGTACCTGGAGTCAAAGTGATGTAGGTAGTATAACCTGGACCAGTGACGGTAACAGTGGTTGGTTGTGGAACAGTAACAGTGACAACAGTACCAGTACTTGGAATGTCGGTAGTTGGGATAGAAACAGTGGTTGGAACAGTTTCAGTTTCGGTACCTGGACCGGTTGGTTGAGTTTCAGTTTCAGTACCTGGACCAGATGGACCGGTTGGTTGGGTGACAGTAACAGTGTTGGTACCTGGAGTCAAAGTGATGTAGGTAGTATAACCTGGACCAGTAACGGTAACAGTGGTTGGTTGTGGAACAGTAACAGTGACAACAGTACCAGTACTTGGAATGTCGGTAGTTGGGATAGAAACAGTGGTTGGAACAGTTTCAGTTTCGGTACCTGGACCGGTTGGTTGAGTTTCAGTTTCAGTACCTGGACCAGTTGGTTGAGTAACGGTAACAGTGTTGACACCACCAGTCAAAGTAACAGTAGTAGAGAAACCTGGCAAGCTAATTGTTTCTGTGGTTGGGTATGGAACAGTAACAGTGACAACAGTACCAGTGCTTGGAATGTTGGTAGTTGGAATAGCTGGACCAGTTGGTTGAGTTTCGGTTTCAGTACCTGGACCGGTTGGTTGGGTTTCAGTTTCAGTACCTGGACCAGTTGGTTGAGTAACGGTAACAGTGTTGACACCACCAGTCAAAGTAACAGTAGTAGAGAAACCTGGCAAGCTAATTGTTTCTGTGGTTGGGTATGGAACAGTAACAGTGACAACAGTACCAGTGCTTGGAATGTTGGTAGTTGGAATAGCTGGACCGGTTGGTTGAGTTTCAGTTTCAGTATCTGGACCAGTTGGACCGGTTGGGGTTTCTGGAACAGATGATGGAAGTGAAACAGTGGTGGTACCTGGGACAAAAGTCAAAGTAGTAATATAGTTAGGACCAGTGACAGTAACAGTAGTTGGGTATGGGACAGACAAAGTAACAGTGGAACCAACTGGAATTTCAGTAATAACAGTTGGAGTACTTGGAGCAGTAGCAGTTGAAGTAGTATAGATTGGAGTACCTGGAGGGGTAACAGTTTCAGTAACAGAGCCGGTGGTTGGAGTAACAGTAACAGTGGTTGGAGGAACGGTAGCAACGGTAGTACCTGGAGTCAAAGTGACAGTGGTAGTTATACCACCCCATGTAACAACACCAGTTGTACTACATGGAATAACGATGGTAGTATGGGTTTGTGGAACTCTGGTAGTACATGGCTTTGGTTTTCCCCAGCTACCCCATTTACCTGGTTTGTAGGAATAAGAAGGCTTTTGCTTTGGGTAAACACAACCTAAAAGCGATTCAACGACAGGAAGAAAACATGCTGATGATGACGAAGCAAGAACAGCTGCTGCTGCAACACTAGAAAGCTTCATTGTTTAGCGATTGATTCTGTTGACTAGTGAAGAACTGAAAAGATTTTCTAAAAAAAACCAATTGACCATTTGAGAGGATCATTTGCCAACTATTTATATTCCCATGATGATTTTGGATTTCTTGTGTGGAATAATAGAAAGGTTGATGGGGAGGGTATAGGAATTGGCACTTGATACAATTTGAACAATGATGAAAAGAGGAGCAAAAACTTGTTTCCGTGATCGCATACCCATACATTAACTGTGGATCATTATAATTGTGCAATTATTTTCAATACATCTGGATTAAACTGTGATAATTCACCCAATGCCAAAAAAAAAATAATAATAAAAAGCAACAAGCATGTTTAGGTTTTGGGATTAAATGAAAGGGTATTGTGTACGCAACCTGAATTTGCAGCAAAATAAAATAAAATAAAATGAAATAAAATGAAATGGATCCATCAAAGGGAAAGCACCATAGTAATGTTTTTGTGTAACTATAATAGTATGGGATATTCAACATACCAACTTGAAGTTGAAACAAAAAATACAAAAAAATTGGGCAAAGTATTGAAAATCATTGAGGGAAAATAAACAGTTTTCACTCTTCCTACTTCATTGTTAATCTCATGTTAATCCTAGATTTGCATTCATTGGCTACCCTGTGATTCATGATATTCGAGAATGACATCGTCTAACTTATGGGTGAATTGTCAATTGAATGTTTGAAATGAAAGAATTATTGAGTGGGTGATTTGAGATGTTTTGTTTATTTGATTTGGAGAGATGACGTGTGCGTTGGCCAAAAAAAAAGAATGAAAACTTTTTGAGGTGGTGGAATTCAGTTTTGGTAATTAGGATAGGTCGTGTGGAATGGTGAGAAAAATGAATTTTTATTTTCTTTTTTTTTTTTCTTTCTGAGGGGGGTCACAAGAATTTGCAGCAAATTGAAATGTAAACATGGGCGTTAAGCAACAGTATTTGATTTTCAATTGAATGTTGGAATAGTAAGACAACGAATCCACTGGGTACTGTAACCAAAAATAGAACGATCGTAGCAGAAAAGAGAGAGAGAGTAAATGGAAGATATAAAAAAAGAAAAGACGATTATTATTATTAATACTATTTTAAGTCATATTGCACATGTTTGGCAGGTTCAAACAGTAAACTATTCAGTCTTAATTATTGCTTCTTCTGCCGTAAATCTACTCAATAGTTTTGGCAGGAAGCATACAATAGTTTAGCTTTAAATTGAATTCTGTTGAAAGATTTGCAAGGCAAGTAGTATGATATTACTGGCTCTATACATTTTAAATAACCTGCGACCGCCTAAAGAGTTTGATCCACGATGAATGTGTAACAATTTAATCATGTTCTTGATGAAAAAGTTTAAACGACGAGTGATGGTTCTTTAATTACTTTTCTAAATTTGGATTATTCATCGGATGATTTTCCATTTGAATTTTTTTTTATTTTTTTATTTGTAAAAAGGGATATAACTTCAATCTAGTTTTCATTCACTCAATGATTTTTTGGGGTGAGCTTTTAGGATTCGATATTCAGCATGTATGGCGAATGCTAAGATTATACGCGGTACCTAACATCATTTGAAAGGGGGGTGGAAGTAAATTCTTCCCAGTTTGTAAATTATTCTTCCAATTCTATAAACCCTTGCTACCTCCTTTCATACGCAGCGTTTCAGGCTTGGACATTTTACGTGCCCAATGAGCCTCAAATATAACATACTCGTATCATTGACCAATAAACATGAAATTATGTCACTTTTTCTTTGTGCTTTGTGAAAGGGATGAGTTTGGAAAGGTTAACAAGATGTTTGGGGGTAGTTGTTGATGGTGTGGTTTTTTTTTTTATTTTTTTTTTTTGATAGAATTTCATTTGATACAATTTCATGTTTGAGTTCACCAATAAAATATGCAAGCCTTCAGAATTCAGATTTGCAACAATCTTGAAAAGTTAAAAATGGTAAATAATAATCAATTCAAACAATTAAAGAAAGCAAACTTAAAAATAGTGTGGTTTCCATACTTGAGTTTCCAAATAAAATTTGATTGTCGGGGGTTCTATCAGTTAATGTTTCATAACTATTACTGCAATGTCATAGATTCAAGGCAACTTATGTAAATTGTGGATGAGCAATTTGAGTTGCGGTTCCTTTATCCACTAATATTATTTTATTATCATCGCCTCTTTTCTTTCTCCCCCCTTGCTCAATCCCTTTCTCTCCCATAATTAATTGAAAGGATAACTTATTCTTGAATTCGCCATAATTACAAAACAAAATTAAAAGCAACAAATCAAGAATACGAATTTCATCCCCTCCCCCTTGATTTAAAGATTAATAAGTCGGAAAATAAAAGGGAGTAATTAGAATTACTATACAATTAAACTAATGACCATGGCTTGATAATAATTACAACTTCTCCGTAAAATAATGATTAAATTTGGAACCAGCACTAAAATTGCATGAAAAAATTCTGAAACAATACTTGTTAATCACATTGAATACATACTGGAAATAGTGGTTTGAGTTAATACTTTATTGATCTACAGTGTTTTTTTTTTAAGCTTTAACGATAATCGTACCCAGTATTTTAGTTTTGTGTTTTGATAAGAAGAAAATCCATCGATTAAAGTTCATATCGCACTGATAATCAGAAACTTCTTTTGAACTAAAATTTCTTCATGATTTATTGAATTTTTTCAATGAAAATACCATCACCCCGTACGATAAACTCTTCTAGAAATATATATATAAAAAAAACATCTACAAGGGTCTAAATCATCTTCTAATGACCTTGTAAATCATAAAAAAGATCCGTGAATAATCACCAATCTTCGATTGTCGTCGAAGCATTCCCCCTATTTAGTTAATTCTTCCTTCGGTTTTATTCTATTCATATCCAGATAACGGTGTAACCATTGGAACCACTGTTGTATCAATGATCAAAGTTGTTAAAGTCCGTTGGAATAATGGATTTTGATAAGAGTGATAGAATACATATGGCATGCAAGTCACGTTATCCGGAGCATCCTTCGGAACAAATTTTTGTTTGTTTGTTGAAATCAATGCGAAATTTTTCAGTGACAAACAAAAACCATTACCGGATTTGAAGATAAACACTCAGTCACTCAATCACTCACCCACACACAGAGAGAGAGAGAAAGACCCACACACGATTGAGAAATTATAGTCATACTTTCTTATCTTGTATTTTATTGTTTTGTTGAAATTTTCCCACAATAAAATCATCATTATAAATACTTCAACAACGAATCTACTTTTGTTTAACTAAACTCTTTTTTTTATCTTTTTCCCCCCTTTTTTTAATTACTGATATAACGATTAATTATGACTCAACAAGAAACATTCAAAGTATGCGTATTTTGCGGATCTTCATTTGGAAATAAAGCCATTTATGCTGAAGAAGCATCTAAATTTGGTATTGCATTGGCCGAAAAGAAATGGGGATTGGTTTATGGTGGTGGATCTACAGGATTAATGGGTGCTGTAGCTAGAGGTTGTGCTACTAATGGAGGATATGTTCATGGTGTTATTCCAGAAGCTTTGATTAGTAGAGAAAGAACCGATGAAGAAACTTTGAATGATAAATTGAAAAAATCAATTGATAATCATGATGGATCTACTCCTATTCCTGATTCTAGTCAATATGGGAAAACTACATTGGTTAAAGATATGCATACTAGAAAACGATTAATGGCCCAAGAATCAAATGCATTTGTTGCATTACCAGGTGGTATTGGTACAATTGATGAATTGGCAGAAATAACTACTTGGTGTCAATTGAATGTTCATGCAAAACCAATTGTTATTTACAATATCGATGGTTATTTCGATAATTTTTTGAAAACAATTCAAGGTTTTTGTTGATTGTGGATTCTTGAGTGAAAAGAATGGTCAAATTATTAAAGTTGGTAATACTGTCCAAGAAGTTCTCGACATTATCGAAAGTTACGAAGTTCCAGAAGGTAGATTCAACTTAAAATGGGAAACTACTTAGAGTCTGGATATAGAGTCGTATGTATTTATAAGCATTTTACAGGTTATTCAATCAAAATATGTAATACAAAGCACGTTTATTGTGTTACAATGCCAGTATTTTCTTGTCAGAATTCCGAGATGCACACGTGCCAGATTTAAATCTCGGAACAATAAATTAATTAACAACTCCATCGGCGCGCTTAGACATTTCAAACTTCCTCCTAGAATACACAACATTTATTAAAAATGTAAACTTTTATCCAATATGACAAAATATACACAAGAACTGAAAATAAATAATAATAAGCTAACAAAAATAAAACACAAATCAATACTCTATCAATAATCTATTACTAAACTTTCTAATGAGGATTAAACTCTTCGTCATCTTCATCATTAACATGAAACAAGTCTTCAAATTCATCATCTGGAATTTCAACTTGTGATAAATAACCAGTAGCAACATCATACATCATACCCCAAACTTCAATTTCACCCTTTTTCAAAGCCATACTGGCACTTGGGTGTCTTTTCAAAGCAGTAACTGAAGCAATAACATTCAATTCTGCTAATTTTTTAGCCTTTTCTCTTGGTTTATCATTTAATTCATTAAGTAGTTTCAAATTTGCAGCTCTAGTATGTCTAACAGGATTCAACCATAAATCTAAAACACCACCAATTTTCTTTTTAGATAATGATGCCCAAATACCACCACAATCAGTATGACCACAAACTATAATTTTACGAACTTTCAACACATCAACAGCAAATTGAATAACACCTTGACTACTAATATCATTAGCATTAACAATATTAGCGATATTTCTATGCACGAAAATTTCACCTGGTAAAGTAGCTAAACATTGTTCACCAGCTCTTGAATCACTACAACCAATCCATAATGTATGTGGAGTTTGACCTTTACCATTCAAATAAAAGATATCATTTCCATGATTATGATCTATAGAATCAACAAAATATTTGTTATTATGCAAATAATCTTGTAATGTAGAATCTGGAGATAATGTGAAAGGGAAATTAGTATGGGTACCAGAAACTCTGACTGGTCTAATTGGTTTATTTTCTGGAGTAGTAGTACCACTTGGTGGTGATATAGAAAGATCAGTTTCATGATCATGTTCTAATTGATACTTCAAGATGTTTTCTCTACCCATTTTATGACTAAACTTTGAAAATGATCTTAATTGATGATGAGGAAGATGTAGGTGACCGAAGACAGATCTGAATCGTAGCGACAACACTTTGGTTAAGATATTAAAAAAAAAAAGGAAGGAAGAACAGAAATATATATAACAAAAAAAATAAAATAAAATAAATAACCGAATCAAACAAGGTTAAATAGGAGAAATTGACAATAGTTTATATGTAAACTATCAAATGTTAAGGATTTATATAACCGAAGATAACATATTGAAATGTTGAGTTACATTTGCAAAAAAATTTTTTTGTTTTTACACTTTTCGTTTACGTTATCAGAAAACCCAACACAATAATTGGTGTGCTTAGTCATAATCATAATGAAATCTTTAAAATTGATTTTGTATTGGCAATTGTGGATGAGCTGTATAATTGACTCCCAAATTTTTCTTTCTTTTCTTTTTTTTTTGGCTAGTACTGTATTATTATTATCGTGAGTTCATGTTGACGTAACTGATATTACAGTAAAATTATTGCAAAAAATCAAATCGGGGTTATTTTTTACATGTTAGCAATGACCAAATCCGTAACCTGTAGAAACCAGGGGGGAAAAATGTAAAAAATCAGTCTTCCATTGTTCTCGGAAGAATGAACACGAAAAAAAAATCTTCTATTAGGTTTGAATTTGTGCACGTGATGTAGAATACCAAAATAGGAATTATATACCCAAAGTGGTGTTCATAACTAATGTTGCCCGCGTTTCTACACGACAACGCGTCGTGCAATGATTTTGGATTCTTTTTTTTTTGTCTTACTTACTTACAAGCATATTATTTGATAGTTTGATTTATAACCAACCTTCAACTATGACTACGAGTCCACCAATAGAAATATCTGACGATGACGAATCAGAGTTAAAACAAATTATTGAAGATGAAAAGTTGACTAATGGTGAAGATCAATCAAAACAAAAGGAATTTAATCATTTATCAAGAGATAGAAAACTTGATCGATTGAATAATCTTATTGAAAAAAGTCAAATCTATTCAAAGATTATAGCCGACAATATCTTACAATCCACATTAGAAAGTAAGAATAAACAATCAGAACCAGTACTAGAACCAGTACAAAAAGAAGAGGACCAACCAAGGAGAAAAAAGAGAAGGACAAAAACTAGTGGAAATAAAGATGTGGTTTCGATGTTAACCAACAATATTTCAGAATCGACTAAATCAACTCGTGAAGCTATAGAGAAATCACAAAGTTCGGGTAAAAATGACAGACCTCAACCTAAATTAATCACCGGTGGTACATTAAAAGATTATCAGTTGGATGGTTTACAATGGTTGGTTACATTGTATGAAAATGGGCTTAATGGGATATTAGCCGATGAAATGGGGTTAGGTAAGACATTACAATGTATTTCATTTTTAAGTTATTTAATTGAAAATGGAATTAAAGGTCCTTTTTTAATTGTGGTGCCGATTTCTACTTTACATAATTGGTATAATGAAATTCAAAAATTTGCTCCAAAAATTAATGCATTCAAATATATTGGTATCAAGCAAGAAAGAGCCACCATTAATTTAAGCAAATTAACTAAAACCAATCAAATATTTCTTACTTCATATGAATTGTCAATTCGTGATTTTAAGAAATTGAGTTCGGTTGATTGGAAATATTTGATTGTTGATGAAGGTCATCGTTTGAAGAATAGTCAGTGTTTATTGATTAAAGTTTTAAAGAAATTAGATGTTCCCAATAGGTTATTACTTACCGGGACTCCCTTACAAAATAATTTAAACGAGTTATGGTCTTTATTGAACTTTATCCTACCTGATATATTCCAAGATTTAGAATTGTTCCAACAATGGTTTAATTTTGATGAATTGACTAGTTTTGCAGCAAACAATGATGATGAAGACGATACCAATGATGAAGATGATGAAGAAACTAAACGCATAATCAAGAAAAATATCCAAGAGACGTTGGTCAAGAATTTGCATACTATTTTGCAACCATTTATATTAAGAAGAGTTAAACGTGATGTAATTACGAACTTGCCACCAAAGAAAGAGTATTTGATACGTATTCCATTGACAAAATTGCAAAAGAAAATCTATTCCGATGCATTAGATAATAAATTGTTTGAAAGTTTAGTGAAAGTTCACTTGAAGGAGTTTATTCAGTATCACCATAAAGACTTATTTGAAGGATTTGATATTGATGGTTACTTAGCGACCAAAATAGAGAATAACCTGATGGCCGAAATGGGATTCAATATACAAGGGAGACGAGGACACCAAGAGATCTCATATAAAGAAGCAGAAAGTGATGACGAATTTGAAATAGAGGCTGCTCACACCTCCAAGATTAAAGATACCTCGTATGAAGAGGCAATTGAAAAGTCCAAAAAAATGAGATCCGTTGGGGCCAAGCAAAAGGTAATCATTGATGCATTGTATGATAGAGTAAATTCTCATACTAGACGATTAAAATTGCAGAACATCAAGGTGATACAATTGAGAAATATTTGTAATTCTCCATATATGTATTATGAACCATTTGCTGATGATAGTGATGAGAGTACTGATAAATTTATGGAAGTACTCAAGAAAAATCTGTGTAAATTTCAAATGTTGGATCAATTACTTTCGAAATTGTTACCAAATGGGCACAAGTTGCTTATTTTTTGCCAGTTTACCAAAGTTATGGAATTATTAGAAAGTTATTTTGATTATTTTGAAATCAAGACATGTTATCTTGATGGGACGGTTAGTCATGACATAAGACAAGAACAAATTGATGATTTTAATAATGATCCAGAAAGTAAAATATTTTTATTATCTACTAGAGCAGGTGGATTAGGATTGAATTTAACAGCGGCAGATACGGTAATTTTATGGGATTCAGATTGGAATCCGCAAGTTGACTTACAAGCAATTGATAGAGTGCATAGAATTGGACAAACTAAACCCGTTAAAATTTATCGATTTATGGTGAAGGATTCAATTGAAGAGATTTTATTGAGTAGATCAGGAAGTAAGAGAATGTTGGAGAAATTAGTAATGAAATTTAGTGGTGCTAACAAGAATGATAAGGAATTCAATGTTAATCAAATCATGGAGTTAACTAGGCTTAATTTTAGATCAAGCGATGCTAATGGAGACCAGAGTGACGATGATGATAAGGAACAAGTGCTTTTGAGTGAAGAAGAATTGAATGAATTAATGGATAGATCAATCGGGTGTTATAACTCTTCTGATGATACTAAATTTGAAAGAATTAAAGTATTTGAGACTGTTAATGGTATGGATAATTAGTATTTGTCAATATGAAGTTGATATTAATAAAGAAACACTATATTCTGAAAAACAGTGTGTAATGTAGGACATGTTTTGTTTGGGTTATTTTATGGAGAGACCCTCTTATCGCATATCCTGCATATTATTGAATTAATCACCTGACCATTTTTTTTTATTTTTTTTTTTTTTTTGTTTGTGCAGTATAAATAGTCGATGATTTTTCCCTTTGATATTAATTTTACAATGATTGTTTAAAGTCATTGTTAGTGATGTGGTGGATTTCTTGATTTAAGTTCATGTATGAATTTTGATAGGGATGCTGTTTGTGTTTTAATAATCTAGCTATCTATTCAATTTATGAGTAGATAACTAGGTATACAGTGTGTTGTCTTATCTTGATTATTGTAGCATGTATTTCATTTTTGGTAGTTGTTTCTATTAACGTTTTGAATAAGATAATTCTAGCATTTATTTAATATATAATTACAGATTCCTTTTTTTGTTTTGGATATTTCAAATAATTATTTCATTGATTATTGTAATTGTAGACATGATTTAAATAGACTCTCTTGTACCCATTGATTTGTGATAAAAATAATAATAAGAAAATTGTTTATATATTTTTTTTTACACCCATTTATTTATACATAAAATAAAATAAAATAAAATATAAAATAAAAACCTAAACTAAACATCTAAATAATAATAATAATGATAATAACCTCCATACTCTTATAGTAATCTTTTTCTTGCTATAATTGCTTGATGAACAGCACCATAACTCCAAGTTAATTCTGAAGCACCTTGCATATATCCATTAATTTTATTAAATTGTTCACTTAATTCACCATTTGAACCAATATGTTTATGAACAACTTTCAAAAAACCATCAGCATAATTAAACATTTTATCAATCATAAGTAAATAACTTTTTGAATTATATTTAATTATCAATTCTTCAAATTGATCATTATCATCATTATCATCATTATCATCATTATCATTCTCATCATTTGAATTATTGGAATTATCTAATGGAAGAAAAATTTTGAAAAAATCAATATTTGAATTATTTATAATTATATCTTTTTTATTTGTTTTCAAATCTTTAATTAATTTATAAATTAATTCACTTGCAGTTGAAGTACTTATAAACCAAGGATTTCCTTCAGTTTGATGATAACCATCATAAATATCTTCAGGATATCTTCCTAATGCAACCCCCAAAAAATTATCTTGAAAATTTATAGGATATCTAAATTTCATATCTGATATTAAAGAACTTAAAGTAGTTAAGATATAACCATTATCAATATTAAAAGGAATTGAAGTTTCATTATCTTCATGAGTATATAAACTTGCTAAAATCGTAGCAATATCTAATCCATTTCTTTTACCAATATGATAAAGTGAAGGACCGGAAACAATATAAGGTTTAAATGGATTTATAAAACCAGAATCATGATTTATAAAATTTAATAAATTATTAATAGTTTCACTCAATTCATTTTGAAATTCAATTGAATCATTGAAAAGTTTAGCATATTTTAAACCTAATGATAAACTTTTAAGTTGTACTAAAGATGTGAAAAAATGATAATCATAAATTTCTTCCCATAAATCAAATCCTTTTTCATGCCAATATTTAATTGTATAAATTAAATCAGGTTTTATGGCTTCATAATAAATAAAACTTGAATTATATAAAGTAGATTGTTTTTCAACTGGTAATGAATATTCATACAATACATTTAAATAATTCATTATTGAAATAGCTCTTAATGCTGGTCCATCACGTTGTGGTCTACCCCAATTCCCATTATAATTAGTTAAATTGGTTTCAAATTTAGGTTCACCTAAATTTCCATAATCTTCAACAGAGCCAGATCTATTTGGAATTTTTTGTAAAATTAAAGTATTTTCAATATAAGATTCAATTATATTAATTAATGAATGATTTTTAGGATTTAAATAAACTTGTTCAGTTATTAAATTTAAAGTAATTGCTGCATCTCTAGTCCATTGATAATAATAATTGGGATTTTCTTTAGATGGTGAAGCAATTATAACCCCTGGTAATAAATCCTTATCAGTTGTGAAATCACCTCCTATATTGTTTAAAATTGACCTCAAACACACGTCCTCTTGATAAATTAACCAATCCTCAAATGAATTAGGAATTGAAGCGGTATTACTACTACTACCATAAGAAAATAAAGATTGTGGGGGGTATTGAAATGGGATAAATAATGAATTTATGAAATTAAATTGAAATATAAATATTGTAAATGACAATAAACGAAATGATCTCATAATGACTCGATAAAGAAATGTGAAACAAAATAAATATAGTTAATATTGGTGGTGGGGAAGAAAGTGGGAAGGAATTAAAAAATGTTCTTCTTTAAAGAAAAAATTGAGAATTTCTCTTGTAACTTTATACGGATTATCTCTTTTTATTTTGTTAAGTTTAAACTATTGTTGTAGTTCTAGTTGTTGTTGTTGTTGTTGTTATCTTTGATTGTGATGTGTTTAAAAAAATTTTTTTTTTATTGGGACTTCTTAATATTGCTATAATTAAACACTGTGTATATGCATGTGGCGTTTAAGAAGTCAAATGAGAAAATGGAAAAATAAAACAGTATTTGATATTGAGACAATGTAAAAAAAGCAAGCAAAATAAGAAACACACCAACGGTACTACTGATAAATAACGGGTAATGTTGATAGATTTAAAATTGCTATAATGATGTAATATGAATCTTTTAATGTTTTGATACCAGGAAAGATTATCATAAATTTTATAAATATCTCTTTTACCACACTTTTATAAAATGGTCGACAGATGATTTTGTGAATATTTCTATAACTAAAACAGAAAAGAAGAAACAACGAAATATATATATGTATAGATATTTTTAAATTTTTTGTAATGATTTGGTAATGAAAGGAAAAAATTTTTTTTTTTTTTTTCTGAAATCTGGGGAAGATCAAATAAAACAAAACAAGAAAACAATAGTGGGGGAAATTGCGGAAAAACTAGCCTTCACAGGTCACGTTTTCAGATTACATGCAGGATATAGCCATTTAAAGAAAACGTGACTAACTTATAACAATATAAAAAAATTTTTCACCATCATCATCATTTGATAATGATATTGGAGAAACCCACGTGAGTTCACGAATTCTAACCATCAAATAATATAACCCGTTACAAGTTAATGTTGAATGAAAAAATTTTTTTTTTTCAATTTATATTGCGTGTATTAAATTGCAAGGTCATTCGTGTGACTAAAAAGTCTGGAGAAGAATGAGAAAAAAATTTTTCTTTTGATGATATTTTGCATGGTTTCAACATTACAACTGTCGTCGTTATGTATTCAGACTGTACCGTTTTAGTTAGTCTTGCTGCATCAACATTCTTGTTCGTTATTTATTTACTCGTTATTGTTGTGAAATAGAACCGCGCTGAAAGTTTAAAACAACCCCATACTGTAATCGTACCAACTTTTAGTATTTGCTTTGAATTCTATACACTATATTCCCCACATTTCGTCTTTGCATTGTATTCCCCTCCTCTAGCTCATATTTATACAAATATGAGTAGTAATTTACGCATTGTGTAAGTGGTATTCGGGATTTAGGACAATTGATCTCTCGTATTCAGGTGTATCACGTGCACTTGGTGGTAACACAGAGGGTACCAAGTGACACAAACAAACAACAATGCAGTGGAAAGCAAAGCAAAGCAAAGAAAAGGAATAAGCGGCGGCAGGAGATGTTAAATTCTTTAATAAAAAATTAATCCCGGATTTGTGAATTCAATGATTATTGGTCTATTGTTTGACTTTTTCTTTAACAGAAAGATGAACAAATTGAAAGGACCACCACAATCCCATGGTAAACAACATGTGTATGACTCAAAATATCACTAGAGAAAGAAAAATATTAGCCAATATTGTAACCAATGAAAATGAAGTTACACGTAAAGAAGACGAAGAAGAAGAAAAAAAAAAAAAGTCATCTCATCAGTAAAAGAAAAATATTGTGCTTATACTCGCATATATGAACTTTAACAACTCCGACTATACCAATAGGTCTTTTAACGAAATTATATATATGTAAATAGTATAACAAGCGAGAGAGAGAGAGAAAGAGAGAGACGTTGTATTGACCGTGACAAGAAGTAATAATATCTACACATTGGCGATAAATAATAATAAAAAAGAAACGGAATTAGAAAATTATTAGAGCCTATTGCAGTTCCCCAGAGCCTACAAACTACAAAGAATCTAAATTGTATACCATAAAATGAAACAATTTATTATTACTTCACATAAATTATTATAAATTTACAAAAAAAGAAGAAAAGGAATCAAATTTTCTTCAACGTTTTGTTTTAATTTGCTTTTTCTTTAGTAAAATCTTGTACAGGAAATATTAATGGTAAGTTTATTTTTATTCATTTGTTCCTGTACTTATGGCCCTTTCGTAGGATCAGATCAGAGCAGACCCCGAAAAGAGAATTAAACTGATCGTCAATACAAATATTAGGCAACAATGATCATACATGTGCAACTTTTTTGTTAAGGTTAGTGAACCTAAATCTTGAATGATAACAGGTTAATAAGATTAACAGAAAGGTAATGTTATGAATAATATTTTAGAAATCAAAAAATAATTACCAATTAGAAATTACCAATTAAAACCCCGTGGTTTTCTTTTTTACTTTCCTTTTTAATCTTATTTTTCTTTATGTTATTTACGTTAAATCGATTGTGGTTTGATATTGTGTACTAATATTTAGGTGTGGACAATAAAATTGTAACGGCATTAAAATGCCAAAAATGATAAATCCGATTGAATTAATTTCATGGTAGCAATTTTGTATGCAGTACCGCACATTCCCCCATATTATGGAGTCCCCTTAATATTTTTTTTAACTCCTTATTAATTTTGCGTAAATTGCTACACACAGTAAATAATCCCATCAGCACAAGAATATTCATCCAATTAAAATAAAATAATACGTTTACTATTGAAGACGACGACGACGATGATGATGTTGTTGTCTTTTGTTGTAGCTCTACCAATAGGAATAATAAAATTTCTTTTAAGATGGTTAGAAATGAATGAATAAGAAAACTTACGTGATTGAACAGCCACGTACTTCACACATGTACAATCACTGGAAACAATTATTGTTTGTGGTTCATTCATTTATATAAAACCATTCAAGGATTTAAATTAAATAATGTTAAATTTATAATCCGTAATAGTAAATTGAAGCATGTATAAATAGGATAGAAAGAAGGATTTAAAATTTTTTTTATTATTGCAACAACCATAAAATTTTATATAAGCATCCAGGTAAAAAGCCTTTTCATATATATATATATATATATCTATCTTGCCTTCTCGCATTCTGTTATTATCACGTGTGGTATTCTGATTGATTAGAAGAATAGTTGATTGGATTGTCCTTATTTCATATATCATATCATTTACAACCAACTTTTTTAAAAAGGCAAATTATAGATATATTTACAACCAACAATTTTTTTTATTTTTTGGTTTCTCTTTTGGCTGTTTGGCAGTTAATTGTTTACATTTTTTCGTTTTGCATTTCGGGGGGCTATCCCGGTATTTTAGAAAGCAAAAGCAAAAGCAAAAGAAAGAAAAAAAAAATTCAATCGCCATTTCTATCACTCAGTCACCAAAACCCAAAAACAAGAGAGAGAAAAAAAAAAAAAGTTTGACAACCAGATTTATCTATACATTTTCAACATTTACAACCACCACAACTAACAGCACCACATATCTATCACAACAAGCGAATTGTTATCATAATTATCACACTCTCATTTATAACATCCCTAGTTTGATTCCAACTTATAATGGAAAATAATCTATCAAAGCTAACATCACTTGCCTCACAATCAGATCTAAATATTAATTCTTCATCAACTTCTTCTTCTTCTTCACCAACAACTACTCCAAATAATGGTATAACACAAACCCAACCAAGCATTTCATCAGATGTGCCACCACTTCTTCCCACAGCACCTACTGTACATTCCTCATCTAATTCACCAATAACTACTACTACCACCACTACTACAACAACAAACACACATACATCTACTCCAGAAATAATAGCATCCCAACCTAGCTCAGATTCAAACTCAACCTCTACAAGTACTTCAAATAGTACAGCAGGGAAACCAAAGAGACAAAGAAGAAGTTATAGTTGTGGGCCATGCAAACTATTGAAAATCAAATGCGATTTACAAATACCTTGTTCGGCTTGTAAGAAGTTTAAAAGAATAAATCGATGTTTATTACAACCTCCTCAACCTCCTTCAGAACAGGAGTTGAACAAAATAAAAGAACGCAAAAAGAGATCAAATATCAAGAAAATGAGATTATCAAATGATTTTGTCCAGACTTATAATACCAGTTCCGATTGCATTCCTTCATTAGCAAGTTCTATAGATGCAACATCTTTGAATTTGGAAAAATTAAACCGTTTGGATGACAGTTCATTGAATTCGCATTCTCATAAAGGTCCATCAGCCACTTCGTCCTCATCTTCTTATACTAATACTAATAATAGTAATGGTAAAGGCAGTAAAAACACACATAATAACAGTGCATCCACTATTCCATCCCAAAGAGTTACCCATTCGTTGATTCAAATACGGCCACGTCAACCAAGATTCCAACCCGAAACTACGACAACAGAAAATTACCATTCCATAAACTTTTTAACTACACCAACTGCCAAAGGAGCAAATCAAACAACTGTCAATTTTGATGACAATATTCACGCGGGAGATATTATTGAGAATTTAGCTTCCCTAGATCGTCAACGATTCATTGATCTTACAATGGTTGATATCAAGAGGATAAAGAGACTTTTGCCTCGTGATTACAGCATATTTGAAACATTGGCCAAGTATTATTTAAATAGTGTCAATCCTATCTTGGTTGATCTTCAGGACCATACGGAAATTATGAATCAAAGTAAATTGACATATGATAAATTATTAGCAATTGATGATGAAAACCCCAAAAATTTAAGTTTGAATATCCCATTCAATTTAATTGAATTGAGAAATTTGAGCTTGCTGTTTTTAATTTTGGCAAATGGGTTGTTGTTTGATTTTCGTGATACTAGTGCGAATCCAAGTAATTTCCTTCTTGAAAAGACATTATACAAACCTAAAAAGGATATTATTGACGACTGGATTAAAATTTCCAAGTTTATTAAAGTTAAAGTTTTATCGTACGAAAGTTTAACTGATATTATTTTTTTAATGGACTGGTACTTGATTGCAAAGAATTTTTACGATTATAATAACATGATGGTCGATAACTATCTCGAGTATAATAATTTGTTAAACTATCTAGTTTTGAGTAATGATTTTATCAGTACCGTTGAAGACCCCAATAATGAAAATAGCTCATCTCCAGGACCAGAATGTTCCAAAGACGATAGTCCATATCCAGAATCGCGAGTGTTTAATGTATTGGCCAAATATTGGATACAAATCCGATTAGTTGAAATTGAGTTTACATTCTTTCAGTTTAAAGGATCATTATTGCTTTCAAATCAATTGAAAAACACGGTCGTTCCTCATAAAAAATTGTTGGATTTACTTTATAAACAATCTCAATTGGATTCAATTAGTCAAAGTACACTTGAAGTTTGGGGATTATACTACCGAAGATCAAGAAATACCACTTCTATCAGAGGTATTATCAAAGATTATTTACTATTGTATTCTTATATCCATGCAACATTGAAGAATGAATTAAAATTCTTGCAGGCCAATTTACCACCGCCAGATTCACCAGTCACATCACTCGAAGTTGAATTGTTGATCAAAAATCAACGTATTTTGTTGTTATTTATTAAATGGTTATCCTTCATCAGAATTGAATCAAACTATTTCCCAAGTTTAAGATACACAACATACTTAACCACAATCATGAATTTGTTTAATCATTTTCTATATTTAAATGGTAGATCCAATAATGCGATATTGACTACTATATTAACCAATTATTCCGCATGTTACATGAAACATTTTTACCAGTGTTTGGCCTTCCAAGGGTTATTTTTGGTATTATTGAAGAATTCCATTTCCACTCATAAATGTTTCAAGATTGATTTGCCAAAGATTTATCATTACATGGTGCAACAATTTCAAAGTGCATTGAGTGTATTTTTGAATAATGAAGATATTATAAAATTGAATGCAAACGTAACTAGTTTTGGTATTTGCTCAGGATTAATTACTGAGTTGAATAATTATATTAATGATTTCAATGAACCGATAGATGATTTGACTGATTTGATTTATGATTTAAAACCAAGAATAAGTGCCATAAACTGGGATTTTTTAATTGATTATTTCTTTGGATCAAGAGATAATTTTGCTAGATACATTGAAAAGATTTGGGACTTGTTTCAGTTTTTGAAGATTGATGATACTGATCTTAGTTACGAAGATACTGCCGAGTTGAAACACATTCCAATTACTCATAAAATTGATTTAAATGATCAATTAATTGATGAAAACCTTGGCAAATTCTCTGGATTTGAATTTGATACTGATATGGTGAATGATTATGTCAAACATTGTGTTGAACCAAATATCCACAACTAAATTTTAAAGACGAAGAAGAAGAACAAAGAATGACATATTTCTACAGATGTATTATTATTATATAGAATAAGTTTAATTATACACATTTTTGAAAAGTGTCTCCTGGTGTCATAACCATCTGATACGTTTTCAATCCATATATATATATATATATATCTGATCAATGGGGTATGCATGTTTCGTGGCCATTGATACAGAAGCATGGATCAAGTTATCTGTGATTTGATACCTGTGAAATAAATCGAGGGAGAGAAAAATCTTGGCTTAAAAAAAAAAAAAAGGAGCCCTGAAATTATGCACCAAAATAGATTTCCTTTGACCGCCATCAAACACACCTACAGTTGTCCCCAATAGATGAAATAACATAAGTTGCATCAGCCATGAATGAAATAATAATGAAAAATGTTCCTGATCTAATAAACCTATTCACTAGTCCAATCATCTATAATGATTCTCTTGTAACCTCGGGACTGCTACCTCCTCGTGGATCCATTACAGGAGATAAGAAACAAGCAAGTAATCCAACAGTATCCTTATCAGCAGCAGGTATTCGAGCATTAATTTATCAACTTCAATCATTATATCTTCGTACTCCTGTCAAATTATTTCGACCGTCCAGATTTGATTATCTTCGATATGTTAAAGCATTAGCTAATAAACATGATGATATTTCAAATAAACCTTATAGATTTCGTACTCATTCATCTATTGGAATGATCATTAATGTATTACGTACAGAAGGATGGAAATTTATACCTGATCAATTATTACCTCCATTAATTGCAAATTCAGCCACTGGGATTATATTATATACTACTTATTTAACAGTATTGGATCATTATACTAAAAGTCATGTAGCTTTAAATGGTAAGAAAAGAAATGATTTTAATTGGTATGCACCATTTGATACTTGGAGAGCAGGATTTGTTGCTGGAACAGTACAATCATTGGCAGCAGCACCGGTAGATGCAATTTATACAAGACTGACAGTACTGGAAATGTTGGAAGGAAATCATGATAATTTATGGAAATTTGGATTCAATAAATTAAAAGAAATTGGATTAGTTGGTGTATTTGCAGGTTATGGGTTTTCATTAATTAAAGAAAGTTTTGGATTTGCATTTTATTTTTCTACTTTTGAAATTGTTAAAACTCAAGGTTATAATTTAACTTATAGATTAATCATGTATTATAAAAAAAGTGAAGAAGCTATTAAAATGAAATTACAAAAATTATTTAAATGGGATGATGATCAAGTTGATGAAAAGTTGTTGAAATTGGAAAGATATAAACTGATGAAGATTTTAAAATCACTGTTTGTGTTATTGGCTGGTGCATCAGCAGCATTTTCATTATTAGCTATACAATATCCTATTTCTAAAGTTCAAAAAATTCATTTGTCTAGATTAGAAGCTTTAGATGTTTATAATCATTATAATGTGGCTAAAAATTCTGGAAATAGTAAACCTTTTTTCAAATTATATTATAATTCATATGTGGATACATATAAACAAGTTATGAGGATGAAAGAAAGAGCTAATATTACTTGGTTTGAAGCAGCATATTCTGGGTTTGTTAGAAATGCATTAACCACCATCCCAGCTACTTCTATTGCATTATTGGTGTTTGAAATTATGAGAACTAAATTAGCAGATAATTTTGAAGATTACAATGAAGTATTAGAAGCTTAAATTATTGTGTATATAGACTATTTTATTTATTAATTTATTTATTTATTTATTTATTAACAGTAATAATCAACTATTCAAGTTGACCGGTTTTTTTCAAGTAGGCGTTCCAACCGGCTTCTCTATATCTTTTACCTTCAACTTCAGGATCTCTTCCTTTACCAAATAATCCTCTACCAACGATAATAACATCAGTACCAGTACTTATAACTTCATCAACAGTTCTGTATTGTTGACCTAAAGCATCACCTTTATCATCTAAACCAACACCAGGAGTCATTATAATCCAATCAAATCCTTCATCATGACCACCCATATCACGTTGAGCAATAAAACCAATAACAAATTCTTTATCACTTTTAGCAATTTCAATAGTTTTATTAGTATATTCACCATAAGCTAAAGAACCTTTTGAAGATAATTCAGCCAACATTAATAAACCTCTTGGTTCATTAGTAGTTTCATCAGCTCCTTTTTTCAAACCTTCAACAACTCCTTTACCTGTAACTCCATGAGCATTAGTTATATCACTCCATGATGAAATTTTATAAACTCCTGAAGTATATTGTAATTTAACTGTATTTCCAATATCGGCAAATTTACGATCTTCAAAAATCATAAAATTATGTTTTTTAGATAATTCAATTAATGGTAAAATAGTACCTTCATATGAAAAATCAGATATAATATCAATATGTGTTTTAACAAGACAAATAAATGGTCCTAATTTATCAATAAGTGAAAGAAATTCTTTTGTTGTTGGAACATCAATTGATGCACATAAATTGGTTTTTTTACTTTCCATTAATTGGAATAAACGTTGTGCAACTTTAGATGGATGTTTAGATGCTCTTTCAGTATATGTTTCAGTATTAACCATTGTGTATATGTGTGTGTGTGTTTATGGATAGTAGTGAGTTTAGAGGGACTATCCAATTGGAGATGATAATTTTTTGACTTCTTTTTTTTTTTTTTTTTTTTACATTAATTCATCTCAATTATATAATCGAGATGACTCACGTGACTACGGTTTTTTTTGCTTTTTTTTTTTTGCTTTTTGCAACAAATTACACTTTAGGTATATAAATCGATATTTGCCTTATCTTGAATACTATAATACACTAAAAAAAAACACTCTTACTTAGATTCTTCTTCTTTAGCTGATACCTTTGGGTCTTCCTCTATTGGATCTTCCTCTGGCTGTTCCTCTGGTTGTTCCTTCGATTCCTCCTCTGGTTGTTCTTCTGGTGATTGTTCTTTTTTATCAGATTCCATAAACTCTTTCTTCAATTGTGGATAAATCTCGTCCATTTTGTCACATGAAGCTTGATAGATTTCTTTACTTTCTACTTCATCCAAAAATTTCATATTTTGTAATACTAAAATCATATTCTTGACTAATTCAATACTATTTTCATTATATTCAGTATTAGAAGATATTTTTAAATTCTTGAAATTTTCTAATAATCCGAACCAAATCTTTTCAATTTCGGCAAATTTCAAATCATCGACTTTCTTTAAGAATATCTTGGAAACTAATTGAAAAATTTCAAATTGGGTTTTAATAAATCCAATTGGATCGGTCTTGAAAACTTCAGGTTTGGTCAATTCAATCAATAATGGGAACAATCCAAACTCAAAAATCCCAAAACTTGTAACCTCTTCATCTTGTTGTTCAACAGACGATGATGGAGTAGTCTCCATTGCTAATGCAATATTTTGTAATTTCAAAACAGCAAATTCTCTAACTTCACGACATGGGTTGAAGCATTGATGTGCCAATGCTTGGATTAAAGAATATGACAACCCTTTATTCTTAAAAGTATCTTGTCTAGCAATGAAATTCAATTCAGATGTTAATGAAATAGAATGTTTTGATAAGTCAACAAGATCTCTAAAGTATTCATTTTCAATAGCCTTCTTGGAGTTACTACCCAATTTGTCATTTTCTTGTTCAAATTGAGATCCAATGGCACCAAGAGACGAAACTTCATCTAATAATCCTAAAATCATCACATAATTCTCTGGAATGATATCATTACTCTTAATCAATGTCTCCAAAAATGCAAGAATTTCGACAGCATAAACTTGGAATCCAGCAAATATTCTCAATGATTTCCAGTATTCTTCTGAGACCAATAATTTCTTACAACACCATGAATCATCGTCTATCAAAGATAATAAAGGTTGTAAAATTTGATTACCTTGTTTACTAATCAATTCTTTATCGAAATTTTCCAATGTTTTGAGAGTTGTGACCAAATACTCTTCGTTATCCAAGTATCTTAATAACAACAATTTATATGCCAATACTCTCAATTGACCCTTCTTGGATATATCTTTAACGTCACTGAGACTAGTAAAAACTTGTTCCCTTAATTTCACATCATCATGTAACAATAAGCAGAAACATACAGAAACTTCTAATATGAATAATGTTTCAGTTTCATAATACCTCTTGGTCTTGTCATCCAATGTAGGCAAAGCATTCAAGAACAAAGTAACAAATTTTTTCAAATCTTCCACTGGACCTTTAGAAACAATGGCAAAAATATTTGGAATGTTCAATGATTTAACACAATCCATGGTTGACAACGTAGATTCGATTTCAGCATCACTGGGTTCAGGTGGTTCATCAGAATAACCTCTCAAGAATGATGCAAAATTAGACAATAAACCAGAGTTGTTCAAAGGCTTCACCTTCTTGATAATATACAATGGTTTAACCTTGGAAATTGGTCCCAATTTGACTTTGGTTTGGAAATCTTGGAATAAGTTTGGATTGATCAAACAGTTTTCAAATAATCTCAAGATAATTTGGAAAATCTTATCCCATGATTGGGAAATCTTACAATTACTCTTCTTAATCAATCTGAACAAAACAACAGTAGCTAATTGAGCCTTGAAATCACGTCCAAAGTAGACAGCCAATTCACTGACATATATTTCTTCTTCCTTCTTCTCAATCTTGATCTGGGTAATTGGAATCTCTGGACGAATATTGTTGTTACTGTTAGCAGCTGTTTCTTCAAGTAGCTTCTTAGGAATTTCATGGTTAGTCAAGGTACTTAATTCACACAATGCTTCAGTCAACTTATCGATTGGTTCTGACAACTCATATTTCAAACAAATACTGGCAATTTTATCAATCGAAGACATCAAACGTGTGATTATATGATCATCTGAAGCTTCTTTGAAAACGGTAAGAATGGTTTGAATTAAAGGTTCGGAGACAGTTGCAAATAATACCTTATCAAACTGACAGATTTCATCCTTAGTAAACTCAACTTGATCAACAAGTTTATAGTTTTGGGTAGAAACCATATTATTCCAAGAATCATCAAACCATTTATCAGTTCCATGATGCTCTTCTGGCATGATAATTTCACGGTCTTTAATTGACAGATAAATCTTGGCAAGGTACCATTCAGGAAAGTCTTTACCATTATAAACACCTCTCAAATTTCTCTTGTAATCATCCAACAACATCTGTTTCTTAACTTGAGGGTTATGCAAATCTGTATTCAACATAATAATAGAATAAGACAAAACAAAGACAGAATCCTTATCAGGTTTGACTGGTTCAAGGTGTTCTTCAGTTTCATCATTCTCTTCTTCTTCGTCTGATTTCTCTGCTTCCTCGTCTTCGTATTTCAGTTTTTGTTGAGGTTTCTTTGGTGATGGTGGTGCACTACCAACTGAGTATTCTTGACATTGAACATATCTTTCTGCAAATCTTTCCACAACTCTTTCAATCTGTTGGGATTCACCTGGTAATCTAAAAGTTCTTAATAAAACTCTTAAAGCCTCGTCGACTCTCAAATCAGTGAAATCAAATAAATCTATAAAGTATCCAAATAATTCCGAATTAGAAGGTTTGGCCAAAAATTCACCCAACACTTTCTTGTTTAATCTACCAGATTTTGAAAAAAAGAAACTAGCAACTTCTTTCAAGTTATTTTCATCTTTAATGAAACCTTCTTTGGCCAATTCTTTGATACCATTCTTTGGCTTTTCATTTAATAACTCGGCACATTTAATAAATGCAGTTTTCTTTTTCCTCTTTTCGATCAATTCATGGTTGACTTCTTCTTTAGATTTATATGACTTGCTTCTTTCGTTGACACCAGAAATAAACGAAAGCATACCTTCTAAACACAAAGGTGGGACATTATCAGTGGTGATCAAAGCTGATTCGGGTAATGATAATTTGCATAAAAATTGTAATAAGTTGTTTGCCAAATCTGATTTTTCAAAATCACAATCATAGTCTATAAATAACCTAGTGAAAAAAGTAGGAGATCTAGTCCAAAGTAAACTCAATGATTCAATCAAAACTTCTTTTGAAAGAGCATTTCTCAAGGACATGTGTGAACCGCCATTGATCTTATTGGCATCGTTCTTGATTTGTTGGGGAAGAATGGATTGGAAAATCAAAGTAGCAGACAACTCAAATTGTGGTTTTAGTTGTCTTCCCAAAACAATAACAATAGTGGAGAATAATTGTAAAGAAGCCTTTAAAAGAGCTGGTGATTCCGTGGTGGTGATTATTTGCAACACGTGTTTTGAAATAGGGTCTGCAACTAAAGTCAACAAAGAGGGATGCTTCGGGATTTCTAATCCAGCAACTTCAATGGCTGTATTTATTAAGGATAATGCAAATACCCTGGTACTTTCCATATGTTGATATTGGTTTGATGGGGAAATCATGGAAACTAAAATACCCAAAAACTCATTAATACAAACAATGCCAAATGGCTCCTCAGTGGTGGTTTCAACAGACTGTGGGACACTCTCGCTTTGTTCTTTGGCTTTTGTAATATCTTCTTCTCCACCTTCTGTTTTCAACTCTTCTTGTTCGCCTTCTGGGTGTTTTGCATCTTCGCCATCCTCCCCATCAGAATGCAGGCTTCTTGGGGTGTTTATTTCAGACAGTTTGATTTCGGTCCCACCAATTCTATCCTCTGGTAATTTCGTATCTGAAAAATTGGTTTGTAAATCATCGCCATGTTCTGGTTCAGGTTCAATATCTTTAAGTTTACTGAAAATTTCAACTGTAATGGAATCCATGGACATTTCTGCTGCTCTTCTCAAAACTTCACTTCTCTTTTTGTTACAACCCAAGGATAAACAAGTTTGCACAACTTCTGTTACCACGTCATTTGGTAACAAAACTGATAATGGGCTTTCAATTATTCTTTCCAATAATCTCAAAACTTTCAATAACACTGCGTCGTCGGAGTTTTGATCAGCTGCTTCAAAACGACAATGAGTTAATGAAGAAATAATCTGGATCAATGAGTTTTGCAAGTTCTTGGATTTGAAAGAAATTATATCATATGATAAGAACTTTGAAATTGAATTCAATGATAAGCCTGTGATGAAACCTGAGGTGGAACTTGATTTAATAACCAACAAAAAAGGTTGTAACAATGTTAAACTATCAATATCATAAATATTCTTAGCATCAATTAATATAGATTTCAATTGTAAGAATGATGAAAGTAAAAGATTTCCCTGAACTGATCTTTGATTTGCTGCCCCGCTTCCGCCATTGGCACTTCCTGTTCCACTTGCTGCGGAGTTGTTATGACGATTATGATGACCGTGACCAGAAGATGAGTGTCTATCGGACGAAAAATTACTTGAAATGATTCCCAAACTACTGGTTAAACCATCAGCATCGAGATCATCATCATCATTGCCTCCAAATATATCACCTGCTGTTAATAAGGCAGCAACACCACTTTGGTTCCAACGATTCATTTTTCTCACCGCTGAAGCCATAGCCATACATTCGTTAATAGCAAGGGTAATTGGGTCGATACTAACATTGGAATGTGAAAATTGCTGTTGTTGTAATGTATGTTTTGGTAATCTCCCAAGAACAACACTCAATGGTGTTGAGGGTTTAGATAGTTCCATTGTTTATTTGTATGATTTCCCTTCTCTAGTCTTTTGTTTGTTCTTCTTGTACTGACTTTGACTTGAAAGAATATATTAGAAGGAATATGTTAAGGTAACTTGTAAATGGCTTAGTTGGTTAGGTTACCTTTATCGATACTTCTGTTTGCTATCGTTTTGGTTGTCTAAAATTTTTTGGCGTAGAAAATTTTATTTGTTTTCTTTGATTTTGAAATTTTTTATTTTTTTTTTTTGCTGTCCACTTTTGATTTTTAAATTAATGTGTTTCACTAGAATTTGGGTGTACAATAGCATGAACAACAACATTGTGAAGAGTCAAACGGATAGACTATAGATGACGAGCCAAATATAAGTTGATAAGAGTTGATATTATTATCATGTCAATTACAGTATAGTTTCAAAGGTGAATCTACGCTACGTCAATCTTTCTAATATGTATCACGTGACTTATCTATCTATCTACGTGGTATTTTTTCTTTTGGTCCGTTACCATTGTTAAACGTCTACAACTCATTTTGATTTCTCTGTATCTCGTGTGTCGATGCTTTCTATATAAACTATATATCATGACCGATGCATCGAATGGCAGTATTTCTAACCTCCAAACCAAATACAATCTTGAAATAAGAAACCACTTTGATCTTCAGTGAAGGAATATGGCAGTTATCGGTTGTCTATCTCCGTATTGTCCTCTCCTTTCTAGTGGTCTCATGATCATTATGACAACGAGAATTGTCATTTCACGCTCAATACTTCACTCCAATGTGTTCATTCACCAATTGGTACTCTAGCAATCCAATCTCTCTTTCCATAGTCCTCCACTCTATAAGTACTCACACAAAATCAAGCCTTAAATGGAAATCTAAATAATTTCTGGCGCACTCGGAAATAATTTCTTCTCACAATTTCATACAGCCTCCAAAATCACCACCACCACCAAAAGGAGAAAGAAAAAAAAAATGTTGTCACCGTTAATCAACAATCGAAAGTTTACAATACTGTACTTACCCATTCTAAACAACCTCAACCTACACATTGGTATACTGTCCATTATTCTCTTAAATCATCTATCCATAAATCAATTATCACAATCATGCCACGATTAGAAGAATCAGAAATCAAGAAATACTGGCAAATTTTCCAAGGTTTAAAACCAGTCGATAATAAATTAACAGGAGATAAAGTGTCTCCAGTATTGAAAAATTCCCGTTTACCAGAATCTCAATTATCTTCAATTTGGGAATTAAGTGATATTGATAATGATGGGAAATTAGATTTTGAAGAATTTTGTATTGTTATGAGATTAATTTTTGATTTGATAAATGGAAATTTCAAAGAAGTTCCTACTAGTTTACCATCTTGGTTAATTCCATCTTCTAAACATGCATTGATTCAAGCAAATCAAGCTGTCAATCAAGGAAATAACAATTTTGGATCACAAGAGCTAGACGAATTGGATGAAGATGGTTTAAGAAATGATTTTGATTGGTATATTTCACCTACTGATAAATCAACTTATGAAAAAATATATGATTCAAATAGTGATTCTTTAGGAAGAATTAGATTCAATTCATTAAATGGATTATATGACAGCTTAAAGAATGTGCCAAGAGAAGAAATTTCGTCCGCTTGGAACTTGGTCAATCCTAAATCTTTTGAAACTATAGATAAAGATCAAACTTTGGTATTTTTACATATTTTAAATCAAAGAGAAAATGGTAAAAGAATTCCAAGAGGTGTGCCTGCAAGTTTAAGAGCTACTTTTTCTAAAGAAGTACCAAATTATGATTTAAATGCTCAAGCAAAACCACAACTGTCAACTTCTTCACAAGCAGGTAAGCGATCATTTGCTGAAGATTATCTTTCTAAAATTGGTGGTTCTTCAACTAGAAATGAAAGAGGTACAGATTTTTCAGCCACCGAAGGTACGGACTGGGAAGAAGTTAGATTAAGAAGAGAATTGCATGATTTGGAAGATTTATTGGATAAAGTAAGCAATGGATCTAGGGCAAATGAAAAGGAGAAGGAAGAAAGAATGTTGGTAAAATATGAATTTGAACAATTGTTGAAATATAAACAAGAACAATTGAAAAATGGATCTAACAAAGTTGATTTGACTCTGGTTAAACGAGATGTTGAAGATATTCAAACTCAAGTTTCTACATTAGAAGATTTCTTGAATACTCGAAATCAAGAATTGGCTAAATTGAATCAACAAATTGATGCATTAAAATAATAATAAATTACTGTACAATATATATGGTATATATATATATATAAAAAGAATAATACGGAACTTTTTTTTTATCACATACATATATCTCTGTTTTGACCTTTCAATGACTAAGTTATTTCTTGTCACCTTCTTGTTCAGGTTCTGGTTCAGGAGTTGGCAATTTGAAAGTTTCTGGAGTGAAATCTTTACCTTCCCCAACAGGTTCCCAAACAGAAGAACCAACAGTGAAGTTTCTCCAAGCTTGAGTCAATTCCAAAGGTTCGTAGATAACTCTCTTCTTTTCTTCATCGTATCTAACTTCAGTATAACCAGTAGTTGGGAAATCTTTTCTTAATGGATGACCTTCAAAACCATAATCAGTCATAATTCTTCTTAAATCAGGATGACCAACAAAGAAAACACCAAACAAATCATAAGTTTCTCTTTCATACCAATTAGCACCGTTGAAAAATGGAGTAATGGAAGGAACTGGACTTGTTTCACTGGCATAAGTCTTGACTCTAATTCTAGAATTGTGTCTTACACTCAACATGTTATATACAACATCAAATCTATTAGTTCTTGATGGATAATCAGCGGCAGTAACATCCATGACTGATTTGAATTGACATGAAGTATGATCTCTTAAAAATAACATGACTGGTCTGATTGCAGATGGAGCAACATATATGGTTAATTCATCTTTCCAAACAGAGAATTGTTGGATATATTTAGGTAAACATGACATGATATAAGTACCGAATTTATGTAATTCTTCAATTTGAACTTTGTACTTTTCAGTTGGGTTAACTAAAGGAACATAGTTTTCTGTTGACTTTGGTCTTGGTAAGTTATTTACATTGACTAAATCTTCTTCATCTGCACTTAATCTGACATTTGATGTAGTGAAAGATCTTAAGTATCTGGTGGCTGGAACAGCTCTTCTAAGTAATGTTCTTGATATCATCGTTAACTAATATGGTCTATAGATATAAATAAAATGTTGATGATGTTGATAATTCCAAATTGAATAAAAAGAAAAAAATAATAATAATATGAATACTACTCCTTTAATGGTGAGACTGAATAGATAATGGAAGTTAATTCAAAATGGAAGTATGGTGGACAAACAAAGTGTGTGTGTGTGTGTGTGTAGTAAGTTTTACTTTTTTGTTAAAGTGAAATTTTTTTGAGTTCAGGTTGGTTAGAAATTCTTGCGATACAATTGGTTCGCATTGAACAAGTATAGGGAACATTAACAAATGAGAAAAAAAAAAGATTGAAAGGGGTCGTGTGAAATGGGACATAAATTTTCATTGTCATAGGGGAGACAACCAATGGTTGCAATCTCGTAGTGGTTGTCTCCAACCATCTACTAAAAGAGAGCTATCTGTTTATCGAATACGTAAACTGGATTGAGGAATTCAATCAGTGAATGAGTCTATACATATTGGTGTTATAATCTAACTTGGCATTGAATATGTTCCAGCCAAGAGTATACCTTCTATTATCAACGACTACATTGTCACGATATGTCAAACTCGGTTCAACAACACTTTAATCTTTTTGATATATTTGTATTTCAATTAATATTCTCTAAATACTATATTGACTCAAATATAAATAAAAAAAAAAACTCAATAATAAATTATCAATTTTCATTTCAAATCATTAATAAGATAACTGCAATCTAGTAGAAATAAAAAAGTATGGGAAAATAACCATGCTTATAATTTTGGTCTTGGGTCCAATTTCTTGAAAACAGCTTCAATAGCAGTAGCCTTCATCATGTTACCTTTAACCTTCAATTTACCATTCATGAACAATTTTTGACCGTTAACTTTGTTGTTGGCCAATTTAACAAAATCGACATCTTTCAAGATCAATTGAACATCACCTTTTGGAGCAGCACCATCAACTTTGGCCAAAGTACCATCTTTCTTCAAGTCCAAAACCCAACTTTGTTCTTTACCTTCTTTGTTCTTTAAAGTAATGACAATGATGGCATTGACAGCTTTAACAGCTTCTTGGGCTTTTGATTTGTCTGCTAAACCTTCGTTTAATTCTTTGAATAATGGGGAGGCGTTAAATCCATCAACTTCGACTGACATTATTAGATATTTATATATGTGACTTAATTAAACTAATAAGGGATAATTAGATAATGATTATAAAGAAGAAGAAAATAAAAAGAAGAAAGGAAGGAATTAAAAAAAAACTTTTCAATAGAAATCTTATTGGATATTTATATACAACTCAAATTCATGTTGATTAAATGCATATGAAAAACTTGTTGTATCCATGAGCAAACAAAAAAAAAAACTTTGGGGTAATAAATTTTTGATTTAGTTTTCTCTTTTATGTGTGTTACGTAATCAAGTATGACATTTGGTTGTGTGCAGGTTGTCATACAAATTACTGCATGTAGTTACATTTTTCATGTGATACTTCCTAATTGGGAAACTTTCGTATTGTAATAATGCCTCGGTTTCTATTTCTTATCGTGTGTGTGTGTGTGTGTACAGTCGCTTGCAAAAAGTCTGGAAATTTTTTTTTCCTTTTGAAAAGTAGTGTACTGGATAATACACGAGAAATTCAAATAAATAAATATATTCGTGTAGAACACAATTCCGATAGGAACCGAGAAAAATTTCACTACATCCGAATACTTTAGTAGATTGTTCACAGAAAAATACATAATAGTAAGTACCAACTATAGAGTCTCTACTGAAGTCTATATAAGTGATATATATTCAATAGCTTGTATATTAAAGGCAGTTAATTCTTTGCCAATCGGTACGTGAAAAACAGGAGAGAAAATTTTTTTTGTTCTCCGCCTTTGTAACGTTTTTCAAAAGGAAAAAAAAATCTCCAGACTTTTTGCAAGCGACTGTATGTGAGTGAGCAATGTCAACTTGCATTGTACTATTCCGTGGTCACTAACAGTTTCTATTGTCCCTCCCCCTCTCTCGCTATATTTCCTTCCATGCCCCTCCAACTTCGACGTAGCACCTACAATCACGGACTAATATGTATGCATCTATCGGAGTTTTTGTTTCCTGTTTAATAATTTAGGAACAACTCATTTATCCAACAACTAATTGACCTATAACGTTGACTTATTTTACATATATGGAGTCTGTTGTAGTCTATTTTTAGTTGGGTGTCTATTCTCACTCTACTTCATCGGTTTTATTTGAACATTTCCTTACCTTGTGAATAATCCAATGAAAACCGGAGATAATTTCATACACTCTAACTCCACATCTATATTGTTTGTATATTTCTCCCCACAATAAATTTTCACCAGTCATGTGGTATTTTCAATATTCCAAAGGGGTTTTGCACCCAATTTGAAAGTTCTTGATCAACGGTTTAATTACACACTTGTAGTCGTTATGTCTCATCTACCGTTGTTATCACTTCTTATCATGATCTTGTGATTTCTCTCGGATGTGTAAATAATTTGTCACGTGTAGCACTCGTTTCGGAGTTGTAATAAGAACCAGAAAGAACCTCATTGCAAAAAAAAAAAAAAAAATACAAAGAGAAAAAAAAAATAATCAAATCTCATCTCTTAATATCAAAAACCATAAGTAACAACATAAACCATGTCATCATCATTTTCTTCAGATGCTTCACAATATCAAGCGGAAAATACAGTGAATAAATTGTTTTCAAATATACTACATACAAATATTTCAACTACTAAATCAACCACTAATGCCAACCAATTATTTGCACAACATGGAAGTAGTGTCAAGAAGAATAAAAAGAATGAAGCTAAAAGAATCAAAAAGAATGAAGAACGAACTAAAGCATTTAATAAATTTGTGAAATATAATTATATTAAAAATAAAGAAAATAAGAATGAAAGTGATAAGAAATATTTATCAAAATTAGTTCGTAAAAATGTTAATAAATTAAATTCATCATCTAAAATTGATGATTTTGAAATTAATGAAGAATTTAATATTGTTAGTTCAGAATTATTAGATCAAATTAAACCTAAAAATGGTAAAAGATTAAGAAAGAAATTATTTAGAGTTAATGAAAATGATGAAAGAGCTAAAGAATTTAATGAAAAATTACAAAAAGGTGTCATTTCTTATCCTGGTTTAACACCTGGTTTGGCTCCTGTTGATTATAATGAAAGTGATTCCGAATAGAAATTGTATATTTTTTGTTGTTATAATCTATTTAATCAAAAAAAAAAAAAGAATAATATTAATTATTTCATTTCGTATAAGTTTTGACGTAAATCAATGACTAATTTACGTACAGTTCTCTTCTTATCATCTAAAACAGTCATGGTTTGTCTTAATAATTCTTGTTTCTTAATTAGTTGTGGGAATTTCTCCACAATTAATAATAAATTACCTAAACTTGATACTCTTATAGCTTCTAATTTGCTTGTATTGGATAATTCAACCAAAACTGGAACAAGTCGTAATATATCATCTGGTGATAAAATCGATTCATTCTCTTTAAGAATTATACTCAAGATCAATAATGACGATTTCTTATTCAATTCGGAATTCTGGAATGATTTCAATACAATTGGTAACACTTCTTGTAGATTATTAATCAAGATGTTTGTAGACAAGTTTTCGATAACAAGTGATAAGGCATAGAATTTAATATTGAAGTTAGTTTCAGAATTTATCAAATATGGCAACACCTTGACAAAAATTTGTTGTTTGTACAACAACTTAATATTCAAATTTTTGACCTTGGAAATAATCTTATTTTGTTTGATATCTGGGGTAGAATTGGTGAATATTTTCAAATCAATAAACAAAATATGCAATGATTTAGAAATGGCATTCATCAAGGCAAGATTATCTGTGGAGTCAAATATATGTAAAAGATTGTCCAATGCTTTCATACCAGCATTGTCAAGTTTAACAATTAATCCCTTAAGGATCCAGATGGACTGTTCAAATTGAATCAAGAACTCGTCAGACAATGTGTCACTTGTTAATTGTTGAGGTAAGATCAAATGTTCTTCAATAAATTGTTCATCGGTGGCAATTTTATTAAACATTAATGATATAGCCAACAAATATTGTATTCTTAGCGATCTGGTGTCCTTCAAATCAGACACAACTTGTAAGCACAGTGTTATAATGGGTTTATAGTTGGCAAAAACACATGATTTGTCGGTAGAACTCAAGATCTTGCAAAATACATTAACATAGAAGGATGGTGTTTCTAACAAATTCAGTGGATATGCAAATGATCCATGGGTTGTTTCATTTGTAAAAAAAGCAGTAAACATTTCATCGAAAATACTTTGATGTTTACTAACATCGATAAATTTAACTATCAATCCTAGTAAATCCCCAGTTAAATCGAGAATCTCAAATTGTTCTTCCTCGTTTTCACCAACAGGTACAATAGTTAATACATTGTGCAAGAATGTTGGTATAAAATTCTTATACCATGAATTCGTTAAAAATTGTTGAATTCTTTCAATTTGATTAATTAATTTAATAAACAATTGTATGATTATTTTGTATAATTGGAATTTGTTAGCAGAAGAATTGACCGCGGATAATTTGTTAAGTAATCTGATTGAAATAACTTCCAAAACTTGATAATTAACACATAAATCACCAACTAATGACAAGATAAATTCATATTGTTCAACATTACCATCTTCTAATGTATTCAACAACGGGTTTATAACTAACTCAATGGTAGATGAAGTAACATTAGGATTATCTTGCATACAGCCAACTAACCCATTGATTATCTCTTGCAAAATAACATCTTTCTGGTTGGTTTTCAAAATAAAGCTCTTGAAATAATTTCCTAAAATAAGATCCAATTCCGTGGTGGTTAAAAAATTTGGCAATTTCACTAATTTTATCAACTGTTGAATAGTTTTAATCTTTAATGTTTTCTCCATGTCTGATGTAACAGTCAATAATTGACCCAAGAAGATCAATATGTAATCTTTATATTCCTGCAATGATGTCTCGACTTGTGGTTGCAAAACTTGATATGAAGTCAAGACGAATCCAATACTATCTATCAAATCTCTCTGTTTGGCAATATTTAATGCAGCATCTTCATTAATTTCAACCTCTTGAACGTCATCAACTTGTTTAGTCTCTACGTCTTCTTTCTTTTCAATGTTTAAGAATTTACCCCAAATATCGTACTGGAATACATAATCCACTGTGTAATTCAAATTTTCAATCGAAGTTGAACCCAATGAACTTAATATCAAACTAGCTTTCTTGGACTTGTCTTTGATCACCATGAGATAAGGTTTCAATTCTTCAACCACGGTTTGCAACATCATTTCTGGCTGAGGAATTTTCAGAATAATGTGATTGAGAATAACCAATGTTAAAACTAATGGTTTGAACTCATCATTATCATCTATATCGTGATAGTTTTCCGGTATTATTGTATCATTAACAGGTTTAAACACAGAATCAATGTCATTATGTAATACTTCAAATTTCAATGCATTCCATAAAGTTATCCAATATTCCTCAACTGTAAGTGCATCATAATTTTCAACACATAAATCTATTGTTTTTAAAGTATCATTTCTGATGACAGGATTTGTTGAAGTTAACTTTTCAATCAAACTTGGGAAGGAATCGTTGGCATATTGTGATTGTGAAGCAATTGCAGTACGCAACTTAATTTTCAATTCTTCGGATGTTATCTTGTATGGATCATTTGGCGGTGGTTTAAATGAAATTGGGAAATAACAGAAACAAACATCAAATAAATCAACCACAAATTGTTTATGTAATTCATTTGACTTGTCAAATTTAAACCATTCATTGATTTTCATGTTCAATTCAAATGAAATTAATAAATTTCTTGGATCTTTTTCACCGGATGCAATATTGATAAATGTTTTCACATATAAATCGGATAATTCTATCTTTGTAGCTAAATATTCATGAAATTTAAGTAATATTCTTTGTAAAATAACAAATCCTTCATGACGAACTTTAGCCAAAAGTTTCTTTGGTTGGTATTCTTTCTCTAAAACAGTCAAGACTTTTTCAATATAAGATGTTAAAAATCCTTTACATTCGACTAAATAACTAATACCAATTAATTTAAATTGTAAGCTTAATTGATCATCTTTAATCTTATAAATATAAAAATCAATCAATACATTAACATCATGTTTACTCAATTTCTCTAAATCCAATTTCTTAATGGTAAAACTCAAACATTGAACACTTTTACTTCTAATCAAATCTGTTTCTGATGTCAAGGTAGGTCCCAAAAATTGAATGAATTGCAATAATGATAATTGATTTGTAGTTATTAATGAAGATAATTCGTCAGTATAGGTATTAGATGCTTGTTCATCCGTACCAACAGTAGCTATAAACTGGTTTATTAAAACCGGAATATTATGTTCTGACTCAACCATGGTAATGAAATAATCTTGCAAGGAATAGTTTTCTATGGCCTGGGGTTGGTTGGTTGGTTGTCTATGGAAGATTCGTAGATCGTGGTGGAAAATTTTTCTGTTGTTTCGCTTGATGACAAAATGCGAGATAACACTCGTCCAGAGGTGTCGGGTCGGCCGAGACAGATCTTTGCGTTACTGATTTGATAAACATAGTGGTTACTAATGTTTTGGGTATAAAACAGTTTATATTGATATCATGACTAGTTTCAACTTATTAAAAAGTTATCAATTGCATTGGTAGACATGTGAATGTTTTGATCTGTTTAAATTGACATATTCAATTATTTTTTTCTGCTCAAGATTTCAGACGAATTGTTTACGAAAATCTTCACTATCAAACTAGACACAACCAAGTTGACTCTACACATCCCCCATTAAATAAGAAGTTTATCAAAACAGCTGTATGTATTCTTTGCATTTTATATTATATTTCATGTTGCGCGTCCTGCACCTAAACAAATCTATTCTCTAACTAAAACAGAAGCAGCACCCATACCAGTACCGATACACATAGAAGTAAGACCAACTTGACCTGGTTTCAACAATCTCAAGATAGTAGCATATTGACGAGCACCAGTAACACCCAATGGATGACCCAAGGCAATGGCACCACCATTGATATTAACTTTAGATCTATCAATGTTACAACTTTCAATGGAGTACAAACATTGACCAGCAAAGGCTTCATTGATTTCATAGACATCAACATCATCAACAGTCAAACCATTTTGTTTCAATACTTTTGGAATAGCAACAGCTGGACCAATACCCATGATTTCAGGTGGAACACCAGCAATAGCACAAGAGACATATTTGGCCAATGGTTTGAAACCGTGTTGTTCAGCAAAAGAACGTTTCATCAATAATACCAAAGCAGCACCATCGGAAACTTGAGAAGAGTTACCAGCAGTGGAGACACCATCATCTTTGAATGCTGGTTTAATCTTGGCTAATTTTTCTTTTGTAACACCACCTCTAATACCATCATCTTTACTGATAGTAACTAAAACTTCCTTTGGTTCAGCATCTTCATCTTCATCATCGTCATTATCTTCTTCTTGGTAAACTTCAATTGGTAAGATTTCATCATCGAATTTGCCTTCTTTTTGAGCCTTTTCGGCTTTTTGGTAAGATTCAGCAGCAAATTGATCTTGAGCATCTCTTGGAACGTTGAATTTAGCACAGACGTTTTCATTGGTAAGACCCATAGGAATACCATTCTTGATGAATTCTGGATTTTCAGCATAAGCTGGATCAATTTGAACCAAAGCATCAGGACCATAGTTCTTGGTCATACTTTCGGCACCACCAGCCAAACCACATTCGATTTCACCAGTTTTAATCTTGTTTGCAATTTGAGAAATGGCCATCAAACCTGAAGAACATTGTCTATTGACTGCAATAAATGGAGTGGTATGTGGGATACCGGCTGCTAATAAAGCACCTCTATGTTCAAAATCACCAGATCTTCTATTCAAGACATTACCAATGGCAGCATCTTGGATAATCTTTGGATCAACACCAGTCTTTTTCAAGAATTCTTTGGTTAATGCATATAAAAGAAAATCCGATCCAGCATTTCTTAATCCACCTTTACCACCTTTGGTTTGGGCAGTTCTATATGCTGCAACAACGACAACATCATCTGGAGATTTTTGGGAAATTTTACTCTTGGCCGACATGATTTATAATGACTGAATAAATAATAAATATATATATATATATATAAGTAAAAAGAACTGAAAAAAAGAAGAATTATAAATAAAATTGAACAATTATCTGGGGGAAATTGAAGTTAATTTATAAGTAATTTGAAAATATAGGTTGTATAATTATCTTCTGAAATTATGGGGAAACTAAAGCGAGAGAGGAGGGCGAAAGAAACAAAAAAAAAAAAGAACCATGGGTGGAGGGGTGATCTATGCAGGAGATAATGAATAATTGCCCACGGAAGAAAAAACAACACCTATCCAAAGTATTCTAAGTTACTGTATTGATTATACATGAATGTCAAGTGGTTAGTATTATCACATATCTTCAACAATTGTCAATCACTAAGCACAATATTGACTTTGGTGTTACATCTTTCCCTGGAATCTGATTTTATTTTTGTTTTTGGTGATAATCGCAAGCCGAGGTCCCACTATCGCACTGATTTTTTTTTACCATCTCCACAAAATCGAAGTGCAAAAAAAAAAAAAAAAAATTGAAAAAACGGATAATCAATTTGAAAACCGCTTGTGAAAAACAATTCTTTAAGTAATGGAAATGGTGGACACAATAACATACTAAATTAGGAAGTCTATAGCATATGGTTACAAAACTTGATTCAGACAATATTTCGAACGTATTTTCTTTTGACACCTGAAAACCACTAGTTCCCACCGTAATTCCATATTGGGATTTATCATTATTATCCAATGCTTGTATTATTTATCAAATCAAAAGTATAATTGTATTCTCCAAATCACGTGACACGCGTCATTGTTTTGATTTCAGACACGTTTGTGATGCACGTCAAAAAAAAGCCCAATCTGTTCTGTTAAATTTTTTTTTAGTTAACCCTGAGTACTTCGCATTAGGTATTGCTTCAGTTGTTATGGGATATAAAAAATGAACAACTTAGAGAATGAATAATTCACTACGTGGCATGTTAAATTCTTTTATATTTCCAACAAAACACTCGCAGCCACAGAAGTTCACGACATCCATTGTTTTTCTTGAACTAAAATTGAGCATTTAATCAATAATATAGGGGAGGAAAATCAGAACAAACACCCATAAAAAAAACTAATTAGCATTAGCGAATTGAATACTGTACCTTTTGTGATTAAAGTTAGCCCATTGTTCTTACAAATGTTTGTCAACTATAAATTGGCGTACCTAACTGCCAAACTTGTCAGTTAGCATTACATATTAATTTCGTACTGTTTTACTCTCTTGAATACAATCCTTCGCAATTATTAGAGTTTTAAGGACACACATTCATTGGATTGATTACGAACCTGATTCAAAACATTCTTTCTGTATTAACCAATGGTGAATTAAGATTACAAAAAGTTACATATATAATTGTTTCATCTTTGTGGTTAACATTCCAATCCTTTTCGTCAATTACAAAAAAGTGATAAAAAAATTTTTTTCCCTTTCTTCTTCTTCTTCTTTACATTTGTCTCGTCGCCAACCCTTAGTATTACAATCCACTTACTCATACACTTCAAAGAAAACTCCCACCGCATACACGCGCACTGAAAAAAAAAAACACACGAGACTTTCAGACACGAGTTATCTTTTTTTTTTTTTGATTTTTGATTTTATAAAACCAACAAAAACTTTTCGTCTTTTTTTTTTAACTATTGAAATCATTCTTCTTTTTCTTCATATTTCTCCAACTCATCTACGCTCTTTACCTTTTAGTTCATTCATATCAAAGAGGTTCTGATCCTTAACTAATTGCATCTACTTTCATCTATTTATTTTTAATTATTTTCCACCTGCCACTTGTACACACACACTAGAAACAACACATCAAAAATGGGATCATTAATGGTATGTCTGCAATACACTAACGATAATATCTATCAAAGATATAAAGTATCAAGTTACTAACACTTATTAAAATAGTCAAAATTGTTTAAGAACCGCGAAATGAGAATATTAATGTTGGGTTTAGATAATGCCGGTAAAACAACCATATTGTACAAATTAAAGTTGGGTAAAACATCCAAAACAGTACCAACAGTTGGTTTTAACGTTGAAACTGTTAAACACAAGAATGTTTCATTTGCAGTATGGGATTGTGGTGGTCAAGAAAGAATTAGACCTTTATGGAGACATTATTTCACTGGTACAAATGCATTGATCTATGTTGTTGATTCCCTGGATGTTGATAGATTAGAAGAATCCAAACAAGAATTATTTAGAATTATAACTGATAAGGAATTAGCTAATTGTTTGTTGGTTGTTTTGGCCAATAAACAAGATGTTGATGGTGCTGTCAAACCAAAGGAATTGATTGAAAAATTCGAGTTGAATAAATTAACTGGAGAACATACTTGGTCTGTTATCCCAACTATTGCTATTGACGGTACTGGTTTAGTTGAAACTTTGAATTGGATCTCATCTCACTCCAAGTAAAGCAAACAGAGGTTTAATTTAACATGAATTTTTTTATTTTTTCGCAACCAGATATCAAGACCAGAGATTTTCACATACATTCACCATACCCAATTCGGAAACTTACCATTGATCCGTCTATTCAATTCTAGAAACCAACTTTTCCTTTTTTTTTATTTCTATATTTTTTTTTACGAAGACATAAAAAGATCCACATATATAATGTATTATTAGTACAAGCACAAGGAATATATATTAAGTTACTTACATTGAAAAAAAAAAAATCAAAAAATCAACCTAGTTTTGCATTACTTTAAAGATAAAAAAAATCTATACCTAAAATTTATTGACCCCAGACAACAACACTACCATCTTCTTCACCAAAATAGGACTTATCAGCCATATCGGTGAATAAACCAGTTTCCACCACACCGACAAGTAATTTGATTTGTTTGTGTAATTCTTCGGGGTCTTCAATTTCCCCGAAATCCGCATCCAATAAAAAGTTGTTGTTATCGGTAATTACTGGTCCAGCTTTAGCCTTACCACCTTGTCTTAAATCTACTTTTTTGGCACCCATGTCGTATAATTGTTTGGTAACTTTAGCATATGAGTTTGGAACAATTTCAATCGGTACACCTTGTCTCCAACTTTCACCCAATTTCTTACTTTCTTTTCTATAATCAGCAACAACAATAAACTTTTTAGCAGCAGAAGCAACTAATTTCTCTTGGAATAAACAAGCACCACCTCCTTTGATTAAATTCAATTGTGGGTCAACTTCATCAGCACCATCAAAAGCAATATCCAACTCAGGATATTGTTCAATAGCTCCTAAATTCAATCCATTGTCAATGATCAATTGTTTAGATTGGAATCCAGTTGGGATACAAATAAAAGAATCTTTATTTTCTAATTGTCCGATTCTTTCGGCAACATAAATGACAGTAGATCCTGATCCAATACCAATGACTTTAGCTTTTGGTGGGAAGTTTTCATCAACTGCTCTATAAGCAGCTAATTTTTTGGCTGATTCAACGGATGATGACATGGTTAAACGTGGTGATGTTCTTGATAATTGTCTAACAAAGGATTTTATCATAAAATAAAATAGAAATAAAAAAATAAAAAATCAAGAACGAAAGACAAATTAGTCAAATTATATTTGAATATTTTTTTTAACCTTGTGTATCCCACCGAAATCGAGTTTCCCCCTGCCCGTATTGAATATTATTACAAAATTAGTAATTTTTTTTTTTCTTCTTCTTCTTTCATCGTCGGTTTTCGTGGGGGGACCCACGCACAATAGGCGCATCAAAAAAAAATTTAGAGTTTACTCATCGGAAATGGTAAAAACCTCCGGGTCTCGGAAATTGATAATTAAAAAAAAAAACATGTTAGGGCTATAACCCTCTCGCACCTGATGTTTATTTTCCCTGCAGTCTCACACAGTTTTTTCTGATGACTTGAGAATTTTGTAACACAGATAATTTTTTTCAGCTTCGCACCTAACAAAATACTTTTTACAGTTTCGCATCATGTAACCTGCAAAAAGTGCTCGTTTTTTTCTAATGAAAATTGTATTCTCACAATAGTATACTTTAGAGGGGAGTTTCTTTTCTTGATAGTATAGACTTTAATAACCTAGTACAGAGCCATCCATCATGTCTTCTAAGATCTTGTCTGAAAACCCAACTGAATTGGAATTAAAAGTTGCCCAAGCTTTCATTGATTTGGAATCTCAAGCTGACTTAAAAGCTGAATTGAGACCATTGCAATTCAAATCTATTAAAGAAATTGATGTTGCTGGTGGTAAAAAAGCTTTAGCTGTTTTCGTCCCACCACCATCATTGGCTGCTTACAGAAAAGTCCAAACTAGATTGACTAGAGAATTGGAAAAGAAATTCCCAGACAGACATGTCGTTTTCTTAGCTGAAAGAAGAATCTTGCCAAAACCAGCTAGAAAAGCTAGAAAACAACAAAAGAGACCAAGATCAAGAACTTTGACTGCTGTTCACGATAAAATCTTGGAAGATTTGGTCTTCCCAACCGAAATCATCGGTAAGAGAGTTAGATACTTGGTTGGTGGTAACAAAATCCAAAAAGTCTTGTTGGACTCTAAGGACTCCACCGCTGTTGACTACAAATTGGACTCTTTCCAACAATTGTACACCAAATTGACTGGTAAACAAGTTGTTTTTGAAATCCCAGGTGAAAACCATTAAATTAATTAAATTAATGCACGATTGAAAAAAAAAGGTGAAATGATAATAATGATTAGTTAATCCCTGGATGTTGGGTTCTGCCAATGTTGTCGTTCCTTTTTTTTTTAGAAGAAGATTCTTGTTTAATTTTATATTAATATGTATATTAGTTTTTTATTGCAAAAATGAACATCCGCTAACTTTGAAAATAATATATACATTTCAGATTGATGATTTTGATGATGAAGAATATTTATTATCGATAAGCTCACGCATATTGCTTGAACTATTTATTAGATCTTTTTCACATAACTCGTAGGGAACACACCAGTTTGACCGTTAAGTTCACCTTCTGTCCATCCACTACCATCAGTATCATCCTGGATCAAGATAATACGATCACCTGCATGGATAGTCAATTCATCATCACCATCTGCCATATAATCATATAATGCTTCTAAATGTTGCACTTTCTTAGCTCCACGTCTAGGTGCAACAGCTGGACCTTTCTTTTTACCCTGTGGTTCTTGCTGTTGTACCACAGGTCGACTGGTGATTTCAATATACGAAGTAGGCACCAAACCTTGACCTTGGTACCCTTTAATCAATGTCCATCCAGATCCATCATCTTCTTCTAAAACGATAAATTGATCACCAGCAGACATAGTTGCTTCATCTGATCCAGTTGCAGCATAATCATAAAGTGCTTTACCTTCAATTGATCCACTGGCACTAGGTCCATTTCCAGAACCATTGTCCGCAAGACTACTCTTTGTACTCTTGTTACGACGTAAATCAAACATACCACTGTGCAATGAAGTACTGGTTTTAACCTGATTCAAGGAATGTACTTCAGACGATGCATCCAGGGTTGCATTTGAGTCGGATCTCTTACGACTACCACCACCAGTTAAGAATCCAAATCTTGATTTCTTTTGCTGCACAGGTGGAACATAACTTAAATCCTTATCACCAGCAAAGTTTTGGATAATCTCAATTTCAACTTCATTTTTAACTCTGTTTGTGTCTTCCTTCATGAATTTATCTAAAATAGCCAATGATCCTTGCAATCCAGCATCAAATTTTAATGTAATTTCTTCAGTATCTTGTTTTCTTTTAGTGGTACTTTCTTCTAGTTTTTGTTTCACATCAAGACAACTTTGTTCGTATTTGTAGTACTCATTAGAAGCAATACTAAGTTTCTTTTTCAATTCAGTCAATTCTGGTTCCTTGATAACTAAACTTTCGTCATCATGCCAGAAACTGCATGGAATAAAATAGAAATCTTGAGGTTCTTTCCAATCAACAGAATTGTGTTTAATAAACATAGCCACATCCAATTTTGGTTTGTTTTGTTCGATAGTTTCGTCAATCAAATGTAATTTCTCTTTGACTCTATCCAAAGAATTACGTTCTATAATCGATGCATTCTTCAATAATTTATTCATTATGGCTACTCTATCTTCATTCAATTCTTGCATGTAATCTAAAAGTTCTGGTATATCTTGATAAAAATACTTGTCCTTAAGTCTGTTTGCCACACTGATCTTGATCAAGTACTCATTCTTACCATTGTTCATAGCCACTTGTTTATCATCTAATCTTCTTTGATGTTTTTCACTTGGGGCTTTTTGGTTCTTATCTCTGGCTGATTCGGTATTTTGACATAATGCATCATACGCCTTTTTGGATTTGTTAACATCATCTTCTACTTTTTGTTTCTCCAGAACCAAATATTCATTAATCATATCCACTTGATGTGATACTCTTTCACATTTAATTTTCAAACTAGTCATATTATCGGCAATTTTAGTTTGGAATTCTCTTGATAAGGTTGTTTTTTCATCAGCAATAGCTTCAGTTTGTGTCAACAAATCAGTCCAAAGCACCAAGGAAGCGTTTTCCAATGATCCCGGAGTGATAGCTGGTTCATCACCAACTGATAAACTAGCAGATAATTTTGCTTTCTTATCGAAATATTTCTTGGTTAATTCTTTTAGTTTGGTCAGGTATTCTTTTTCCAAAGCTGATCTCTCTTGATAAAATTCATTGATATCTTGTAACCAGTTGATACCATTGTTTAACCATTTGGAAGTTTGTTTATAGGAATCCTTTAATTCGTTACCGATTGATAGTGTTTCCAAGGACATATTGTCTTTGTTGGTCAACGTGTGATTCTTTTGTTGATATGGGTAACTAGGCAGTGATTTAGAATTAATCGAGAGAGAGAGAGAGAAGAAAAAATCACTGTGGTTGAATCGCTGGCGGTCGAAATTTCAGATCAGCAATAGGGGTAGGTGAAACTGAAAGTGGTTGTTTTTCCGCGTGGTGGTGGTGCGGTCATGGTACGGTAGTGAGTTGTTGTGTTCTCCGAGGTGAGGTGGGGGACACCTCGACGTGAAAAACTCCCGCTGCTGCCAGGGAAGGCGACTGATGTTGCATCGCTTTGTTTTGTTTCCCTGTCGTATAAAAATTAACCATTTCTTACGTCATGGTTATTTAATTGGAACTATATCCTCTAACATTTTCTTCCTTTAACCAGATAGATCTCTTGTTTCTAGGAATTGTATACCTTTACCACCCATCATCATCATCAGATCAAGTCTTGTTTGAAACGAACGGGCGAGAATATCATTACCGCCGAAATTTTTCTTACAAACAAAACCCCCCTTGCTTTCCTTTTTCTTTTTTTTAGCAGTTGAAATTGTTCTTTATTATATAACCAAACATTCAACAATCTATTCAAAGTGGGCAGTGTTAAACAATCATTCATTAAACTTGCTTCAGGTTTACAAAACAGACGGTTCTTTCTTTTCAAGAAGAAACATATTAAGCAATATCCCTACAAAAGATCAAAAGTTAGATTACTACTTGATATCTATAGAGAATACAAGGCCTTGGGGAAAAGTATCCATCCTACAACAAGGACAGGATTGTTGTCAAGAAATAGAAGAAAGAAAAACAGAATAAATTTTTATAATAACGAGATGACAGATAATCAACCATTGTCAAGACGCCAACGGTTATTAGGAATTGCTAGAAGTACTAGAGATAATTATATACCAAAAATAACAGGATCAGTGAGCTCATTAGCTACAGGTGCAACACGAGCTTTTTCTAATCCAGAAGTTTACGATGATTATGGGAGGGTTATACTACCGAAGGATACGACTATCCAATTGTTCCCCTCTTATACCAGAAAGCAAGATGATAAATACTATGTGGATGTACAAGGATGGGTTTTCACCCCAGGAGTAATGAATAGAAAGAATAGAGTGGTATTTTCAGTTATCAAGCAAATAATGAGACAAAGGGAAACTACACAGGCACAACTTACGAATTTGGAAAATGATAGTAGTATGAAACAGGAAGTTTTCAATCCAGATTCATCAAACTCAGATACAGAATCTATAATGTCAGTAGAATCCAGTCAAAGTTCACAGGGATCTAATGGATCATTAAACCCCGATGATGTGATGAAGGAAAGATTGTCTAGTTTCTTTGCCAAGTCGATACCGAACACAGAATTGGTCGTTACTGTGGGGTCGGAGAAAAGTGTTGAAGAACTTGTCAAACAAACGATATATACTGATGGATATGGTCATTTTGAAACTACAATTGAGGTTCCTTATAAACCTTCAGTAGTACAGGTAGCATCTGGAATGATGGAAACGGTGTTCACATTTCAAGATATCATGATTTATCCTAACGATGGTATTGGGGTGATAAGTGATATTGATGATACAATTAAATTAACAGGTGTCATCGGTGAAAAAATGATCCTATTGCGAAATCTATTAACCAACGAAGTGGGCCTGTGGGCAATTCCAGAAGTCACACAATGGTATGGTGATATCTACAAGGATGAAGATGTGAACTTCTTTTATGTATCAAACTCGCCATGGCAATTATTTGACACCATCAAGCAATACTTCCACTTTGCTGAATTACCGCCTGGTTCTGTTCATTTGAAAAGATACTCTGGTAATATTATAGCTTCATTGTTGGAACCGTCTCAATCTAGAAAGAAAAGATCATTGCATAAAATCCTCCAAGATTTCCCTGACAAGAAATTTGTATGTGTTGGTGATTCAGGAGAGTACGACTTGGAAGCATATGTTGACATTGCAAAAACTTTTCCTAACCAAGTATTGTCCATTAACATCAGATATGTGGAAGACTCATTTTCTGATATTGATGATCGTAAAATTTACAATGAATTGATACGATTGCTTACCACCACCAAGAAGGAAATACCCGTTACTCCAAAGATACATTCCTCTCCAAAACGAAAACCACCTCCTAAGCAACTAGATGAAGAAATGGACGACTTGATTGACTTGTCTGAGGATACCGTGGTGAAAAAACCAGCACCAATTGTTCCAAGAAAACCAACTAGTTTGAAGGGTCAACAAATAGGAAGAAAGATTCCACCCCCACCTCCAATTCCAAGAAGAACAGCTCTGCAAACAAATATCCATCCAATCACAAAGAGTTATACAGATTCTGTTTTGGAATCATCTCAACCACGTCATTCAAATTCACAACTGCTGCTGCTGCAATTACTGATTCTGCTGGAACCACTGGTACGAAAATCTAGACCGCCCGCACCACTACCACCATCATCTTCTAACATTGCTTCTGATGGTAACTCTATGAGTGATGATTTGCCTCCATTGCCCCCAAGACGGTATGCAACCACCCCAGAATTGCATTCTTCCCAATCAAGTGAGAGTGAGTTGGATAGTATTTGTAATTCCCCAGGATTTTACGACCTCGAAGAAATGGATAAGAAAGGTGCTAATTGGATAAGAAGGATAATAACTGCCATCCGTACCTTAGAAGGAACTAACACGAAGATAATTATCTTTAAAGATAACGAAACTGATTTTTTCAAAAATAGTACTATTGAGTTAGATGAACTTCGTAAGAAATAGAGATATAATAATTATTTGCTTTAGTTGTTATTTGTTTCGTATGTATATATAAGATCGTTAATATTATTCAAATCCTATACATAGTTCTTAACCTTTTATATATTTAAGCTGTAACTTCGGATTTATTGGCATCTAGACTTGTCTTCTCATCATCTTGTTGATAGAATTCTTGAGCATTTGAACCATCACCATAATCTTTAATAACTTCATCAGAAGTTTCTGGTAAATCTTTCTTGAATTGAGACAAATCCCAAGTTTCACCATCATCTTCTTCAGTGTAATATTTATCAGAGAATTTTTCCAAAATGACTTCTCTACCAGTAAGAATTCTTTTACCACTCTTTTCATTTTCCTTCTTTTGGTTTGCTTTCTTGTCAATTTGTTCTTTTTTCCATTTGGCAAAACTTTCAACAGTAATTGGAGTAAATTTACTCTTATCTAATTTACTTCTTTCCAATTCAAGGAATTCTTCCAATGTAATCTTTGGTTCATTTTCAGCCGCTAGTCTTTCTAATTTCTTTTGTTCTTTAGTTTTCAAAACAAAACCAGGTGGTAAAGAATGTCTATATTTACATTCATTACCTCCATTTGGACAAACCCAAAACCAACCATATTTCCCATTTTCAACAGCATCAATGAAATATTTACAAACTATATCAGTTGTAGTTTTTGGATTACCATGTTTGGATAAAATAACTTTTCTTAATTTTTCTTCATCCCAATTATCCATAGTATCATTTTCTTTTTCTTCTTCTCTACTATCAGTATATAAATCCTTTTTAGCAACTTTTCTACCAACATTTGGATCATGACTAAATTTACATTTGTTTCCTTTAGTACAAACACCATTCTTGAAAAATTCACAAAGAATAGATTTTGGATCAACTCCAAATGGAACTTTTTGTTGTTGAATACCAAATAAAGCTGCTGCTTCTCTTTTAGCTTCTTCTTGAGCTTTCTTTTCTTCTGCTTTTCTTTTAGCTTCTGCTTCTTTCTTTTTAGCTAATCCACCATCTACACTAGCTTTAATTTGATTAATATGTTGTTGAACTTTCTTAGATTTATTCTTATTTTTTAAACCAAAAGTTTTATCTTCAGCTGATTTGGCCTTAGATTTAGCTTTTGCTTTATCAGATGGTTGATTTCCTTTCTTCTTTGGTGGCATCTCTTGAAATTAAAATTGCTTTCAATCACTGACTTCTATTAGTTGGCTTTAACAATTCTGATGAAAAAAAAAAAAATTTTTTTCTTTCTTTTTGTTAAATTGTCGTGAGAGATCATCTTATACACGTGACTCGATGAGGAAAACTTATGTTTCCAACAAATGAAGCTATCAACATATATTTCGAACCAGCTGGATAATATCCTTCTATAACAATTCGATTCGTTATTCCATTGAACATATTACAATACCCTAACTACTAACAAAGTACATGACTTAAACAACTGGTTACAATAATTTCCATTGTACACGACTATTTTGGAACATAAAAATCAGAAAAAAAAAAAAAAAGAAAAGCCGTATTAACAAATCACCAACTTTATACATAATATAAAAAAGACTCTTTTATTGTCTCTGTTATCTATAAACCTATTGACGGAATTTTTGTGATATTCTCTTCTTGTCCTTGTTTGTAGCATGGCCACCTGGTGTAGCTGTATTTGCAGAATTAATATTAGCATTATTTGATGATATTTGTGCTGGTGAATTCAAACCCATAGATACTGAATGTTTCGGAGAAGTTATAATTGATACATGGGAATTTCTAAAATTATTATATGCCCTTAATTCTGGTGATGTAGCTGAATTCATGGTATTAACTGGAGAAGTTGATCTATTAGTCATTGACTTCTTAGATCTCTTTTTGGTTCCTAATAACCCTTCAAGTCTAGTCAAATTGGTATCATCACTTGCGCTGTTTAATGCATTGAATGTACCATCACTGTTAATTGTCGTCGATGTGGGTGTTCCCATTATTCCTTGTGATTGGAAACTTGATGGAGTCTGTAAAGCATCTCTTGGCTCAAATCCTGGAGATAATGGCATGACTGGAGTTGTCATGTTGCTAGTACTATTCTTCACATGTTTACTACTTCTGAATGGGATATAAGATCTCTTACTATTTGGGTGTTGGTGTACAACTTGCGTACTTCCAATAGAATCTGCCAAATTTGCTCTAAATGATGTGTTGGAGGCAGTTCTTGCCAAACTTCTGTTTAAAATCACCGATACCTTCTTGTCATAAACATTTGGAGCAGATTCCATTTGCATTAATGTATTGCTCGAATTACTGTATCTAGTATCAACAGAGGCACTATGACCATGGTGATGTGGGACTTGATTGTGATGGAGACTAGCACGCATAGCTGCTCTATTAGGAACAACAACGAGACCAGCACCATTTTGTTCAGATTCTTTGGTAAAGAAAGAATCGAAATCGTCTAATGCAGCCCAAACATTACTCAATGATGCTTCAGGTTCCTCTCCAACATTCACAGAAACAGTGTCGACAAAATTATCTTGATTATGGTTGTTTGTACCATAATAATCTTCCAGATGAAATTGAATTTCTCTATCAGTATCCTTGATATCTTCATTCTCATCGTCAACAATATCAGTCACGGTACAAGTTGAAAATACTGCATGGACATTATTTCTGGTGGTTGCAGCTGTCACTGCAGGCATTGGAATTGACCAACCACTCTCATCTGGAATACCAAACAATGTAGCTGTATTCTCGTATTCCTTCTTCATGGAAGTGTTACCCAAACTCATTCTTAAAATATCCTTATCTAATTGAGAACCGGAAATAATTTCTGCTTGGTCCAACACTTGCAATGCACGTTCAGCATAATCAGTAAGTAACAACCTCAATAACGGAGATATTAAATCTGCACCAACACCAACAAATTCATCACGTTGAAGATCAACTAATGGGAAAACCAATCCCAATAAATTCAAAGTTTCTTGTTTAACCCAAGGAATCTTATTTGACAACAATCCCAAAAGTAATACCAAAGTTTGGGCTTCATATTCTGGGAAAAATGAATTTTTGATACAATAAATAGTTTGATCCAAAAAGTCCAGTTGTGATCTAAACCGTTTCTTTGCAAACGAAATCAACACTTTAGCTAGTGAACTCTTACCACTATTCTCAGCAAGTTTACTTATTGCCATCGCGGTATTTTCTATATCTGGTGTAATATTACTGCCTTCATCTAAAATGTGTAAAAATCTAGGCATATTAGCCAATAATGCTGTCAAAATTCTCGAGTCACCCATTCCTATAATCTTGCTATCCTTGAGTACAATCAACTTGTCCAAAAACTTCAATGTTGGTTCCCATGAAGTAGCAGATCTTAAACCAACTAAAATAACCTGTTGTAATCCTTCGAATTTACCTTCCCATTTAGGAGGAAAAGTTGAAATCAAACATGAAACGGTATCTGGAGCATCCAAATCAATCTTAGAAATGAATTTGTTTAAAGTAGACAAGACTTCAATAAATTCTTGTTCATGAATTGTACTCAAACATGCAACGCCAGACCAGAATAACTGCGGATAGTCAATTAACTTATCAGAATTCAACTCGGCCGTGATGGCATTCAAAGTCATTAAAATTTGCATAGCAAACCCTTGGATATCAACTGTTTCATCCGAGATTGTATTCGATAAACGGTGCAACATATCCTTCAACATTTCTTGATCTAGGAACGACAATAACGATCTAAATATTTGGAACGAACGACAAGCAATGTGTCTGACTGCACAGGTAGTAGCCCAATGCAATGATACTCTACTCCAATCTTCTTGAATACTTGGAACAATAGTTGAAAAAATCTTCAAAACACTTCTAATTAAAGAATCCATATTCTTCGGGGTTCTTGCTCCCTTTTTATCATTATTCAAATCATCATAAACCCAAAGATATTTGATATGATCGTTTTCACGAATTAACTCAATAGTTTCATTTGCCTTTGGATCTTCTCGCGCTAAAGCATGAATCAAATGGATCAACAATGTGCCTGCTTGCTCCTGAACAATTTGCAAATAATGATCTAATAAAGATATTGAGATGTGCAATAACACTGGAAGCTTCTCAATCATAAGATCATTCTTGACAGTGACTAAATCAACCAAAAATACCATTGATAACTGTCCTAAAGAAAAAATAGCATCCTTCTCATTTGAAGGGACAACATCTTTTAAGTCACAGACATAAGGGAAGATTTCTGGTTCACTGATACTGGTTGTCTTGGTATGGGGGATCATATTGAACTGTGGTGGAACCATTAATCGAGGTTGCAAATTGTGAATAAATTTATCAATAACATAGGATGGATCTGTTCTTGAAAATGCTAAATAGTTGATTATTTGTCTTGCATGTTGTACAAAAGACGGATTCTTCATCTTTAAACAGCCTTGTAACAAAAACTCGATGATTTTATCAAAATTTTGACCATTCGTACCTAATGATATCCATAACACCTCAATTTCGTTAGACATTTTGCTACCAAACTTTACTGTGATTTCAAATAGATTGTTCAACACCATTAATGATGAACTATCAAATGATTTCTCCAAAGTATTATCATGTGATGGTTGTTGTTGAGGTGATGGCTCCTCTTCTGGTAATGGATGGTCATAATTCAATATCACTTTTGAAACCATGGGTAATAACAATGTCAAAATGTCCTTTTTGGTAGAATTAGAAGCTAAACTAAAGAAATGTGTCAAATGGCTAATTCTGACATAAAGTTTGGTAGGATTAATTTCTTGAATATCATTTGAAAGATCAAATAATGCCTTTCGATAAACAACAGGACTCTTGCTACAAACAGCTTCTGAAAATCTCTCCAACCTGTCTGTTCCTAAATCTTTCTTTTCCAAATATTTCATCAACTTGATTGCTGCGCGTCTCACTTCAAAGTTTTCATTAGCTGCCAAACAGGCAGCAACACATAAAAGATCATCTGGAACACCCTCACTGTTGTCCTTCTCCATAAATATATCAACAAAAGTGCAGAAATAACTCTCAGTTAATGTTTGTGAAATATAACATCTTCTAATCACTGTACTTATTACCTCGGTAGTGGTGAAGTTATTCTCAATAACATTTTTCAATGCATTCTTCCCGATATCCTGAATTTTGTCCATTTCTGACTCCAACAATGCTTGAATCCAGTTCATCAACCCTGGAATATCAAAAGAAACAACGACTACTTTACCACCTCCTGGAATCTCGATTCTTTTCTCTACTTCACCTGAGCATAACACTGACATACAGCACAATGCAGAGTATCGAAGCTTCTTTCTTTCCAACTCTAAAATGGCCACTGCAGTAGTAAAATCTTTTTCGTCCTTGATTCGATTGATTATTGTATTATACCTATCTTCAGTAACAGAATTACAATCTCCATATCCACACCACTCTTTCAAGTAGTTGAAGCACCCAATTCTTGCTTCAAATGGTAACCATGTCTCTAATTCAGATTTTTCTTCTAATCCCAAGTAAACATTCTCCAAAAATCCACAGAAATAACGACGTAATTTTTGGAACTCGATATCAGTTTGGACATTCAGAACAGATAAAAACTGTTTAACGTTTCTAACAATAATAACTAAATTTGAAACTATCGCATTATCGGTATAGATCAATTCATGCAGTTTGAACTTTTCTGTTAAATTTGCTAAAATATGGACAACTTCAGCTTTGAATTTATCATCTTGGAAGTTTCTCTTCTTAAGATCGGTAGGCCAATCTTCTATGACAGCAGGGATATTCTCCAAAAAGCTCTTGAATATATTGATATTCATATGGCTCAATCCAAGAATAACAGAGTCTCTCACCATTGGTTGTGATGATTTCAATAAAGGTAATACCATCCTGAAAACTGATTTTGCACTTGTTATTTTTTGATGTTGAATAAACATTTGCAAAGACTTTTTCCGGCCATGTGTTGGTTGGTTCGGAAATGAGATTTTCTGATCATTGGTAGCAGTTAATGTTGAACATGCAAATATCAAGTATGACTTCCATTGGTTAACCAAAACTTCAGGTGGAACGTTGGCCTCTGATTTTGAAAATAATGAAGATGTGTATGATTTATAACTGTCAGAAAATTCCAAGATTAACTCATGCATTTGCACTAAACTCACACAAACAATGTTACGACACATGGCAACAGGCATAGGGCACCTCTCAAAGAAAATTTCCAACACTTTGGGATAAATTCTTAACCAAATAGTTGAATCAATACCATAATCTGATTCTGCTAAACGAACTAGTATGTTTTTTCTATTCTTAAGTTTTGCTAATCTAGTGCGTTCTGGTAAACTCAACTCTTTTCTATAGGGTTTGATCAATTCAACAAAATCGGTATCCTCCAATATATGAATTAAACGAGTTCCAACATCAGCTACAAATTTAGATGAGCTCCTAGAGTGTTGCTTTGAAACTGAAGCCGAATCACCTCCATTAGTAGTAGACTTCATATCAGTGGCATTGTAAATTGCTTGATCAAACTGTTCCACCAATCGTAATATTTTGATCCCATAAAGTCTAGTTTTAGGATCCTGTGAACAAAGGAAAAACAACCCATTCCCTTCAATCTCTTCTATAACAGTAACGATTGTTTTCCATTCTAATTCGTCACTAGCTTTCAGTTTTGTTTGTGCTGAATCGGACAAATCTGCATTGTTATGATTGATTTGATATAAATCATTTAACGCGGTATCATTCAAAACTCTTGGATCATTAGGTGCAAATCCACCCAATGTGTTTTCAGCTTCTTTTTCGTTTTTCTTTTCCTGTATTTCTTGGAACAGTGATAACCAGCAATTTAATAACTCCGTGTATAACTCCAATAATCTGATATATTGATCGGAGTACAAATATCTGGTATCATAAGTTGGACCCGTTTTGTCTGATAAATGGAACGAAAGCTTTGCATAAATTGTCATTAATGTACTTGGATTTTTTCTTGACGCTAAACGCTTCAACGATTTAATCGATGCATTTGAGATTCTTGAATCGGGATGAATAGCCGCTCGAACTAAAACTTCAACAATCTGTTTAAATGGAACCAAATTCAGTTGATGATCAGCCAGAATGGTCCATGGAATTGCTTCTATTAATGTGGCAAATAACTCCATTTGAATTTCTTTAGTTGATTGAGGTGTCGAGTCATAATTGAAATGGAAGCCAAACGATGATGACGATTGTGATCTATTTGAACCCAAAGAGAAATAATTGCTATTGTTGCTGTTGTCAGAACCGTTTAATGTAGATCCATATTGACCATCAAGTATTCTTAATAATAATGCAAACGTTCGACAAATTTCATCATGGCTTGCCAGGTTAGTACTATTCTTGGCTATGTACAAAAAGTCTCCAGTCTTAACTTTTTGTTGTTCAAAGAAATTGTTGTCATCAACTGGGAATAGTGGTTTATCTCCAATTTCATAGTCTTGTAAAATTGCTAAATAACTTTTGATAACGACAATTATCTTTTCGGGGAATGAATTTTCCAATGAGTTCCCATTAAAACTCATATTCAAAAGTTTTATCAAAACATGTTCCAATGTATAATTCAAATGGTTATACCCCACGATTCGGATCAATTCAACCAAGGCCATTATCAAATTCAAATCTGGAGCAATCCATTGATGCTTTTTGCTAGTGGCATTACTGTGGAAAAATAACAATTCAAAGAGTGAATCTAATCTCTTAATCGTGTTGTTTAAAGTATCAGGTAATCTGTTAAGATATACCCATGTCAATCGGGCAACACTTTCAATGTACACTGTTTTATCTTCCACTTCAACTTTTGGTTTCAATTTAAAACTATTCTCCTCGATTACAGGATACCATACCTCAGAGAATAACTCTTTTCTTGATACTGATAAGGAGGAAGTCATTAATGACAAAGCGTGGGCCCATGTATTATTCAGGGAAACTCCTGGTTGATTAACACTTGGAAGTGTCATAGATGTTGGACTGGCACCTGCTCCTGAGGCATGCCTCCAAAGTTTCACTGCTTTGCGGTATATTTTCTCAATTGCTTCTACCCAGGTTGGGTGATTTGCCTCAGCAGTAATGACATTGGCAATCGGCAAAAATAACAGATTAAAAACTTCACAATATGCATACATTACAGTTTCATTGGTGGCAACTTCAAAGAATTTCGCCAAGGATTGAATAAACTCAGCACATTCTTCAAATTCTTCTAATGGATAAACAGTGAGTTTAAGGTATCTCATCCCATTGATCAAAAGGTATAACCTTGGTTCTTCCTCATGTTGAACAATTTTTGGTACTTTTTCCAAATCAGCAATGAATCTATCATTGACACTAACAAATCGTCTTTGAGACATAAACCCTAATAGTTCGGCAAACAAATTCCAATTTGCTGCTCGGACCAAGGACTGGCTTGTACTTATCGGATCAGTGGTTTTCAACTGAGTGTAAACAATCTCTTCCAACTTACTACTAAGGTCGTCGCCCATTGTATCAGGGGGTGTCTGTTTAACAATCTCGATCAATACTCGACACAATATGTATATCGATGCCAATGATTTTCGATCTGCCTGAATTGCTGTTTCCTTTGCTTGAATGATTTGACCATCAAAGAATTGTTTTTGTTTTAAGTATTCGTTGTCGGATTCTGATACATTTGTGTTTGTCACAACCGTACTTGTCGAAGAATGGTTTCGACGATGCGTTATTCTGGAAAGACTTTTCTTTCTCATAAGACTTAAGCTTCTTTTTGCACCAGATATAGCATTACTGGCACTTCCACTTCCGTTCTTGGCTATTCCAGGGCTAGATGGTGTAATTTGAGAGCCACTCGAAACTCTTGAAGTTTTCAACAACGTGCTTTTAGCAATTCCTAAAGCTTTCTCTACTTCTGATGCAGCCATAGTAGCAACTTCACTCTTGGATTTCCTCCAAAACATAACACTATCGATCACTGGTTTTGGTTTCCTTCGAGCAATGTATCCCAATGCAGAAACAATTTTATCAAACTCTGGATCTACGCCTTCGGCGATCAAATCGAGGATAGGAGGTTCCTCATTTATGGGATAATCAAGACACAAGTTTAATTTACGTTCAGCGTGACGAACAAATTGAGTGAATACAATATGTAAAGTATACTCGGCCGAAGTTTTTGAATCTGTTGCCAAACCTCTTCTCATGGAACCAAATTCTTCGCCATTATTTAAAGTTAGTCTTTGAAGCGAAGTAGTTGACAATGGTGCCGGCAATTGGGGCGATGGCTCCACGTGGTTTCTTGTTGGAAGTAATGATGCTGGTGATGCAAATTGTTGTGATAATGAAGTGGCTGTGGCTTGTCTCAGATCATAACTAAGCATAATGGGATTGCCCAATTGAGTTAGTTGATCATGTGCTGCTTGACCATAGTTATAATCAGATTGAAAACTATTTGTTCCTGTTGTTGTTCCAGTAGTTGCATTTAGAGGAAGTGGTGGTTGTTGTAGTTTAAAATTCTGGTCTTGTATATCACTGGTGGTGTAAGTTACTCCGTCAGTCTCATTGTCAAATTCCAAAGATGAGTTTTTTGTCTGAACATAATCAATACGTTGAGAACTAATGTTTTGTGAATCTTCGGTTCCGAGTGAAATACCTGATTGGATGACATGATTATATGGCTGTCCTGGTGGAGGTGGTTGTACTTGTCCTTTAAAATAATTTGAATTCTCAATTCTTGAATCTATTTCATTCTCTATTCTCTCAAGTCTGGCATTTATCATTTCTGGTTCTTGATCTAGAGGATTTTGAGTTGATGGTTCGGCAACCGGGTCAAGTAATCTCTGCTGCTGTTGTTGCTGCTCTTCTTGAGGTAGTTGGGATCTTGATCTAGCAATGATGTTTGTGCTACTGGCCAGTGCATTGTATAATGCGATTGTTTCTCCTAATATATCTGAGCCTGCAGATGAATCTTGCATTGATACTGCTGAAGGGGGTAATAAATCTTTGGTGATGCCTATTTCTTCTGATGGTTCTGGTGTTTGTCGGTCCGGGATCTGATGCTGTGAGAAATAATGATCTTGTAGTGGTGGTTCCTTGATATGTAGAGACACTTCTTTTTGGATTGAATTTATGGAATGTTGTAGATCAAGAGTGATATGCTCGTCTTGTCCCTGTACTTGTCCTTGTTCTTGTTCTTGTTCTTGTCCCTGATACAGATCTTGTACCTGGTTATATCCCTGAACTTGTTGTTCGTGTTCTTCCAGATCATCGTGTATGTGAGATTGTTGCAGTTCACCAAGCCCTGATTCTTCTAATGAGATGTTTTGAAAGCCACTAAATCCTGAGTAGTTATTTAGAGACAAATCGTCTAAATCAGGAATCTCAATCATGATTATGTAATTGAATATAAAGGATGGTTTGAGGTTGGTATTTTTTTGGGAGTGTCTTTTAGTTTTTGTTTTGGCTTAGGGAGGCAGTGGGTTATATTGTCGTGTAAAAGGTTGGTAAAGTGAAAGAGATTGAGGTTGTCAATATTGAGAAGAAGAAAAAAAAAAAAATTGTTGTTGTTGTGTTTTTCCTCACACTCCCCTTTCCTATTGCCTACTACGGTGCTACGGTGCTACGGTACTGTGCTACTACTACATCCCACGGAGTAATGTCATAAAAAAAGGGGGACAAAGACATTTTATTTTTTTTTTCCCAAGCGTCGTGTAAAACCAAAAAAAAAAAATTTGACACACAGTTACAGACACACGCCCTGTACCGACCCGTCCTGTCCTGTCCTGTTCTGCCCTACACTAATTGGCAGCACTCGCTAAAAAAATTAATTATAAAATAGTCCAGCTATCTAAACCATATGTACATGTGTAGTGTTGTTTTGCTTTTGTTTTATTTTTGTATCGAAGAATCGTTCGATTAAATATGCGCCTTACGCCATCACGGCATACGGTCTAGTGTTAGAATATGGAAGCAGAATGTAATATAAGAAAAAAAAAAGAGGGGAGGACACTGGAAATTGTGACAAAAATGCAATGATCAACAGTAAGATTACTCGTAACTAAGAAAGTTTAATTGTTTTAGTGTGATCTGTAATAAGAATATTGATCTACTATTGTGTACATTCTCAAAGGGGACAACTTATAGCCAATATGAATATCCTATAGATTACGTATTGAGTCTACGTTGTTTCTGTGGTCTACTGCTCTCCAAAGGCACACCTGAATTAACGGCCAGAACTGGAGGATAAGCTGTTGCTGCTGGTTGTTGAACTAACCCTCTATCTACAGATAATCTCTTAAACTTGGACTTGGTAGATAGGTCATTCCATAAAAGCTGAACTTCCATTGGTTGTAATATATTTCCATAGACACTTACCACTTGAATATTATTACCAAATAGCGCACCAAAACAATTGAAAGCATTATAAAAGTAACCAGATAGGTTGTTATTATTTAAGTTAATATCTTCAAGAAATTGGAATCGTAAAAAGCTTCCATGAAAGGAATATAACTGACAATTTGATAGGTCCATTTGTTGTAAACTTCTTGGTAATGAATCCAAATTCAATTTTCCTAATGATACGTAAGATAAATTTAGTACTCTCAAATTATAACATTGTAATAAATTTAGATTATCGATATGTTTGGCAGTAAGATAAAGATTCGATCTTAAACTAAGATGAATCAAGCCCGGTGGGAATGCCACAATTGATTCATTGGATCCTAAATGATTACCATCACAATTCAAAACCTTTAGATTGTTTGGAAGGTTCCGAATAACACTAATATAATTATGAGACAAATCCAAACGATATAGGTTATCTGGTAGTGGGTGTGAAAATGCAGTGAAATTGCATTCAGAAAGTATCAACTCTTTAAGTACTGGTGGAACGACCAATGACCCATAACAAGAAGGCGTCAACCGATTCTTACTTAGGTTCAAGTACTCAAGTTTGGGAGCATCGATCTCAACACTTCTAAGGTCATTACCTATGCACGAAAGGCGGCGAATACTTTGGGGAAGTTCGTAATCAAAGCTACGTCTTTTCTGGATATTGTCAAACACAATCTCAGTAACACCGTCCAACTCCCGAAATTTGTTCATATCGAAAATTTTAGCCGTGGCAATCGTTCCAATACCATACCCTTCATGGTTCTTATGCATGTATTTTTTTGATTCTTTTGGGGAACTTTCCAATAGCATTCACGTGTCCTGGTAACCATAATATGAGCTCCTCGAGATTTGGAAATTTGTGGACATAAAAATCAAGAACCAACGTTCTTCGAATGTCAGAGTTCCCGGTTAATTTCAATTTCATCAATCCATCAGGAAATTTCACTCTATATCGAAGTTGGGGATGATCTTTCAAAAACTTTAAAGTTATAGATCTTCCTGTGTAGCTAAGAAAACTAGAAGGAATAGCTAACACTTTTACACTTTCCGGAATACTCAAGTCTTGTATGAAATCATTGTCATCGCCTTCATAGTGACAATGTATTTCCAATTCGGTTATACTAGAACCAATTGTTTCTAATTTTCCAATTATCATTCGATTGTAATAAATCCATAACTTTTGCAAGTTATTGGGAAGATTCCACGATCCTAGTAATGGCGTATGTTCACCCCTAAAGCCAATCACGACTGTCAGTGGTTCAATTCTAGCATCATGTAACTTAGTTAAATGGGAAATATCAAATTGACACATCACATCTCCATGCATACTGTCTACTTTTAAATGTAATTTGTTTAAAGTTTCAGGAAATTCTAATTTCATTTGTGATGCATTTGTATTTTTCATATTCCCCACAAATGCTTTCAAATTTCTTGGGAGAGACCGAAACTTTTCAGCATCCAATTGTTGTTCAATTTGAAGGAAAGACAAATGGGGAAAGAATACTTGAGAAATGCTTGTGAAATCAATTGGATCTGTACCCGATAAAGTAAGTGATTTCACATTTTGAGTTAAAGTCGGACAAAGATAATGTTCAAAGTTATTTCCATAAACTGTGTGGATGGCATCGACATAAAAGGGTCTTTGTAAGTACTCGTGAATATAGAAACCAGGTTTTATGGCATTGGAATGGTTCGTCTCAAAGTAAAGTTCAGCTTTAACATTAACCATTGCAGATGGAAGCATTTAAACAAGGGCAAGGGCATCAAAGGGGTTTTTAAAAATGATTCTTTTAGGAACAAGATTAGGTTCTGACCTTAAAAGGTTTAAATATTCAATAGTATTCTTGACATATAATTTCTGGTCACTATAAACAACTGGCTCTTCATCACACTTGGATAGATCACTGATGACAACAGTTGAGTTCACTTCCTTTTGTGCAAACATTCCTAGGAAAGGAATATCAAAAAGTTTTTCAAAAACTTCAATTGGAACATAACTGACAATGGTATTTATTACCTCTTTTGGCAAGTCACGAAACTGTGCCATTTTGGGGAGTGTTGCTTATGGTAGTAAATTCGATGAAGGGTCCACGATGTTAAGAATGTAATTAAAGAAGAAAAAAAAAATTCTACTCCAACAAAAAAGACGCGTCTTGATTTTTCTGCAACAGGTACTGCGAATGAAGGTTGGCAAACTCATTATGGCTATTGTACATAGGTGTTGGATATCTGTGTATTCCTATCTATGGTGGTTTTACAATATCTAATTCTTCAAATGATTTTCGTTGTGATAAGTGATCAAAGAGTGTTTTCCTGGAAAATATTGTAAGGCTGTTCAGTTCAAGATATACACATTGTATATTCTCACCAAACAGAAACGTACCACACCTTTGTAGATCATCAAAGTAATCATGTAAGTGGTTATCTCGCAAATCCAATTCTTCAAGGTTTTGAAATTGTTCAAAGTCATTTACTAATGTAGATATTTTGTTGTGATTTAATGACAATTTCTTTAATGATAATGGTAAGTGGGTAGTGACAAGTATAGATATTTCATTATCATCTAAATCCAATGACTTTAAATTTTTACATTCCCTTAAATTCAGATCATATATCCATTGCGTGTCAATTTTATTATGAGACAAGTTAAGATGTGTCAAACTTGTGGGGAACGTTTGGGGTGATATGTTTTCCAACTCGGAAAAATCACATGGATGTCCGTCTATACTCTTGATTCTATTCCCACTGAGATCTAAAAACAGTAATCTCGGTGGAAATGCAATTGCAATATTCTCTATTCCACATGACATAAGGTGCAATTTGATAATACTATTAGGAAGACACAAATTTCTATTATCTATTTGTTTTAGTTTGATGTCAAATAATGTCACTGACAGGAGATGTGAAGCTTTAATATCAATTTTCTTCAAATTCAATCCCCGTAATTCTAGCTTTACCAAAGACAGTGGTAGAATGTATGAAAAGTCGTTCAATCTTGCCGAACAACTAATACAAAGCTCTGTAAGGTTATCTAAGTACTGTAACTGATTCAAATCAAATATATTCATGGACTCCCAATTTAATTTTCTCAATGACTTTGGCAAACTCCGTTTAACTGAAACTGAAACACCACCATTCATTATGAGTACCTGGAGATGGGGAAGTGGGTTTTGATCAAAATCAAGTATTATAGGATAGAAGCTTTGACCTGTGGTATTCAATTCTGTAAGAGAATCAGGTAGATTCAATACTATTCCTTCATCTCCACTAGCCATGTCATTCCAACTAAGAAGGGCATTGGGAATTTTCAATCTCTTCATTGATCTGGGAAATATAAGCTTTCTTATAAAAATACCATCATAATCAATTGTTTCATTATCAAATTGCCATTCAACTAATTGGGGACATATCTTGGCTAGATCTATATCAACCATATCTGAACGATTTGTTCTTAAGAATTTCACATTTCGTGGTAGATTCCATATCCGATTCAGTGGGTTTCGATAATGTTCATCGTTTAAATGTAAATTCTGAACTTTTTTCAAATGTGAAATATCAAAAATACAATGAATATCTTGTAGTGCTGTCCTAGTATTTATTCGTAGTTTTCTTAAGTTCTCTGGAAGTGCCAAATCAACATGATTTTCATTGACAGCACCTATAGTACACTCTAATGTTTCCAATTGTCTTGGAATTAATATCAAATCTTTATAGTCTATTTCTTGTATCAAAGTTAGACTAGATAATTTTGGAAACCAATTACTGGATAATTTGTTAAGACGAATATTTGATTTCCCAAGTTGTGAAAATGAATTGACATGTGTGAACAATTCAATTGGGAAAAACACCAAACTTTCGGTACTGCAATTAGTAATTATACTATCAATATCAATCGTCACTTCCTTGTACTTTTCAATGAATATCCGATTAGGTGTAGGTTTACGACTTTTGTGAATAAAACAAATCTCCACTGAACTTTTCCTCATCAAATTTGGGAATTTTTCAGCTACTTCAAATACATCATTTGGTCTCTCAAATATTATTCTCTTTGGATAATAATCTGAATTCTTCTCAATTAGTTTTATAAATCTACTAGTTGATAGTACTTTAGAATGAGGTGTTGATAACTGTAGTTTTTTAATCAGATTTATTGTTCCGTTATGAATCACAACAGGTGAATATAATTCTTTAAATGCAAATTTACCAATAATTGGATTGGTTAGAAAGTCTTCTAGGTTTTCATGTGGAATATATCCAACTATTATTTCAAGAATTTCATCAGGTAAATCGTTGAATAATATCATTATTTGTACTTAAATGAAAACAAAACTCATCGAGTGGTGAAAATAAAGTATGAAAAAAAAAAGAGGGGACAAGTTGAAAGAAAAAAGTGGGGAGCACCAGTATTATAACCAAACCATAATTATCAATAAAGAAATAACTAGTATTGAAGAACATTTAACTACTAAAGTGTGATCTGTTATACAATACCAATATATAATCGAACATTCTTTAAGTGATGACTTACAGATATATATTAAAGACTACATTACTGATTGAGTTTTCGTTGTTTCTTGGGTCTATTGCTATCCAACGGGGTGCCAAGATTAACCACCTCATCTGGAGGATTACTTCTTGGTACTGGTTGTTTGGCTAAATCTCTGTCAAAAATTAAATTCTTAAATGATGGTTTGGTCGATAATTCATTCTGTAATAACTTAACTTCGATGGGTTGTAATCTGTTACCAGAAACGTTCACTATCTTGATCTTGCTACCAAATAGAGAGCCATGATTTTTGAAAGCATTATGAAAGTAACCACCTAGTTCGTTAAGACTTAAGTAAAGCTCTTCGAGAGCTTGAAATCGTAAAAAGCTTCCATCAAGGGAAGATAACTGACAACTTGATAGGTCTATTTTTTGCAAACCTCCTGGCAATGAGTCCAAATTCAATTTCTCCAACTTTGCACCTGATAAATCTAGGAATCTCAAGTTGTGACATTGTGATAAATTCAGAGTCTCGATATGCTTGCCTGTAAGATCGCGATTGTTTCTCAAATTAAGACGAACCAAGCCCGTTGGGAATGTGGAAACTGAATCTGATTCTCCTAGTCGATTAGACTCACATTTTAACTCCTTTAAATTATCTGGAAGATTCTCAATAGCTCGAAGCTTATTATCAGTTAGGTCCAAATAGTGTAAGTTTTCTGGTAGCGCGGGTGAAAATTCAAAAATGGAACATTTTTGAAGAATCAATTGCTTGAGGTTATCTGGTAGGACAAATTTCACATTATCAGGATGGTAAAACTTATTTTTACTTAGGTTCAAATATTCAAGCTTGGGAGCATCTATGTGAACTCTAGTAAGTTCACTTTCAAGGTATGAGAAGCGACGTAGACTAGCGGGAACTTTGTAATGGCATTTATTTCTTTTGTAGACATTCTCCAACTTAATCTCAGTAAGACTCTCCATCTCCTTAAATTTATTCATATCAAACGTTTTAACCGACATCATTGTTCCAATGCTGAAACAAGGATAGTTATGCTGTATAAATTTCTTAATGGTTTTAGGGAACTTTCCAAAGACGTTCACGTGTCCTGGAAATAATAATGATAGCTCCTCGAGTTTGGGCAATTTGTTGACATGAAAATCTAGAACCATAGTTCTTCGAATATCATTATGTCCGGTTATTGTTAATTTGATTAATCCATCAGGAAATTTCACTCTATTTCGAAGTTGTGGATGGTCTTTTAAATAGTCTAACGAAACCAATTCTTTTTTGTAACTAAGAAAGAAATAAGGAATTGATAACACTTTTACGCTTTCCGGAATACTCAAACCTTGAATGAAATCCTTATTATCACCTGCATAGCGTTCTTCAATTTTCAACTCCATTAAGCTAGTGCAAACTGTTTCTAATTTACCTGAGATCATTCGATTATGGGAAATACATAACTTCTTCAAATTTTTTGGAAGTTTCCAGAATCCAGGCATTGAAGTTCTGGTTATAAGACCACTATGGTCACTCGGTGGTTCAATTCTAGCATCATTTAAATTAATTAAATGGGCAATATCAAATTCACACTCTAGATCTCTATCTCCATCTCTACAGTCAACTTCTAAATATAATTTTTCCAAAGTTTGAGGGAATTCTAATTTCATTTGCAACAAACTTGTTTTCAATATACCCCCAAGAAAAACTTTCAAATTTCGTGGTAGCAAATGCAATTCTTCAGAATCTAAATTTTGATTAACTTTAAGGAAAGTTAAGCGGGAGAAAAACATTTGAGAAATGCATTTCAAGTCGATTGGATTGGTTGCCATTACAGTAAGTGATTGGATTGGTTGCCATTACAGTAAGTGATTGGATTGGTTGCCATTACAGTAAGTGATTTTACATTTCTAGTTAAAGATAGGCAAAGGTAATCATCAAAATTGTCACCATAAACAGTATGGATGGAATCAACACAAAATGGCATTTTCAAATATTCATGAACATATAGACCTGATTTTGTAGCACTCAGATGTGTTTTTGCAAAGTGAAGTTCAGCTTTCACATTAGCCATTGCAGAAGGGGATGTTCTAGCAAGTGCAAGGGCATCAAAGGGATTTTTAAAAATGATTCTCTTGGGAGCCAAATTCGGATCTGACTCAAGACATTTTAAATAATCGGTAGTACTCTTGGTGTACAATATTTCATTCGCATAATATGCTGCTTTAGAATAACTACTGTTTGGTTCATTGATTACAACAGTTGAATGAGCTTCTCTTTTAGCAAATTTTCCTAAATATGGAACGTCAAAAAGTTTTTTCAAATCTTCAATTGGAAGATAACTAATAATAATAGATATCACTTCGTCTGGCAAGTCACGGAAATGTGCCATATTGAAAGTACTGTTGATGGTAGTAGTTGTAGCCAAAGTTGTATGACACTCAATGTGTAATCAAAAAAAAAAAAAAAATAAAAAAAATTTTACTTACAATAAAAGACGCGTCTTGATTTTTGCAACAGATTTTTGTAGTACTATACTAGAGTCACATATTGTACACAAATGATGGAGTTTCTAACCCACAGACAAAGAAACCATACATGATCAAATAGTTCGAAAGTTTCAGGATGTGAAACATAATCAAAATTGTATTTCCATAGAAAATATTGTAAAAGTGTTTAGTACAAAATATACACATCGGGAACTCTGACCAAACAGAAACTATTTTGATCACGTGATCTACATTCTATTCATCCAATTATAACCTACCAAATGAATTTTTATCAACGTATAGAATAATGCATTGGGCTCATTAGTTTACCAAGCTACTATTCACCTATTTAAAGTATGCTTATAAATTTTTTGGAACTAGTAATTTGGTCTTCTTAAAGTTTACTATGATATAATGGATGATATTTATACTAATTTACCCCTCTGTCTGTCATAAACCTTTTCAAATGATATCACTAGTAGGTCTATTAAGCTATAGAAGTATATCTGCAATGATATAATAGGTAATTATTAAACTATTTTGCATTCTCTAAAAATACCATCTGGTAGCTCGATATTTTCCAGAAATCAGTTTATTTTTACTTTAATTTTATTTCTAATTTGTGCTAATATTCAAACACAAAATATAAAATCAAGAAATAATACCATGAATTATCTTTAATTTATTTTACTTAACGTCTCATTATAAATAACCTAGTTCATTGGTATCAAATTTTAGAAATTCAACTTCATAAACTTTCTCTCATATCACGTGATACGTGTCACGCATTTCCTTTGAATGATTATCAACTAGAACTGAAGTCTTACACATATATGACCGTCATATTCTTATTTATTTGGAATGGATTTTATTAGTTTAATATATATTGATAAGTTTTCAAGTTCAAAAACAAGTGGATTCTTAGGTATGGAAAGATATTCTACATTAGGACGAATTACAAAAAACCTTACTACTATCACCAAGTTTGTTTCCTTTGAGGACAGACATAATATGAAGTTCATGAAGTCTTCACACTTACTATAATCCAATCCAGTCCTCTCATAAACTCAATTGATCTATAATTGTTCGAAAGACGACACTCGATAGTATAATCTAGTTAATGGTTTACAAAATCTCCATATTGACCATGTGCGTAAATGTGATACATAGGGGCCAAAGTTTTAAAATACTGGAGGATTTGAAAAAGAGCGAAGCTGGCGATGAACCTAGCAGATACGAGTATAACTGAATATCTTTATACATACATATATTATAACCAAAAGATACAACTTATTTAATCATATTTATTTCTTTGACTTTTTCAATTTTTTACCTTCCAACTTGTTCATGGTATCTACTCTATCTATAACTCTTTCCAAACTTAATCTAACATCACCTTTAGCAAAATGATCAAGGTTATAATATTTAGGAGCCAATTCAACTAACCAATCAGGTTTGACAACCGTTACTGTTCTTATATAGTTTTTAGAAGTCAAAACAAATTCATTATAAATCATCCATTCACCTTCTTTAGCAAGAACTGTAGATGGATGGATTAAAACATCTTGATTATCTTTAACAGTTAAATAACTCTTACTTCCCAGCTTCTTTTTAGCAACTTGCATGAAAAATCCAGCAACAAGAGCTTTTTTAATATTTTCCCAATATTGATTTTCAGAAATTTGATTATATTCAGAAATCAATTCCAAATCATGTTTTTGCATTATTCTTTCCAATTGACGACGAACATTCTTGGCGGAAGTTAATGAACGGTATGAAAGGAAATTATCACGACACCATTTATGTACACCAATTTCAGCAGCTTCTGGAGAAATAAAAGCTTCATAAACATTGATCAAAGTCAAATGATCACCATCAGGTTGAGCAAATGCAAGTTTGGCTTCATCAGCTCTTTTTCTAGCCAGGGCAGGACGAACAAATACATTTGGTACACTCAACATAGCAACAATTGTCAAGATTTCTTCGGAACATTTAAAAGCTGGAGATCCAATCAACATAACTGCAAGCATTGGATCAAGAGGGAATTGTGAAGCCATTCTACCTAATGCAGTTAAATCACCTTCATCAGATAAACATTGTAAATAATTCAATTCTTCTAATGCTCTCATCATAGTTTCTGGTGCTGGTGGATCCATAAAATCAAAATGAACTAAATCATCAACTCCCAATTTCTTCAATTCTAAAACTGTAGATGCAAGATTTGAACGCAAGATTTCTGGATATGATTGTTCAATCAATTCTTTTTTGAATGCTTCTTCTGTATATAATCTGAAACATTTACCTGGTCTGGTACGACCAGCTCTACCAGCTCTTTGTTGAGCAGAAGCTTTAGAAATTGGTGAGACTAAAAGTGATTCAACTCTAACTCTTGGATTGTAAACTTTTTGTTTGGAAAAACCTGGATCAACAACATATACAATACCATCAATGGTTAAAGAAGTTTCAGCAATGTTGGTAGAAACAACAACTTTTCTACCTGGTCTTCCTTTAGGATTTGGATTTGTTGGTGCTGGTTCGAAAATTTTTTGTTGTTGATGTGGTGGCAAAGAACCATATAATGGATACACTTTTAATGGACCACAATTTTGTTCTCTTACTAATTCATCACCTTCAAGGGAGATTTTCCTACATGCATCTTCAATTTCTTCTTCACCAGTAAGGAATAATAAAATATCACCTTCACCTTCAGTGGCATGGATTTGTAAAACAGTTCTAATGGCAGCATCCAAATAATCACGTTGGAATTCAGGTGTGTAATAAATTTCAACTGGATGGGTTCTACCAGGAACAGCCAATAATGGAGCATCATTGAAATAACTTTGGAATTTTTCTGCATCTAAAGTAGCAGACATAATAATGATTTTCAAATCTGGTCTTCTTACACTAACTTGTTTAATCAACCCCATTAAAATATCAGTAGCTAAAGTTCTTTCATGCGCTTCATCCAATATAATACAAGAATATCTAGTTAAATCATGATCTTCCATTGCTTCTCTTAACAACATACCATCAGTCATATATTTTAAAATAGTTTTTGGACCAGTATTATTTTCAAATCTAATACTATAACCCACTTCTTCACCCAATTCAACATCCATTTCATCAGCAACTCTGCTAGCAACAGACATGGCTGCAACTCTTCTAGGTTGGGTACATGCAACTTGTTTACCTGTCAAATGTGGCATTTCATCATATAAAACGAATTGTGGAATTTGAGTAGTTTTACCAGACCCAGTTTCCCCAACAAAGACCATAATTTGAGTTGAATGGAAAATTCTTAAAAACTCATCACGTTGAGCATGAACTGGTAAATCACGTCTAACTTTTAAAATATCAAAATATTTCTGACTGAATTGATTTCCTGTAAATGGATTATTTGGTCCATCTTCTAAAATTTCTGCTTGTTTAGCAGTAGTTTCATGACGTTTCATATTTTTAAATTCTCCAGCATCATGATGTACCAAAGGTTTTTCATCAGATGGATGTGGATGTAATCTAAGTTCTTCTTCAGCTGCTTCAGCTACTTGTTCTGCAACTGATTCATCGACTTTTTGTCTTTTAAGTGATCTTTCTTCTTCCGACATTGGTGATGATAGTCTTTTGTTGTTATTGATTGATTATCAAATAGAAAAAGAGATGGGCATCGAGAATAAAATCAATAAAAGAAAAAAAAAAAAAATTCTAGCGTGGGACAAAATGATTAAACAATCTATAGCGAGGGATTTTGAAACATACACACGACTTTCTAATATCTAACAACCACTTGTATTCGATTCATCTTTTCAAATTAGTGAACCAATCATTTAAAGCAGCAGATAAAGTTTCTCTCATAAAATCATTTTTTTCATCCATTACAATTTGTCTATTTTTGAAATGGTTACTTATTTCTTGTTGTAATTTTTTATTCTTGATTTTATTTTGAGATAAAGTAATAAAATTGAAATTATTAAACAAATCATTAAACATTTCCAATATCAAATTAAACTCATCTTTAGGAATTTCAATTGGATCTTCAATATAAGCTAAATTGGAAAACAAGTCATTATAAGTATCAGTGAAAATTGCACCTTTATTCGGAACTTTTGAATTGTTCAAGTTAAGGATGAGACAATATAAGGAAGTTACAAATAAAGTACCTGTTTGAACCAAATTAGTATATATTTGAAGAATAGATGGATTTTGTTGAATTACTTTTTTAAAAGTTTTTGAAGGAGTGATGGTTGAAAATTCTGTACTTGATGAAATTCTCTTTGGAATACCCGAGGAAGAAGAAGAAGCACCAGCAATACTAACTGATCTTAGAGCAAGATTTGAAACATTAGAAGAAGTCGATGACGACATAACTAGCAAATAATAAGGGGAAGGTTTCAACAATATACAATAATGAAAGTGGTGGTTTAAATTGTTGTATGTTGCGTATCAAATGTTGCAAAAAAAAAAATTTCATAAACAATAGTCATTGTGGATTTAACCACACACACTTTTGTAGCAAAAGTGCACGAAAAGTAGGAAGAAAAAACCATCACTTGGAGATACAGTCGCTTGCAAAAAGTTTTTAAATTTTTTTTCAAAATCAAAAAGTAGTGTACTGGATAATAAATGAGAAAACAAAATTAATAACAAAGATCGTGTATAGCACAATTCCGATAGGGACCGAGAAAATTTTTACTTCATCCGAATAATTATGTAGATTGTTCACAGAAAAATACATAATTGTAAGTACTATCGATACAGTCTAGAATGATGTATATACAAGAGGTATGTAGTTTTTACCTTGTGTATTAATGGCAGTTAATTCTTTGTAAAACGGAACGTGAAAAACAGGAGAGAAAAACTTTTTTGTTCCCCGTTTTTGTGGCGTTTTTCGATTTTAAAAAAAAATTTAAAAACTTTTTGCAAGCGACTGTATGTCTATGTGTAGTTTCCGTAAATGTGTAGATTGTAGGTTTACTCATAACCAAAGTGTAGATTTTGTGGGATGACGATTCAAGAAACCGACTCACCAAGGTAATTAAACACAAATTCAACACACATTGATCGTAAGTAACAACTAGTTCTCCTTTTGGTTGCAGAACAATACCCAAGTTGCAATAGACAAACAGTCTAGATTTGAAAGGAAAGTATCACAAGAATTCAAAGAGATGTGATAATACTCATAGTGTCCATGTCCAATCATTTAATTAACTGCATACATAACCCAAGATACATTTACTAACCTATTATTATATTCGTAAAATGTCTATTTGTCTAGATTGTTTCAAGTCTATTCAATTTGTAGTGGAAAAAAAATTTTTTTTTTTCCGATTCATTATACAGTATAGATACGGCATATGAGTAAGAAATGATTTTGAGCTAATTTTTTTTTTATTATGATTGTATTGTTCCGTGATTGGTTATACCAACTAAAAATGAAAACCGTTGACATGGAGTTTGCATTTGACATTATGTCATCTCGAAATAATGAAGTTGTTAGGTATTTATGTATGAGTAGCGGAAATGATTATTTCTTTTTCAAAGGGAATTCTACATCCCAATAAGCTACTTGTCTACGTTGTAGTATCTCTAATTTAAACAAGACCTCATGATACACATCCACACCAGGGTTCCAAAAAAAAAAAGTGTGATAACAGTGGTTCTAGACCATTTGATTAAAACAATAATGGAAGTCACATTTCTTGATCGGTTTTATTTTATTACAAACCAGTGTGGGTATTGATATATAGAACACAAAGATTATTCATACACTTGAATTGCCGTGTGTGTATACAATTAATTAATCTGCATTGGGTAAAGTAATGACACCACGGGGTTATTGGTTCTGGAGAATGCCAATGAAAAAAAAAGAATAATTTCAACCAATTACAGAACAAAATCTCAACAGAAATGGTTCATATTACGTTTTGCCTTGTATATGCGTTGTTTGCTGCAAATATGAGACAAAATCATCGCATATATGGTGCATGAAGTGTTGTATAACAAAAAAAAAAAAAAATACCAATTGCCGGAATTGCTCCCCATTGGTTTCCTAAATGGTTTCCGTTGAACATTGTATTTGTTTTGTGTTTACTTCATCTACTCATATGATGTTAATGGGCTTAATTGGAAGGTCAATTATGAAAAATGAAAATGAACTATACAAGGAATATTTGCAGTAAAAGGCTTTAACTTTTTTTTTCATGTGGTAGTTGTTGTTGTTGTTGTAGAGGAAGTCTCGGTGTTTTCACACACACGCACATAAGCTAGAACAATAAGACATGTTAATATGCATCTTCTTACATCAAAGGGGAAATAGAAGAGAGACACACACACACCGTTACACGAAGAACAATTGATAATATGTATGTAAAAGGGATAATTTATATATTTTATTCTATTATTATTTTGATTCATTGACGGTTAGGTTTTTTTTTTAAATTATTTTCCCCCTTTTTCTTTTATTCCCCTGTCGAATTCATATGATTTCTCCTTTTGTTGTAAAGTGGATACTCTTTCATAGGTGTAAAAAAAAAGATTAAGCGACGTAAAGTGACGACACTGACTCTACACATTACAACGCAATTGAACGCCATGTTCCAAGGCTTGAAGTGGTAAGAAAGTGTAATCTTTCACACATCCCACTTTTGTTTCAATATTGTTTGAGCGGTGTATGAAAGCCTGCTTTTTTTTTTGGGACAATGTACACGATGGAATTATTATTGGCTGAGGAAAAGAAAATTTTTTTTTTAGTTTAAACTATTTTATTATTCTTATAGACGATGAATAATTTAGAGATAGACGATAAGAAGAAAATGATTTCGTTTATTAACACATTGATGACGTTAAGAAATGAACTAATGACCAGTTGAAAGATCAAATCACCAGCAATAAGTCATATTATTATTATCTTGATGCTGGTTGATCTGACTTAATTTAAACATCATTAGTTGCAAGAGATGGCTGGGAGAAAGAGAAAAAAAAAACTCGAAAGTCGTGCATGAACCGTGGGTTTTTCTTGTATTATTTTATTTTCGACTTTTTAGGAAATCCTTTCGTGTGCCAAGGCTCAAATAGCATGACACAAAGACACCGAAAAAGTAAAATTCATTACAAAAATGATAAATCTTTTTTTTTTTGGCGTGTAATTATGCACAATGTACCAACTAAACTATTGCGGCATTTCTATATGCAGTATATTATTAACATTCACGTGACTTTTATCTAACATTTCCTTTGAAAATTTGTATTTTTGTGTAGCAACTATTTTTTTTTACGCCTACAAGAAATGCAACAAAATAAAATAAACATAAACAATAACACAAAAACGATCGATGAATTATTGCATGTTACACACTAAATTAAAAAAAATAGTGTTGATGGGCTATTCCTTTCTTTCATTCAATAACAAAATCAAAACAACATTCTGTTTCGTTTCATTTAAATCCTACGCCTTTTTTCCCATTTTTAAATTTTACCATTTTCAAAACAAAAGAACAGATTTTACTTTCCCTTTCTTTCCTTTTCGAAATACAAATATTAACCAATCTACTTTTCCTTTTATTTTAAAAAAAGAATCAACACTCCCACATTCCTTTTAAAACCCTCTCAATTCATATTCTTTAGGTCTAACCCATTAGTCATTCTTTATAATTATTCTTTTACTACTCGTATAAGAAACCACAACAAATAATAACAACCACAAGAAGAAGAAGAAGAAAACAAAGGAATTTCAAATATGCAATTCAAAACTACTGCCTTATTGGCCATATTATCTACACTTAGTTCAATTCATGCCTCATGTTCATATGATGATGGAAACTATTACTGTTCAGAAACTAAAAAAGTTATCTATAAAGGTATTGGTTTCAAAGGTACCTATCAAGATGTTACCAATATGGATGAAACTTCAGGTACTTGTACTCAAGAATCATATTCTTTCAGTGGTAATTTATCACCATTAGATGAAGAATTATCTGTTCATTTCAGAGGTCCAATTAGATTATTACAATTTGGTGTTTACTACCCATCTTCAAGTAGTGATAAAAAGAAGAGAGAAGTTCAAGAAGATTGTAGTCCTAGACATGCTCATCATCAACATAAAAAGAGAGCTACTGAAGTTGTTCAAGTTACTCAAACTGTTTTTGTTGATTCTAATGGTAACCTTGTTACTTCAGAAGCCACTGAAACTCAAACTCCTACTACTGAAGCTCAAATTGAAGAACAAGAAGCTGATACTAAAGCCAACACTGATACTGATACTGATACTGACACTGATACTGAAGTTGGACAAATTTCTGCTCTTGAAGGTGAAGGTAAAGCTTATAGAACTGATATTTCTACTAGTGCTGCCCCAACTACTACTTCATCCAAAGCTTCTGATTCTTCAGAAACCGCTTCTGTTGATGGTGCTTGGACTAGAGATTCTTACTATACTCCAGGTAGTACCGACAACTGTGTTTTCTTGAACTACCATGGTGGTTCCGGTTCTGGTGTTTGGTCTGCTACTTTTGGTAACTCTTTATCTTATGCTAATTCTGATAACTCTGGTGGTTCTTCTTCCCCAGTTGCATTGGATGATGTTACTATTAAATCCAACAAAGAATTTGTTATCATGTCTGGTACTAAATGTTCTGATGAAACCGGTTGTGGTTACTACAGAGAAGGTTCTGTTGCTCATCATGGTTTCGGAGGTTCTGAAAAGATTTTCGTTTTTGAATTTGAAATGCCAACTGATTCTGGAAGTGGTTATAATCAAGATATGCCAGCTGTTTGGTTATTAAATGCTAAAATCCCAAGAACTTTACAATATGGTGATGCTTCATGTTCATGTTGGAAGACTGGTTGTGGTGAATTAGATTTGTTTGAAATCTTAAGTGCCGGTTCTAGTAAATTGATTTCTCACTTACACGATGGTCAAGGTGTTGGTTCTAACACTAACTCTGGTGGTGGTGGTTCTCAAGATTATTTTGCCAGACCAACTTCTGGTTCTTTCAAAGGGGTTGTTATTTTCACTAGTGATGAAATTCATATCTTACAAGTTGATGATGACACTGATTTCAGCTCTTCTTTGGATGCCGATACCGTTAACGGATGGTTGAGTGAATCTGGTTCCTCTGCTTCCATCGGTTATTAGAGTAATTGATATTCATTTATACAGTATATTATACCCACCCCCTCCCTTCATTCCTCAACATTTTTGCTACGAAGTATAAGGCAAACCAAAAAGTAAATATTGATTTTATTAATCTAAACCCAATTTTTATTCTTATTCTTTTTATTTTTTATTTTTTATTCAATTTGTTTTATTAATACATAGATGTCTATTTTTTTTTTACTTCTCATTGCTTTAACATTGTAAAGATAACTTGATTATTGGCGATCGTTTCATACTATCCTTTGCATGGGTGATGGCTTTACGATTGGTAACCTGTGTCTTACTGTTTGCAAGTCGATACTTTTGGTTCCATGTAGTGTCACGATAAGGAGATAAACCATTCCTGACCGACAAAACAAAGAAAAAAAAAATTCTGGCGCCTTTAATTGTCTGACGTCTTGTATATTTGATAACCAGAACAATAAATCCTAGTATGAGAAAATGGATGCTGTTGGTATAGATATTGGAACAGGATCGATACGAATGTATCATGATAACAACGTATTATATATTCCTATAACTACTATTTATGGTAAGAAATTTATTACTCAATCATCATTTGAAATTTATAATAATTTATTAGAATTATTAGATATTTATGATTTTAATTTTGAAAGTATTGCTATATGTGCAACATGTTCCCAAGTTGTATTAGAAAAGATAGATATAGATGGGGTTATTTATTTAACACCTTATAATTTAAATAAAGATATTGAAAGTGATGTTTTATTATGGATGGATAATTCACCAATTGAACAATGTAAAGAATTGAATAATATTGTCAATGATGAAATTTTAAAACAAATCGGTGGGAAATTTGTACCTGAATTAGGATTACCAAAATTGAAATTATTAAATGATTGTATTTCTTCTAATTTGGTAGTATTTGAATTGTATGATTTTATGAGTTATTTATTAAAATATTCATATCAAGAAATTAATGGTAAGAAAATTATACCTTATATAAAACCAGATAATTTTAAAATTGGATATGCTTTAGATGGATCAGTTAAAGGATGGAGTGATGAATTTTTAAAGAAACTTGATATTGACATTGAGATTGGAAGAAGTGAAATCAAAGGTGATAAATTATTACCTATTGGTTATCCAGTTGGTAAAATGCATAATAGAAATATTGTAATTGCTCATGGATGTATTGATTGCTATGGAGGATGGTTTAATAATGTACAAGTATCATCATCATCATCATCATCATCATCATCATCATCATCATCATCATCATCATCATCATCATCATCATCATCATCATCATCATCATCATCATCATCATCATCATCATCATCATCATCATCATCATCATCATCATCATCATCATCATCATCATCATCATTAAACTCAGTGACCATGGTTGCTGGAACATCTACTTGTTTTATTTATAATTCATCAATCAAAAACTATATACAAAATACTTGGGGTCCTTATGAACTTGGGAAACAAGGTGAATTTGTTTATGAATTTGGTCAACCAGCAACAGGAAAACTATATGAAGTTATTCTTGGGAAAGATTTTAATTTTGATCAAGCTGAAGTACAAGTTGAAAAGTTGGAAAAAGAACATAATAAATCAATACATGAATTGATCAAAGGGTATTTTTATTATGGTGATATTTTTGGGAATAGATCACCTTTACAAGATCCTGAAATGTCAGAAATGATCATCGACAATAATAATCTGATATTACCCAGGATACTTCATAATGATGACGATGAAGATACATCCAAATTAATTAAATATATTCTTATTATGGAATTTCTAGTTTTCCAAACGAAATCCCTTTTGGAACCGTTGATTGTTGATAAATTGGTTATTGTTGGATCACAAGCTAAGAATAAGAGATTTTTACGATTATTAAACTTGATCACGGGAATTGATGTGGAAATTGGAGATAATGACGATTATGAAGTCGGAAGTGAAGAAGTTGCGAGAGGAGCGTTTTTACTTGCCAGATTGGGTAAATTAATATCAACAAATCATGACTATACAACTGCATACAATGAAGTGATTAAAGATAACAAATCAAAGAAGATGGAGCTTAATACCCAACATAAACAAGTAACAAAAGAGATATTAACAAAGAAATATGAGATATTTAAAGATATGATTAATGTTCAACGTAAATATAGAAACCTAATGAATAATGTGGGGGGGGGGGTGTAAATACAGTGCCGTATGTCACAAATGTACAATAGAGTAACGTTGAGAACAACAAATGATACTTTTATATATAGGTGGAGTATTGGAGGGGCGAGGCATTCAAGTCATCTGATTTTTGGTAACCTGACTTCATACTCTATAATCTATTCTTGACTTTATTAGTTTTTAGATTTAACATACTGTAGTATCTGCAAGATTAGCGCGATTTTCTTTCTTTTTGCTTCATTGTGGAAGACGTTGGGTCCGGTAAAGGAGGTACGACAAAAGTCAAAGCCAAATATAAAAATAAAAATAAAAATAAAAACAACAAACTCAATGCTTTGTTTGATTAAACTCCTTTGTAAATCACTGGTCCCGATAGTCAATAACTACTGCAATACGAAAGAAGAAGGGAATTCTTCGCTCCGTTGAAGTGATTTTCCTTTAAATTTAAGATTGGATTTTTTTTTATTGTATCTTCCCCACCTTTGTCTCAGATACAATAAGGCTAGTATTTAGTATTTATTATTTAGTATTTAGTATTTCTTTTTTTTATGAGATTGTTTATTAACACCGCCATTGTACCGTTTCGGAAATTTATCACCGCAACCCACTTATACCACGACCATGACCATAACCACGACGACCGTTCCCACGGCGTACAAGTGGGCTTCCATCGATCGATATGCTTCATCTGAGTCAATAATTTTTCTTTTTTTCTCCTTCCCATGAGGAGGATGAAACATTCTTCCTATATACCAATCTTTAAATTAAAATCCCGCTATTTCACTCTTGTTCTTACTATTACTCTTACTCTTCCTATTTGAATGTATGTACTGTGTATCATCTCCACTCTCATGTTATAACCTCCCGGCCGGAATTTTTTTTTTCACGCCGTTCTATAATAAATGCCATAGTAGTTTACCATATTACGTAATACTGGTTCAATTTAGTGGAATATTTATTATAACTAGGAATTGTACGTGGATAGGATAGGCTATTGTCATAAATCCGTTTATTGATTGAATAAACTGCGAGTGCACGTAAAAACATCTCATACATTCACTAAGAATATACTACTATAACAAGAACAACAACAACAAGAAGAACAAGAACAAGAAGAATGATAAATAATAACATGAGATGGTGCAAAAACACAAGTGGAACAATGAGGAAAAGAATAAAGTTTAGAAGTTATTTTTAAGATCGAACCAATCAGGATTGGTAAATCTACTGCAAAAATGAATAGGCTCATTCTTTTGATGGGAACGCACCCCCTCCTTCCTTCCTTTCCCTCTCGATCCCTCGCAAAGGGGGTTTGATGAGCGATAAATAATAAATTATAAATGAGTAAAAGTGGTGGAGGTTAAAAACAGATGTGAAGGATGGAGTATTATAACTGGGCGGGAATTTAGTGAATAGGTATAATTGATGGATATATCCACGTTGGGTGAGATGATAGATTAAAAAGCATAGTAATGTATAAAACCCAATAGAGACAATAATACTAGTATAAAGTAAAATAGGCTTAAATTGAAGTGCCTTAAAGGAATAGATATAGAATGAAAGATACCCGTGCCACAAACTGGGGGAGGGGGAAGAGACAGAGAGAGAATACTTGGAACTAGACGGAACAAACAAACAAAGAAAAAAAAAAGTAGTCACACAGAAAAAAGAAAAGACAGTGTGAGGGAAATTTACAGTGAGGGAAATTTGTCCTCTCTTATTGAGTGTACATTAAAAAAAAAAAAAACAGAACAAACTAAAATTAGATAAATACTCAACTAAAAGGTCTGTTGTATTTCCATTAACAAAAAAAATTAAAAAGAGAAATCAAAAATTTTCTATTTACTTACTAATAGAATTAAAACTTCAACAGTTGTATATTTATTCTTTTTCAAAGCTTTAATTCATACTACCATTTAGTGAAACTCATTATTCCAATAGATTATTCTATTTTCACTTGGTATTACATGAATAGTTTTGTGGGGTAGGATAGAAGCAAACAAGAGGTAGTAGAAGGAGTTCAAGCTTAAATTTGCACATCATTACATATTCATAATTTGGGAATCATCCTAATTTTAATTACCTTCTTTTGCAGTACATTAACTATCAAAGAATTTAATAGTCATCCGAATTGGTAGATAAAGATTCCTTGTGTTTTTTTTTTCAATTTTCAATTTTTTAATTTTTAATTTTTTCTTTATTGATCTTCTTGTTTGGCTATCGTTTCCATATATGAATTATCACTTTCTTTAACAACGATGAATACAAACCCCGACAATAATTATGTTCCGCTATTGAAAGATGAATCAGTATCTACTATTAATACAACGACTAGCACTGCTACAGGCACATCTGTAACAACTCCTGGACCACCATTATCTAATAATAATGATGCTATACCTCCATCAAGTCTACCGGCAGTTGACTCAGTGTTGACAAATTTTTTCAGCGGTGCCAATACGAAACAATCATCAATCACAAAATTAACCAATCGTCACACCACATCAAAGAAACCTAGGAAAAAAAGAGAGACCAATATCAGAGCATGCGATGCATGTGCCATTAAGAAAGTCAAATGTGACGTAACTAGACCTTGCAATCATTGTCGTACAAATAATATCCCTTGTACTCAAAATAGAGAACGTAAAAAATCAGGTCCGAAAACATTGACTAAAAGAACTTTGGAATCAATTAATAATTTAAGTGATGTTATTGAAAAAAATACCAATGGTGGAATACGTCCCGGTGTAGGAAAACGTCCCCTGTCAAGAAGTTTTTCAAGAAGTCCTTCAAATGAATTAATGGATGAAGATATTAAGCACATCACCACTGAACAACATCAACATGGAGACGAATTGAAATCAAATACTCATTCCATATCTCCCGTCATGTCAAATGGATCTTCAGCAACACCAAATCCTATGCCAAAACAAGAATCTCAATTTGAATCCATGCAACAACATCCTCAACTGGCAATAGCAGAATTGAAGTCACAGTATCCATCTAATAGTGCTGTTGGAAGTACCCTTGGTTCTACGGTTAATTTAGCAGCTACCACTATAGAGGATTATATTGTTACACCTTTCCATCTTATTGAGAATTTAAACTTAATTGGAGAAGAACCGTCTATTTATGAATTGATCAAACCGTTGAGTTCTCCTACTGTTATTGAACATTATGGTGTATTGGTTGATTTTTTAAAGTCAAATTATCCTGATAGACAAGATCTCGAAACAGGTTATAATCCAAGACATGATGAATTAAATTTTGTTGAGCATCACGATGATTCATTGTTTTTGTCCAAATTATTGGTGATTTTAACTTTAAATCAAATTGTGGCTGAATTACTAATTAAATTAAAGAAACAAAAATTCAAAGCCTTTAAAAAATATCCTAAAAAATATCTTATGTTTAGACCTTTCAAACATTTTAAGAATTTGTGTCATTTCAAGGTATTGGAAATATTCACTTTGGTTGAAAAGAATTTCATTGTTCCCCCAACCATTCCACAAAATAGAATTAATAATAGTAACAATGGTCAAGGTTTGAATGTGAGTGGTAGTGGTGGTATTCCCAACAACAACAACAACAACAATAATAATAATAATAATAATAACAACAATATGAATTCGCCAGGAAACCTTCAATTGTTCCTGCATTTGAATCAATATGAAATTTATTACAATTTATCATTAACTTGTATTCAATTGTGCAATTATTATCATATTCTAAATCTTACCAATACATTAAATTCAACTAATCTGAGTTCAAACAATTATGGAAATGAAGCACAGGAACATCAAAAGATTTTATTTCTTCATCGGGCAATAACATATTTTCAATTGATTAATCTTCGAAATAATGATCAAGTTGCACCAGTTGAAGAACTTTATGCATTGTTGTATTCCTTTGAACGATATTATATTGTTTTATCGAGTCACAATTATAATTTAAATGTGACACGTAATAATGCTATTATTTTACAATTATTGTCATCAAATTTTCAAGGTAAAGGGTACATTTATGAGTTGATGCAAGTATTAACTAATCAAGGGTTAATCAATGATTTATGTTATCGATCAAATTTTAATATCACTTTGGAGTATTCCAAACCTGTTCCAGGTTTTTATGAGAGTAAACAATTGATTAAAAATTTAACTCCAAATGAACCTATTTATCAAATTATTGAAAATATCATACTATTTAAGATTTTACTTGTTAAACCATTATCATTTAATGAATGTAAACAAGAAATTGTTTCAATAATCAACAATTTGAATTGTTTATTGGAGAGCAATAATAATGATATATTTAAAGTCAAATTATCAAATTATCAAATTTTGCAACCAATGTTGCATTGTTTAAAAATATTTTTGGAAATTAAAACCATTGAAGTTAAATCAGGATACAACAATTCAAATAATACAGGATTAAGTGATCAAATGATTTTAGTTAAATTTAGTGATAATTTGATTTTACATTTCCCATTTTTTAATAATATTAATAAATTAATTAGAGCTCATAAAATATTGAATAATTGGTTTTTAAATTTGAGTGAAATTAGAAAAGATGATGAGCAACAACAACAGCAACATCATAATTCACAAATGGAGAATAAACCTAAACCAGAACAGCCACAACCAAAAACTCCAGCTCAATTACCTACATTACCTGAAGTATCTCAATTACAAACAGTGTCTCAATTTTCGGTTCCATCAATACTGTCCCACGTTCCATTACCAATTTCTCAACAGCAACCACCACCAGCAGCACCACCACCGCAACAACAATTATCACATCTTCATCATCATTCACTACAACAACAACAACACATAATTCACAATTTTCTTCACCTCAAGTTACACATCAAACACCACAACAGCATATGGATGGAACACAATTGCTTTCATATGATATTCTACCATTAACCCCTAGTTTCCATCAAACGAATCTGCAATTAAGAATAGCAAGTCAGATAGATTTACAAGGACTTTTAGATTTTGATTCAATGATGCAGAATAATAATTTAAGTTCAAGTAATACTACATCAACAGTATTAGGAGGAGGTGGAGGAACTGGTACAACAGGTAATAGTAGTGTTAATATGGGAAATAATACAGGTACTAGTATAAGTCCACCAATACCTGTTGTACATCAAGGACATCAAGCAGATGATGAAGAAGATGAAGAAGAAGATAATACTGGATTTATGTCAATTATACCAAAGAATCAACATGGTCATAAGTTTTTAAATGGATTTGATATTCAAAATGCCACTCATCCTAATACAGGTGGTGCAAATGCAAATGCAAATGCAACTGGAGGTGGTACTGGTGGTAATAATTCAGGAAAATCGTCTGAAAGTTTCTCAAATTTCTTTAATTGGTGAAAGATGGTTAGAAAATGATGGTTGTCAAATACCGGGTTGTCAAACACAGAGGGTAAGAGAGAGAAATCATAGTAAATATTCCTATTCTATTTTATTGTATAATTTATAAATTAATGTAAGTTTTCATTTACGACTAATACTAAAATTTTTGGGGAGTTATTTTCATTTATGTAACTAGTACAATGACCACTACAGTAGTTAATACCATTGGTGTATAAACCACATTGGTGTAACCACATTGGTTTCTCAATTAGGGTTGGTTGTAAAATAGAAAAAAAAAAAAAAAAAGAATAAAATTTTAGTCAGGGCGTGTTCCCAGGAACAAAAACAACAAAAAAAAATTCTCAAATTTTCCTTTGTTTTATTTTGTAACCGATAAGGAAGTGACGTGATTGATTAAATCTATGGAAATATAGAGAGAGTGAAAGAGAGAGAGAGTATGACAGGAGAGCTGGGTTTTCAAGTCACATGATGATGATGATGATGATGATGATGATGATGATGATGATGATGATGATGATGAAGGTGTCAATTATATATATTTATTGTTTAATTGATGTTTGTTTGAATTAATATAAAGAAAAAGTTCAATAATTCCGACAGACAACAAGGATATCCCATCCATTTGCAGCACTTAGACAAACAAACAAACAAACGAAAAAATTTTTCTCTCCATTTAGACAACCAGAAAGAATTTTATTAAACAGTGAGAGTGAGAAAGACTGAGAGAGAAAAAAAATTTGCCAGCCAAACAAAAAATTAGATTAAATTGAAATTCAAGGGAAGGGGAGAACACAGACAAACAGAGAGACAGAGAGAGAGAGCAACGAACGAGCCAACGAACGAAATCAACAAAAAGAAAAACCTTGAGCCAACGAACAAAAAAAAAAAAAATTCAATTTCAATTTCAAATTCAATTTCAAATTCAAGTTAAACAATACTTATAAGAGAAACCAACAATAATTACAACTAATTACATTATCAAATCAACTAATCAGATTAATTAATTCATTAGTTTTTTTTTATTTTTTTGTTCTTATTTGTTCCCTTTAATTTTCATTTTTGTTGATTCATCTTTTTTATTTTTATATATTTGTATTTTATCAATTATTATTTGCATTTATTCTTACTACTACTCATCCTCCTATTCATAAATTCTTAAGATAAACTAGTTAAATAATTTTAATCATGGATTTAGATACTGATGTCCCAATGGAAGACGTTGAAGAACAACAACAAGATAGTTCACTTTCTAAAAAATCATTAACATCTATTGAAGGCACTGGTGCCACTAAAACAGGAGCTACTACCAATACTACTAATACAGCCACCAACACCAATACACAACAAAGATCAGAACTAGACTCATCTTCAATTAATCAATTAGATGTTTGGATTGAAAAATTATCTAAATGTGAACCACTTTCTGAAGCTGATGTTAAAAAATTATGTGATATGGCTATAGATGTATTACAATTTGAAGAAAATGTTCAACCAGTACATGTACCTGTAACTATATGTGGTGATGTTCATGGTCAATTTCATGATTTAATGGAATTGTTTAAAATTGGAGGTCCTTGTCCTGATACAAATTATTTATTCATGGGGGATTATGTTGATCGTGGTTATTATTCTGTTGAAACTGTTTCTTATTTAGTATGTATGAAGGTTAGATTCCCAAATAGAATTACTATTTTAAGAGGTAATCATGAATCAAGACAAATTACTCAAGTTTATGGGTTTTATGATGAATGTTTAAGAAAATATGGTTCTGCTACTGTATGGAAATTATTTACTGATTTATTTGATTATTTCCCAATAACAGCATTAGTTGATAATAAAGTATTTTGTTTGCATGGTGGTTTATCTCCAATGATTGAAACTATCGATCAAGTTAGAGAATTAAATAGAATTCAAGAAGTTCCTCATGAAGGTCCAATGTGTGACTTGTTGTGGTCTGATCCTGATGATAGAGGTGGTTGGGGTATTTCTCCAAGAGGAGCTGGTTTTACTTTTGGTCAAGACATTTCTGAACAATTTAATCATACTAATGATTTAAGTCTTATTGCAAGAGCTCATCAATTGGTTATGGAAGGGTTTAGTTGGTCTCATCAAGAAAATGTTGTTACCATTTTCTCAGCTCCAAATTATTGTTATAGATGTGGTAATCAAGCTGCTATTATGGAAGTTGATGAACAACACAATAGACAATTTTTACAATATGACCCAAGTGTTAGACCTGGTGAACCAACTGTTACAAGAAAAACTCCCGACTACTTCTTATGATCAATGTTTTTTTTTTTTTATATTCTTAATTCTTTCTTCTTTTTATTATTATTATTATTATTATTTACTATCAACATCAATTATTTCTGCTATTAATGAATTATTACAGTGGTCAATTTATTACAAAGATCCATTAAATAAATATAAAAATAAAAAAAAAAAAAGGAAAGGAAATTTCATGTCCACGTCTCATGCTTTCCCATACACATACATCCTCACACTTTTCACACACAGATAATATATATTATTTACTAAATATATTGATGCCTTTATTTGTTTAAATGTTTATTAAATTGAATTCATCGTTCTTTTTTTAATTAGAATTCAGGGTATTTCAGCTTCTTGTTGTTGTTCGTATTTTATTTTTATGTTTAAAATGTATATGACTTTATTGTAACTGGTATGTCACCTCTATTCAATACTTGCGACATATGTCTCTCGTGCGACATTCTCAGGTTTTAATTTTTCCAGCCAACCAGAAACAGTAAAATTTCAATTAGCCAAACGACTCCTCAAACCGAAAAAAAAATTGGAAAGAAAAGCAAAAAAAAAAAATATACAGTAACGAAACAGCTTTCAGCCAACCAACTAATCGACACACCAACACCCTCCATTCTTTATCCTTAATAACTATTCACAATTTCTTATCTCCACAATGTTAAGAACATCTACCAAACAAATAAGTAGATCCGTAGGGATTAAACCATCTATTTCAACTGTGAGATCAATTTATACATCAGTTTTAGATTCTGATATTAATATCACTAAGAATGGTAAAGTTAATCTTGCAGTAGGTGCTGGAGGACGTTCTTCAAGAACTGGTTATACTGCCACTGTTTTTGGAGCATCTGGATTTTTAGGACGTTATTTAACTTCTAAATTAGCAAGACATGGTACTACTACAATTGTTCCATTTAGAGATGATATGAAGAAGAGATTTTTAAAAGTTACTGGTGATTTAGGAGTTGTTAATTTTGTTGAAATTGATGCTCGTAATTTACAAAGTATTGAAGATTCAGTAGCTAATTCTGATATTGTTATTAATTGTATTGGTGCTGATTATAATACTAAGAATTTTTCAATGGCTGATGTAAATATTGCATTAGCTGAAAGAATTGCTTTAGCTACTAAAAAAGCTAATGTTCCTCGTTATATTCATGTTTCTTCATATAATGCTGATCCAAAATCTGAATCTGTTTTTTATGCTACTAAAGGTATTGGTGAACAAGTTGTTAGAGATATTATTCCTGAAACTACTCTTGTTAGACCAGCTCCAATGTATGGTAGAGAAGATCAATTATTAAATTATTTAGGTCCAAAAATTAAAATGTGGACTCCAAATAAAAATGCTAAAGAAATTTGGCCAGTTTATGTATTAGATGTTGCTAGAGGTCTTGAAAAAATTGCATTTGATGATTCAACTGCTGGTCAAACTTTTGAATTATATGGTCCAGAAAAAGTTTCATTCCATGAAATTAGAAATATGATTAATGGTATCACTGAAAAATACGCTCAAGTTGGTCCATTTTCTTATAGATTTGCTGATTATGAAATTCCATTACCATTAGCTAAAGCAATTGCTCAAGTACAACAATTGGTTTGGTGGAAATTGACTAATCCTGATCAAGTTCAAAGACATCTTATAAATCAACATATTGATCCAAATGCTAAAACTTTCCATGATTTAGGTATTGATGATTTAACTAGATTACCTGACGTTATATTTAGTTTTGTTAAACAATGGCGACACCCATTGATTGCCCAAAAGGGTGCTCCAGGTAAGAAAGAATTGGAAAAATTAAGACAAGTTCAACATTTCACTCCATAGATAATGATCAAACAACATCATTGTGATACTTAAAAAAAAAATCTTTTATTTATAGGTATATATATAGAAAGATATATATATATATATACTACATAATAGTACACCCATTTAAGAAGGAATATCTAACCAACTGTAATAATGTTTTTAGTATTCAACCATGGAGATATCCGAAGTTTTGATCTCGCAGCCAACCGAACGATAGAAATTTCTCTCTCTCCCCCATAGATAACACCCCCGTAGATAATAAATATAAGAAACAAACCAATTCCTTGTTGTCATTTTCTTATTTTACTAGCCATTTGTTTCTCCAACAGTTCAATATGGCACTTCCATCTATTCAAACCTTGAAACAACTCCCACAATCCGATCAAAAATATATTCTTGATCAATTATTTGAACCTTGTGATACATTATCAAATTTCATATTTATTAAAGTTTTCCCACAACAATTTACAACATATCTTGAATTTATTAATCTTGTACGTAAAGAATTAATCAATTTATTAAAAGAAAATGAATTAAATCCAATTATAAATGAAATAATTTCAACTCATCCAAGATTAGGTGAACCTAAAAAAGAACAACTTTCAATTCATTCATCAAATGAACAAAAAAATTTAAATTCAGATCCTGATATAATATTAAAATTAAAAGAAATGAATGAATTATATGAAAATAAATTTCCTGGTTTAAGATATGTTGTTTTTGTTAATGGTAGAAATCGATTAGAAATTATAAACGATATGAATAAAAGAATTAAAAGAGATGATATTCTCTTGGAAAAATATGAAGCTTTTAATGCTATGTGTGATATAGCTTTAGATAGAGTTAATAAATTAGGTATTAAATTATAAATGTATACATTTGTATATATTGACAATTCATCGTAAATGTGTGAGTGTGTGAATAAGTAAATGTGTGAATAAGTGAGTGTGACATATGATGCTGCTTATCATCATGATGTATAAATCAATCAGTTGTTGTAATATACATTTACTGGTTATCGTACACGACTAATTTAAAAATTTCATTGTAAATTTTTCTTTTGCTGAGCGAACAAACCCAAACCCAAACCAAAAAAAAAAAGAGAAAAAAGTCAACCAACGTTGTTGTTCGGTTTTCAATTAATAACTAACTACTTTTTTTAAGTTATACAAAACAAAATAAACACCATCAATTAACAATGGTATGTATTAATTGATATATTACAAGATTCAATTGATTGAATTTGATTTTCATCTAGATACTAACCAATTGTTTTCACTACAGGCTGGTGCTTTAGAAAACGCAAGAAAAGAAATTAAACGTCTTTCATTAGATGACACCAATGAATCCCAATATGGTCAAATCTATTCTGTTTCCGGTCCGGTTGTTATTGCCGAAAACATGATTGGATGTGCCATGTACGAATTGGTTAAAGTTGGTCATGATAATTTAGTTGGGGAAGTTATTAGAATTAATGGTGATAAAGCAACCATTCAAGTTTATGAAGAAACTGCAGGGGTCACTGTTGGTGATCCAGTTTTAAGAACTGGTAAACCATTATCTGTTGAATTAGGTCCTGGCTTAATGGAAACTATTTATGATGGTATTCAAAGACCTTTAAAAGCCATTAAAGATGAATCCCAATCTATTTATATCCCAAGAGGTATTGATGTTCCTGCTTTATCAAGAACTGTTCAATATGATTTCACCCCAGGTCAATTGAAAGTTGGTGATCATATCACTGGTGGGGACATTTTTGGTTCTATTTATGAAAACTCTTTATTGGATGACCATAAGATTTTGTTACCTCCAAGAGCAAGAGGTACTATTACTTCTATTGCTGAAGCCGGTTCTTATAATGTTGAAGAACCAGTTTTGGAAGTTGAATTTGATGGTAAGAAACATAAATACTCTATGATGCATACTTGGCCAGTTAGAGTTCCAAGACCAGTTGCTGAAAAATTGACTGCTGATCATCCATTGTTGACCGGTCAAAGAGTCTTGGATTCTTTATTCCCATGTGTTCAAGGTGGTACTACTTGTATTCCAGGGGCTTTTGGTTGTGGTAAAACTGTTATTTCTCAATCTTTATCCAAATTCTCCAACTCTGATGTTATTATCTATGTTGGTTGTTTCACTAAAGGTACTCAAGTCATGATGGCTGATGGTGCCGACAAATCTATTGAATCTATTGAAGTTGGTGACAAAGTCATGGGTAAAGATGGTATGCCAAGAGAAGTTGTTGGCTTACCAAGAGGTTATGATGATATGTACAAGGTTCGTCAACTTTCTAGTACTAGACGTAATGCTAAATCCGAAGGCTTGATGGATTTCACTGTTTCTGCTGATCATAAACTTATCTTGAAAACTAAACAAGATGTCAAGATTGCTACACGTAAAATTGGTGGCAACACCTATACTGGTGTTACTTTCTATGTTTTGGAAAAGACTAAGACTGGTATTGAATTAGTTAAAGCCAAGACTAAAGTTTTCGGTCATCATATCCATGGTCAAAATGGCGCTGAAGAAAAAGCTGCTACTTTTGCTGCTGGCATTGACTCTAAAGAATACATTGATTGGATCATTGAAGCTAGAGATTATGTACAAGTTGATGAAATTGTCAAGACCAGCACCACTCAAATGATCAACCCAGTTCATTTTGAATCTGGTAAACTCGGTAACTGGTTACACGAACACAAGCAAAACAAATCACTTGCTCCACAATTGGGTTACTTGTTGGGTACTTGGGCTGGTATTGGAAATGTTAAATCTTCTGCTTTCACCATGAACTCCAAAGATGATGTTAAATTAGCTACAAGAATTATGAACTACTCTTCAAAATTGGGCATGACTTGTTCTTCTACTGAATCCGGTGAACTCAATGTCGCTGAAAACGAAGAAGAATTTTTCAATAACCTTGGTGCTGAAAAGGATGAAGCTGGTGATTTCACTTTTGATGAATTTACCGATGCTATGGATGAATTGACTATCAATGTTCATGGTGCAGCTGCAAGCAAGAAGAACAATTTGTTGTGGAATGCTTTGAAATCTCTTGGTTTCAGAGCCAAGTCTACTGATATTGTCAAGAGTATTCCTCAACATATTGCTGTTGATGATATTGTTGTCAGAGAATCTTTGATTGCCGGTTTAGTTGATGCTGCTGGTAATGTTGAAACCAAATCCAATGGTTCTATTGAAGCTGTTGTTAGAACTTCTTTCAGACATGTCGCTAGAGGTCTTGCCAAGATTGCTCATTCTTTGGGTATTGAATCATCTATTAATATTAAAGATACTCACATTGATGCTGCTGGTGTTAGACAAGAATTTGCTTGTATTGTCAATTTGACTGGTGCTCCACTTGCTGGTGTTCTTTCTAAATGTGCACTTGCAAGAAACCAAACCCCAGTTGTCAAATTCACCAGAGACCCAGTTTTGTTCAACTTTGATTTGATCAAATCTGCAAAAGAAAACTATTATGGTATTACTTTGGCTGAAGAAACTGATCATCAATTCCTTTTATCCAACATGGCCTTGGTACACAACTGTGGTGAACGTGGTAATGAGATGGCTGAAGTTTTGATGGAATTCCCAGAATTGTTTACTGAAATTTCTGGTAGAAAAGAACCAATTATGAAACGTACCACTTTGGTTGCCAATACTTCTAATATGCCAGTCGCTGCCAGAGAAGCTTCTATTTATACTGGTATTACATTGGCTGAATATTTCAGAGATCAAGGTAAGAATGTTTCTATGATTGCTGATTCTTCTTCACGTTGGGCTGAAGCTTTGAGAGAAATTTCTGGTAGATTGGGTGAAATGCCTGCTGATCAAGGTTTCCCAGCTTATTTGGGTGCTAAATTGGCTTCTTTCTATGAGCGTGCCGGTAAAGCCACTGCTTTGGGTTCACCAGATAGAGTTGGTTCAGTTTCTATTGTTGCTGCTGTTTCTCCAGCTGGTGGTGATTTCTCTGATCCAGTTACTACTTCTACTTTGGGTATTACTCAAGTTTTCTGGGGGTTGGATAAGAAATTGGCCCAAAGAAAACATTTCCCATCTATTAATACCAGTGTTTCTTATTCTAAATACACCAATGTTTTGAACAAATACTATGATTCCAACTATCCAGAATTCCCACAATTGAGAGACAAAATTAGAGAAATTTTATCTAATGCTGAAGAATTGGAACAAGTTGTTCAATTAGTTGGTAAATCTGCATTGTCTGATTCTGATAAGATTACTTTAGATGTTGCTACCTTGATTAAAGAAGATTTCTTGCAACAAAATGGTTATTCTTCATATGATGCATTCTGTCCAATTTGGAAGACTTTTGATATGATGAGAGCATTTATTTCATATTATGATGAAGCACAAAAAGCAATTGCTAATGGTGCTCAATGGTCTAAATTAGCTGAAAGTACTAGTGATGTTAAACATGCTGTTTCTTCAGCTAAATTCTTTGAACCATCAAGAGGTCAAAAAGAAGGTGAAAAAGAATTTGGTGATTTATTAACCACTATCTCCGAAAGATTTGCTGAAGCTTCAGAATAATCGTTAGATCCATGTTTCACCTTGTTGTTGTTCAGTTCTTAGAATTTTTTCCTCCACTTTTTTTGATATACATATATTGATGTTATTAGTTTTTTTATTATTTAGTTAAGTAAGTCATTAGTTTTCATAATCATTATAAAATCATATTTTTTGTTAAAAGAAGATATATATACACACATTGATGGATATATATTTTAAGCACATAAACTAAGACAATAATCAGAAGTTGATTTAGTTAAATTCCAAACATTTTCTAAACAATTGATTAAAAAATTATCAACACCATTAATTAAATCTCTTACTTCATCATCAAAAGAATCAATAATATCATCATTTCTATTTCTATTTCTAATTAAATTATTTTCATTATTTTGTTCTTTATTAAAATTTAAAGGAAATTCATTAATTGGAATACCTCTTGGAGTATAAACAGGTTGAGGAGTAATATCATTAGGTTCATTAGATATAATAATTGTATTTTCAATACTTGATGATTTTTCTCCATCTCCTTCCCCTTCTTCTTCTTCTTCTTCTTCATTAACTATTTGTAAATTATTATTATTATTATTTGAAAGTATTAAATTTGTTGAAGGTGATGTTGATGATGATGATTTACGTTTAAACCAATTTGTCATTGAATTAAATAATTTTTTTTTAGGAATCCCATAATTTTCTTGTTGAAAAGGATGTAACCCAATCATTATATTTTCATTATTATGTTGTGAATCCAGTGGTCTAAATCTTGAATATCTATCTTCCATTAAACTATTAAATCCTCCCATTGATAATGAATTGTGATGATATTGTTGTTGTGGATGAGATGATGGTGGAGCTGGTGGTAATTGTTGAGGATTTCTTGGAGAATATAAATCTGGTTCAAATGGTGGATTATGAGGAGATAAAAATAATGAAGAATAATAAGGAGATTGAGATATTGAACCAGAAGTAATTTCAAAAGATGCAAAACTTGTAGTTGAAGTAGGATTATTAATTAAATTATCATTATTAATAGGTATTGAAGTCGGAGAAGTTGGGAAATTGATTGGTGCTGTTTGAATGTATTTAATTGGTAATTCTGAACTTGGTGGTTGAATAGCATATTGAATTTGAAATTGTTGATGTTGATGTTGTTGTTTATAATGATTTGTTGGAATTGGTGAAGTTAATGGAAAAGTAATTGATTTTTGATTTGTTGAGTTTATTTTGGGTTCAGGTATTATTGACAATTGATGTGAATGAGAAGCAAGATCTGATGGAGATATTAATGACATTACTAGATCTAGAAGTAAATATATACTCTTCATATCCTAAAAATAAGTGAAATACATAGAAAAAATTACCATGATTTAGGATTGCAAAAAAAAAAAAGACGAACCATGATACCTGGGCTCACGACATACTAATTTTTTTCGCAATCAAATCGCATTGGGCATACGAAACTTAACGTCCTTCCTCCAATGAACATAACGTAACAATTACTACTACAATTAACAAACTGATGAATTATACAATTCTTTTTTTTTATATTATTCGGACATTCTTTAAAATACATATGATTCATATACATAATAAAAAACGGTTTAAGAAACTTTATTGTTTCGAGGAATAAGAGACTAGCAACACTAAACCTATAATTAAAAAAACCCAATTGATTTCATTTCCAAACTAAAGCAAAAAGCAAAATAGCAAAAAAAAACCCAGTAAAATATCAATCATTTACCCAACATCAGCAACTCAAGTCATCAATAAAGTATTAATTCCAATTGTATCTGAACCAAATCAGATAAATGAAAAAAAAATTTCATAGATTTTTCATTTTTTCATTTCAATTCTTAATTCAACTTCATGGGTTTATTTTATTTATATGTGTCCGATTACTTGGATCTAGCTCTAACCTTCCGTCTCTTTCTCTTTAATCTTCTAACTCTCTTTTTTCTCCACTTATCTCTCATATTGAAATACTGGTGATTGGTGATTAAAAAAGAAGAAAAAGAAGAAAAGGAAAACAGAAAGAAAAAAATTTAATGGGGAGAAAAAAAATACTACTACAGCTGAGGGTGAGAGGGTGGTGGAGGATTGGTGGGTTCCAGTCCATGGAGGACAGCCTCGGACAACCAACGAGCGTGCGCCTATTCCACTCACTCTCATTGACAGCAATTATAATATTTCCACACCAAAAGAAAGTCACGCACAATTTTTTTTTCTTCTCTCTCCGCGTATTTTAGTTGTGCATCACGTGCAGTACGTTAGGGCTATTGCCCTAATGTGCTGTACCCCCTTTTTTATTTTTTGCAACTAAATGTTACACAATTTGTAATAATGCAAATATAGTGTGTATACGTATTTTAATTTCTATTTACAGTTATAATGGTATAGATCTATTCAACTTGATCATCTACTTTAATGTCCTTGTTTAATCTTTTGGTTTCTTGCTTATAAGCTTTTAATAAATCTTCCTTCAAATTGGTTAATCCTAATTTCTCAACCAATTCTTCAATGATTTCTTCATTTATAATAACCGTTTCTTCTTCTTGAACTAATTCATTCAACAATAACCTGGATTCATTATATTTAGCATACAACAGATCAAGTCCATCGACTGATTTGAATGTAATATGAGATGTATCATTAACAGTTGTTTCATCGGCAACTTCATGTTCTGTATGTTGTTTATTCTCCAATAAATAATCCAAATGTTGAATTCCAAGTAATGCTTTAATATTACAATACAATCTGTAAGCTAAATAAAAACCTGGAACATTTGGAACAACAGGTAGAATTGCAAATGGTAAAGTTATTGGTATACCAATAGCACATAAAATAGCTTGTCGTGTATGTCTTTTCTTAGTTTCTTCTTCAAATGAATACAATTGAGTTAAAATAGTTGAAGGTTTTTGAAATTGTGGATGATATAATGGAATTGGTTTCAATTGATTAGTATCAATTTTCAAATCATCATATTGACCAGGTACAACTTTATGATCTTTTTCATCAGTTACTAAATGTAATGATTCTTCATTAATTTCTCTAATCATTGTAGCTTTACTTGGAAATGATCTTAGACAATTTTCTTCATATGGAATAGTAGCCAATAATCGTTTAACCAAATCAACAATTTTCTGATTGACTTTTTGTTTAGAATTGGATAATTTTGACCATCCTTTAGATGCAAGTTTGACAAATTTACCTTCAAGCTTATAAATAAATGGAATATTAGCCAATTGTTTAGGTGATAAAGTAGAAGGTCTATGGTTGCAATAAATATATGACTTTGAAGTAGTTATTGGGATTGAAATGACAAATATTGAATTTTTATTAGGAATCAGTGATGATACTTTATCTGCAACTTCATCTGATTTGGTTGATTGAAATCTTCTCGATGTGATTATTGATAAGGGATGATGTAATTTAAATTGGGGAATTGGCTTTATCGCACGAGCAACAACCAACAGCATCTTTTTTTTTCTCGTATGGTGTAATGATAGTTTCTAATATGTGATTCTTTCCCAAATAAAAATAGAATAAATTACTGCAAATTTATATCTTAATGAAAATAAAAAGAAAAATCTGAGTTCCAAGTGAAATCAATTGGATAAATTATGTCAATGGAATTATTGCCATTGGGTTTCAAATATTTCGGTGCAATTTTAAGATTGCGGTGGAAAAAATGAAAATGTGAAATTTCTTTTTTTTTTTTTTCGTTGTTTTGTGTTGGGAATTACGTATGCAAATGGGGCGCAGAGCTTCTTGCCTAATAAGGAAGTCATCCATTTCTCCTCCTTCTCCGTCTCCCATGACACTATGATTTTGCAACAATTTCATACAATTTCATACAAATTGAATTTAAATTGAAACAAAGCTGTGCACGTATAAATATGAATCTAGTTGATTGTGTAGCAATTGGTTAAAGAGATCTATTTGCCACCACCAGGAATAATGTTCTAATTACCAAGATTGTGATTAATTATTATAATTGCTAGAGTTTACTTGTAACTTTGATGTTAAATTCGGCTAAAAATGGAGCTACAAATTATTTTTTGCAAAAAACAACAAGATGATTGATAAATCACACAGTTGTTATTATACTTTTTAGAAATACACGTGACTTTAATATACTTTTAAACAGTTTAGTTCAATTGGTTAATATCAATGGTCATGAGAGGTTGAGTGCCCTTTTCTTCTGGTCAACTGAATAAACATATTTTGTGGTTCGGCTGAAATGGGGGAACTAAATTTTTTTTTTTTTGTTCTGCGTCGAGCTGTACTGGCTGACAGGGCTACCTGTGTGGGCGCGGGCGGGCTATCTTAGTAAGAAATCCAAAAGTTTACATAAACGACAAAATAGCAAAAAAGCCAAAAAAAAAAAAAAAAATAAATAACAACAAAAGCAAGACAGAACAAGCAAGGCAGAATTACAGAATCAATTTTCAATTAAGAATAACAATTTTCTTAACCCTTCCTTTTTTTTTATTTTATTTTGATTTCATTTCTCATAAAGCATAACTAGCTTCTTATTACAGATTTGTCATTTTCGATCATCTCATCATGGAGGAAAGGGATAACAATCGTGACTATTTTAATGCAAAACCAAGTGGTTCAAATTCAGCCCATGCCCCTATATCTCCCAATACTCATAGTCGTAGAACCGATTCAGAATCAATAGACATCCCATTAGATCCATTCGAGAACATAGTTGTTAACTCATATAGTCATAAAGCAACTTTAATTCCTCCTTATGTTCTAGATTCGATTTCTAAAGCATATCATCATGATTATATACCACAGCCTTCACAGACAAATATTTCCGATCAAGCAACTACAACTACAAGAACTTTAGCAGGAGAAACAGATACTGAAAAGGGAACAGAACATATATATAGTGGAAGAGCACATGATCCTTATCTAAGGGCAATTGATAGCGATTGGTGGAAATTTAAAGAATCCATTGCACATCAACCCTGCTTTTATTCCTGGCAGAGTTATACGAGACCCTGAATTATTAAATGAATATGATTTTAGAAGGATCATGGGGAGGGGATAAGAGATTAAAAGAAGAATTTGCTAATAACATCAGTGGTGGTGGGCCAGCAGGTATGATTCAAGATGTTGCAACTGGTAGATTAATTTTTGGATTATTTCGTAAAAAACGTGAAGGGGAAAATGATACTTATATAAGATCAAAAGCAGGATACTGGATGGGTGAAAATAGATCTCAATTGAAACCAAATTTAAAAAGAATATTCTTGTTTAATCCTTTGGTGCCGTTATTTTTACGTATGTTGATTTTGATGTTTTGTGCCATTGCTTTGGGATTAGCCTGTACCGTTTATGTGTTTTCCAGAAGGAAATACGATGGTGAAACCATTCCTCAACAAGCTAGTACCATTATGGCCATTGTGGTTGAATCGTGTGCCTTGGTGTATGTCATCTATATTGCATATGATGAATACACTGGTAAACCAATTGGGTTAAGAGAACCCATGAGTAAAATGAGTTTAATTTTACTTGATTTGTTTTTTATTATATTTTCAGCAGCTAATTTGTCATTAGCATTTTAACACCTTGAATGATGATGAATGGGTTTGTAGAGTAAATCGAACCCCTGGTTTGGCTGATATTGGTTTAGTTTTCCCAACCATCCCCAAAATTTGTCATCGACAACGTGCATTGGCTGCTTTCTTATTTATGGTGTTGTTCTTATGGGTGCTTACATTTACTGTTAGTTTGTTAAGAGTTATAGATCGAGTCAATACTCCAGGACCTAGAAATGTGTAGCAATAGAATATGTGATTATTGATGTCGTTGATGTTGTTGTTGCCAATCCCAGTCGTGTAGAATTGTAGAGAATTTTTTCTTTTGGTAGTTGTTGTAAATTTTTTTCTGTTTTTGCTTTTTGGTGAGAATTGAATATTCGCTCACTGAAACTTGTTTCCCTTTTTTCATTATTTGCCATTTAAGGGGATCCTGCCAACTTTGGTTTTTAATTTTTGACAACCAACAAACTAGTCCCCAGTGTACACTAGAACAAATTCACTTTCATAACAAGAAAGAGTAGCACTTTTAGAGTAGAATCATATATCTTCACATAAGAAATTGCGCCCTCCCACCTTTTTTTTACTATTCATCTTGCATTGACATTATTTCAATAGATCAGATTTATCATTAACGAGAAAAAGGCTAGTTTACCACCCCCTTACACAGTTCTACGCGTAATTAATCATAATGTCAGCCACACTTCCAGCATTCAGTGATTTGAGTGAAACCTGGAGTTATATTCAACCTGGTTTGGAATACATTTTGGGTGCTCATGGTGAAGAAGGTGTAAATGCCGTGATGTATATGAATTGTTATACTGCAGTTTATAATTATTGTGTTAATAAATCACGACGTGGAACCAATCCAGCATCAATTGCAAACAATTCAGAGAATAATTCATATTCTCTTGCTGGTGAAGAAATTTACAAGAAATTACAAGTTTATTTGACACAATTTATTAGAAATTTGAAAAGAAACCCTAATGAAACATTTTTAGATTTTTATGTACGTAAATGGAGAAGATTTACCATTGGTGCCGTATACATGAATAATGTTTTTGATTATATGAATCGTTACTGGGTACAAAAGGAAAGATCTGACGGTCGTAAAGATATTTATGATGTTAATACTTTATCATTGATTAAATGGCGTGATGAAATGTTTCAACCAAATGCTGATGAATTGATTGAACAAGTTTTGGGTTTAATTAAACTGCAAAGAGATAACACTCTTGTAGACACCAATTTAATTTCTAGTGCTATTAAATCATTGGTTTTCTTGAGTATTGATATTCAAGATTTAAAGAAACCAAACCTTATCATTTATGTCAATTCCTTTGAACAACCATTCTTGAAGGCAACATCGGAATATTATGCTCAAGAAAGTTCAGAATTTTTGAGTACTCACAATGTTGTTGATTACATGAAGAAATGTGAAACAAGATTAAATGAAGAAGTTTCCAGATCTAACAATTATTTGGAAGAACGTACCAAGAAACCATTATTGGAAGTTTTGAATGCTTCATTAATTGAAAAACATGCCAATGAAATGTATGATCAATTCCTTGTTTTATTGGAACAGAATCAGATCGAACACATCCAACGTATGTACAAATTACTTGCTAGAGTTCCAAAAACTTTAGATCCATTGGCTAAGACTTTAGAAGAATATATCAAGTCACAAGCTGCTGCCGCGTTGGAAGATATTCAAAAGCAAGCAGAAAACTCCGAAGATAAGAAAAAGACCGTCGAACCAAAAACTTATATTCACACATTAATTTCCATCTACAACCAATTTAATGATATTGTCATTAGAGCTTTCAATAAAGATACAAAATTTATCAAATCATTGGATAACGCCTGTCGTTACTTTGTCAATAAAAATCCAATTGCTCTTCCAAAACCAAGAAGTCCCTGCAGAACTCCAGAGTTATTAGCCAGATATGCCGATGGGTTCTTGAAAAGCAACTCCAAGGATAATGATATGAATGCCGATAATTTGATGATTGTATTTAAATTTATTACTGAAAGAGATTCATTTGAAGAACATTACCGTCGTCTTTTGGCCAAGAGGTTGATCAATGGTACTTCCAAATCGGAAGAATTAGAGGAAAGTGTTATTCATAGATTACAAGAAGAAAACTCAACTGATTTCACCATGAAGATGACCAAGATGTTTACTGATATCAAAGCATCTGATGATTTGAAGATGAAATTCAAAGATAAAGAGAATGTTAATTTTGATTTTGTACCAATGATTTTAGCTCAAAGTACATGGCCATTCCGTCACTTAAAAGATTATGATTTGAAAGTGGCACCTGAATTACAAGGTACAATTGATTCTTTGAAGGAAATGTATTTAGAACAAAGTCAAGGTAAAAAGATTCAATGGCTTTGGAATCACGGTAGAGCCGAACTTAAAGCGCATTTATCTAAAGACAAGAAGAAGCCACCTTTTAGTTTCACAGTTTCCCATGTTCAACTCATGATTATTTTGGCATACAACAAGAAGAATAGTTACACTTTTGATGAATTGGTGGAAATTGTTGGCGTTAAAAGAGAAACTTTACAAAGTCATCTTACTCCATTGGTTAAATATAAATTACTTAATGAGAATGGTGATCAATTGGTATTGTGTGAATACTACCCATCCAAGAAAACCAAGGTTAATTTCACTAGTTCCATTGCTAGAGCCAAAGAAGAGGATTCTGATGAAATTGGTAAAGAAATTCAACAATCTAGAATGTATCTTTTAGAAGCTACTGTTGTTAGAATTATGAAATCCAAAAAACAATTACCTTCCAATACCTTATTGAATGAAGTTTTGGTGCAAACAGGTAATAGATTTACTCCAAAGATTATTGAAGTTAAAAGAGCCATTGATGGATTAATTGATAAAGAATATCTTAAGAGAAATGGAGAAGATTTTGAATACATAAGTTAGTGTATACATGTAAATTACAACTTGAATGATTATAAAAGAAGAAAACAAATAACAATTCTCAATGCGTAGTTTGTATCTGGTAAAACAGATGATGTTTTTAATTAATTCTACTTTTTATCTATTTAATATGTCACAATCGTTAGTATAATATTACAGCAATTAGAAAAAGAGGAATATATTTAGAAACCAAAACCACCTTTAGAATAAGCCATTGGTTTCATATCAGGATGAGGTACTGCTTCAAAAGTTTCAGTAGTTAAAGTCCAAAGAGTATTATCATCATCAATATTTTTATAACCTTCACCATTATCTTTTTCTTTAATATAATTTTTATTTTCTTCAAAATTAATAATCCCACCCAAATTACCAGTAGAATCACAATAATTAGGAGCACTAAATACTGTAATTAATCTACCTTTTTGTTCATGTTCAACACCATTCATTCTAACTTCATGAGAACGAATAATTTTTCTAATTTTATTATTTAAACAAAATCTTTCAGTTATATCAGGACCAAATTGCATACCAATACCTCTCTTTGAAGGAGATCTACCATTAATTTCTTGAGGATCAGTCCATAATAATTCCATCGCAAGACCTTCTTTTGGAGGTTGAGTTGAACCATTGAAGGAAATCTATTTATTGATTTAATATCTTTTAATGATACTTTATCATTTGAAAATAATCCTCCATGCATACAAAGATATTCACGATTAATTAATGAAGCCAAAGGTAATGCACCAAATGATTCACTAAATGCTTCAAATATTTTTTTAGAATATTTATATTCACATTCATCGGTGAATCCATAAGTTTTATTCATATCTGAAGTTTCATGATTTCCTCTATTAATAAAAATTGAAAATGGATAAAGAATTTTTAAAACATAAAGATATAATGCAACTTCACATGACCATGATCCTCTATCAACAAAATCTCCATTAAATAAATAAATATGATCATTTGAAACAAAGCCAAATTTTGAAAATAAATTTAATAAATCATAAAATTGTCCATGAGTATCACCAACGACAGTCAATTTTTTACCCCCTATAATTTCATCATCATTTAATTTATCATTAATTTTAGAATGATTTAAAGTAATTTCAGTCATTGTTTGTTCTTTTTTTATTAATTCATAAACTTTAGTAATGATTGCAAAAACATGTTTTTTAGGTAATTTCCCCCCTTGTTTAAATAATTTAATCATATATTTTAAATAATCATGATTTAATCCATTAATTTCAACAGTTATTTCTCCATTTTTTTTAGTTGGAATAATTTCTAAATCTGGACCTTCCCAAGATTTTTCAATTTGAATACTTTGATAATCAACACTATTAATAACTAATGTATGATCAGTTCCAGCAATAGCTTTTTCAAATGCTTGTCTTTTTAAATAATTAGTACATTGTTTATAATTTTCTAAAGTTAACTTATCATTTGGTAATTTATTTAAAATAAATTTAAAATTTTGTTGTGCTTGTTTATATTGTAATATAGCCATTAATGAAACCCCTTTTCTATAATATGCTTTTAAAAAATTAGAATCAATAGATATAGCAGAATCACAATCTTGAATAGCTAATCCATAATTCTCCAATTTAATATGAACTTGAGCTCTATTGGAATAAAAAATAGCATTTTTAGGATCAAGTTTGATTGCTTCAGTATATGATTCAATAGCTTGATCAAATTTATGATCTTTTAAATAAGCATTTCCTTGATCTTTTAATTTAATAGCTTCTTCTTTTGTCATACTGAACTTGGTGGTGGTTGAACTTGTTGTGATGAATATATTATCAAAAAAAAAATAAAAAAAATTCAAATTCAAATTCAAATAAATTTTTCACATCCTCAAAAAAATGTTTTTCTTTTTTTTCTGTCGCCTAAAAATTTTGATTTGCTCGCCTGAGCTTAGGGCCGTCCGCCGGTTAGACGTTGGGGGCCGTTCCCCGCCATCGGATCAGTTTTCTTCTAGTATGTTCTTTAAGTCCGTTAAATCCATAAACCACCATCAAGTGATCTGATTAGATAAGTGTAAGGTTATTCAATAATTATATACTTTTTATTATTTCAAGTAAAATTAATATACACATCATAATGATATCAACTACAAAAAAATGACTAATCTCTAATACGTAAACCAGAAGTTGGAACACCAATAGCTGTAATGTTAGTGATCTTACATAATTGTCCTTTAAATTCAGGATTATATTTAGCTCCAACTACAGCTTCAGTAACACTTGGTTCTCCACTATAAATTGGAGTGAAACTTCCACAACAAATATCAAATTCAGCATCTGGATTGAAATCAATAGAAATAGCATCAGTACCAAAACTACCAGCTCTTTCCAAAATCTTTTTGGCCAGATCAGCTCTTGGTCCACTAGTAGTGATTTCCAACAATTCTTCAGCAAACTTGGTAGCCATGACATAATTCTTATTCTTGTTGGATAAATTCATAGCAACATACAAGGCAAGAACTTTATGAGCAGATTGTAATTGAACTCTGGTGAAATAAGATGCCAATTCCAAATTACGTTTAACATCCAGTGGTGGCAAGTTACGACGTTCCAATTCAATGGAAATACCAAGAATATATTCACGACACAATCCCAAGATTTCATGACATTCAGTTTCTTCGGCTTCATCAGAAACATTAATAACAGCAATGGTGTAGATAATTCTTCTAAAAGTTTCAATAGCTTCTTCTAAATGTCTACCATTGAATTGCTTGAAACCCAATGCTAATTGATCCTTTAATTGGTCGTATCCAGGAATAACCGGTTTGAACTTACGTGGATTATCTTCATCATTATCTTGTCTAATGTATGTCTTCATAGCTGGTAATTCATCCATACCTGGTAAATACAACTTAGAAGCTTGATAAACTTGGTTGAATCTGTCTCTCAATGGTTCGAAATTAGAAACACCAATTTGCTTATTCAACATAGAAGCAGCTTGCTCAAAAGCACCAGCAGCAACATAAGAAGCTGGTGTCTTGGCATTACGGACCCAATCACCAACTTCGTTGTCAACAGCACTAGAAGCAAAGACTGGACCTGCTCCTTCTTCTTCTTGACCAGCATTGGCTTGCTCTTCATCATCATCATTTTCAAAATCATCATCCAAATCCCAAGCACCAGCATCTTCTTCTTCAGCTTCACCTTCGACATCATCATCAAAGTAGGCAGCTGGAGTACTAGTAGCATCAGTAAATTTGTCAGTTTCATTATCATCTTCAAGACTCAAGTTTTCAACATTACCAGTAATCAATGCGGTTTCAAAGTATGACAATTCAGAATCCTTCAATGGCCAGTTACCAATTGGTTCAGCAATTGGTTGAGGTAATGGAACGTCATCACCCAATTCAGGCAATTCAACATCTTTTTCACTGATACCTGCTTCTTGCAAGATTTGTTCAGCTAATTCGGTCAAACCATTGGATTTAGCTAAAGTATAAGCTAATGGCAACATACCACTTTGGATATAAACTTGACATCTCTTTTTAACATCATTACTGTACAAAGTGTTTTGGACTAAAGCAGAAGCATCACCACGATGTTCAGCAATAGTAGTCATCTTGTTTAATCTTTCACTATCACCTTTGTACAAATACAAGTAAGACAATTTATCAAAAAGATGCAATTGTTGGTAAACAAATTCAACAATTTCAATGTTACCTTGCAGTAAAGCTTCTTCTCCCAATTTTTCCCAAATTTGGTTGTTGTTCAAAATCTTGGCTTGTTCCAAAGCAACTTGCAAGTTACTACATTCCAAGGCCAATTCAAATCTAGTTTCTGGGTCTTGAACAAAATGCAAAGCAACTTCTGGGAAACCTTTCTTTTGCAAGTAAGCAATGATATTTTGACCAACCAATGTGGAGTTCTTAATAAGTCTCAAAACTTCACCGAAGTTCTTGTTGACCAAGGCACGTTTGAATCTGTATTCAGTTGGGTCGATAGTAACAACATCAACTTGACCTTCACGGTTCAAACAGTAAACCAAATTACCTTGGACTCTAGTGACATACAAAGTGTTTTCCAAAGTCTTGATAATACCATTGTCTCCGTTCAACAAAGTGTATTTGATATGGTTCAAAGTGGAGTATAACAAAACACCAGTATCATCCCAAGCAGCACTCTTGATTCTAATGGTTTCATGCATAGATGTAACCAATTCCAAATCTTTAGTAGCAATGGTGATGGTGTGTTTGGATAACAAGGCCAAGTATTGACCATCATTGGACCAAGAAACGTATTTGACATTGTTGACATTAATTTCAGACAATTCTTTACGTTGTTGAACATCATAGTTGATAACAGAATGAGCTTTAACCAACAAGATTCTACCTGGAGCACCAGCCAAAACATCATTGACAGAGCTATCTAATTGAATGGTCTTGGTAATGTTGTTGTTCATATCTTTAACATGTAAAGTTTTACTAGACTTGATAAAAGTAACAAATCTGTTACGAGAAATAAAAGTAGCAAAATTAGCTTCACCTTGTCTAATATCAGTTGGTTCAATGGCACCTGTGACATGTTTTGGCAAGTTGATCAAAGCATAATTACCATTGTCACCTTCACCATGAACAACCAAAATAGAGTTGTCACTTTGATTGTATGACAAAGTTCTCATAAATGACCAAGCTTTACCAATCTTCTTTAAAGACAACATTGGCAAGGAGTTTTCTTGTCTGTTGAAATCATAAGCTTGAACTTGTTTTTCACCATTGACATAAAACAATTTGTTTTGGAAAATAGCATGGGCTGGTCTTTCTCTCTCTAATTTGAACACCATAACACCGGAATCATGACAAGCAGCAAACAAGTTAATGGTTGGGTGAGAAGCAATGAGCCAGAATCTATCGTGCTCTCTTCTAAATTGTTTAACTGGAACACGTTTGTTCAAATCCCAAACTCTAATGGTTTTATCGTCAGAAACAGATAAAATCAAATCTTGATGAGGATGGAAAATGGCACTCAAAACATTACCAGTATGACCTCTACAGGTGTCGACTTCCCATGCTTTGGTGTCACTCATTCTCCATAATTTGACGACACGATCATCACCAGCAGAAACAATAAGTGGTAAAGTTGGATGGAAAGAAGCATAATTAACACCTTTGTCGTGACCTTCCAAAACATATTTAACAATAGCATTGACATTACCAAAAATATCTTGTTGAGGTAATTGTTGTCTTTGCAATTGGTCTTCAAAGGATCTCATGGATGAAGTTGGAGCACTATGTTTTTTTCTCAATCCAGAAATATCCCAAACTCTGACAGTTTGATCCAATGAAGCACTAACAATTAAGTCTTCAGTTGGATGGAATTGAGCACTCATAACATAATGATTATGACCAGTCAAACAAGCAATTTCTTGACGGTTTTGCCAATTCCAAATACGAATGGTTTGATCATCTGAACAACTGATAATCCAAGGTAAATCATGATGGAAAGAAACACCTCTAATATAATCCAAATGTCCATTCAAAGTGAAGATACATTTTCTAGTATTTAATGACCAAACTTTGATACTATAATCATCACCACCAGAAACAAACAATGGTTGAGTAGGATGGAAATTAACACTTCTAACTGGACCCACATGATCTTCAAATCTATCAATTAAAGTACCCATTCTATAATCCCATAATTGAATGGTTGAGGAATGTAAAGAAACTAATGCCCATGGTCTCTTTGGGTGGAAAGCAATTCCCTTAGCCCTAGAAGACTTGGACTCAAACTTGGTTAACATCTTCATGATTGCAGTCGATGTTGTTGGATATTTTATAGGGAAAACCTATTCTGATTGAAATTGATTCTTTTTTTTTTTTTGTTTGAGTTGTTTGTTGTCCGCTGTTGTGTGTGAGACTGAGATCGCTCACTGAAAAATTTTTGAACACGTTAAACAGGAAAAAAAAAAAGGTCGTGCATTTCCAAACACGTGACTTGGAAATATACGAATCTCAAAAAATAAATTAAAAACACCAATGAAATTTATACTATGATCATTATCTACTTAAACCGTTTATATATATATATATATATAAAATCATCTTCTTATTACACAAATAACAATAATAAAATATACACATTCACATTACTCAAAGTCTAGTCTAATTAATTAAGTTTAAACTAAGAAGGAGATCATTCCCAAAGCAATGGCACCAACTACACTAATGATATTGTCATTCAATGTAGCAGCACTTCCAGAAGATGACGATCCTGACGAATTACCTGAAGTTGCAGTTGATCTAGAATCTTGAACAAATCCACCAACACCAGCACTTGGGTTATATGTGTTTGTTGTTGTCTTTTTGCTTCCACTGTCTGTGGTACCTTGGTTTGCAGCAGCAGTGTTTTGTGCTGGGACATTAGCAGTTTTTCTAGTGGTTGAAGCAGTTGACACACTAGTAATGGTTGTTGAACCACTGGTCTTAACAATGGTGGTCTCGTTGGAATCATCCTGATCATTATCATCATTTTGTGGATCAAAACCAGTAGCATCATCACTACCCAACCAAGTTTTCTTATTTGTTAAATAAATATCCGTATCATCACCTTTAGTATCATTATAAAGGAAAGCATGATAATCGTCACTATTAGTGGAGTTACCACTTAACAAAATATGGTCAGGAAGATCATAAGTTTCGACATAAACATCTTTAACTTGGGCGTAAAAGTAACCGTATTCTTGGATATCTTCAGAATCCCAATCGACTAAACCACCAGCCCATTCAATAGTACCAACACCATTTGATTTATCACCACCTGGCCATAAAGAAATTTGGATTCTTGAAGGTGTTTGTGGGAAGTTGTATCTTTGCAAAGTTTCATTCCAAGTGTCACTTTTTTCTAAAGTACGGACTTTTTCACCATCAACATACCAATCGATTTTATCTTCTTGCCAGTCCATTTCATAAAGGTGATAATATTCAAAAGTGTTATTAACAGTAGAGTTTTCCGAGTTGGAATAATTCAAAATACCTTGTGCGTAGTAATTGGATTGTGGATTAACCAAGTCATAACCAACAAATTCATAATCAATTTCATCTTGGACATCGGAGAATAAAATAAAGGCTGTGACAACACCACCAGTACGAGAAGTCTTCAAAGTAGCACCTACTTTACCGTACCAAAGGTATTTAGTTGAAGAAAGAACGGTACCAGTAGACTGATTTGGCATTTGAAGTAATAAGGAGTCATCATAATAATCAACCCAACCTGTGTAAACCCAATCAGCCTCGGAAGAGTTACCCAAATAAAGACTTTGTAATTCGACTTCAGAAACCTTCTTTTTTGAATCAAAACTTTCAGAGAATGAACTCATTCTTGGCATAGGCATACATGATGATAAGTTGAATGAGTATCTAATATCACAACCACCTAAACAGTAGGCACCAGTACCACAAACCCCAAATTGAGAACAACATGGAGCATCTTCTGGACAACTAGAAGTTGAATTACAAGTGATGGAACTAGCTAACGATACACTAATTAGCGTGAGGAATATAATAAATAAGGATCTCATAATTTATAAGATTTTTGAACAAAGAAAAGATGGATATAGCGAATGGAGATGATAAAGTTATTGAAAGATCTAAATTTCGTCTATGGATTTTATTAATCTAGCAAATATTAAAAAAATATAGCGAAAGGATGAATAAATAAACAATAATAAAAAAAAAACAAGAAAGGGAATCTAAAAAAAAGAAAAGATCTTATTGAAGGAAAACAAATGGGATTTGTTGTTGATGAAGGAATACAATATTTATAATGATATAAAGAAAGAAAATAAAAAGAGAAAAAGAGGATTAAGATTTTTAAAAATGAAATCAGCCTTGGTTAAAAATTTTCTTTCTTCTTCTTCTTCTTCTTCTTCTTCAAGTTTTTGTTTTATTTTATTTTAGTTTTTGTCACATCAACATGCATGGAGATACAGCGGGTTAAAATTGTACAAACTGATCCACACACACCACAGGTTGTTGTCGATCTGGGTCGAGGTAAACTCGTCGAATCAAGCTGAGTCCGTTTCGGTTCGTTTCAATGCTTACTGTCGTCATGTCCCGCCTCAATAGTTGTCTTTTTATATTCGACATTGCTTTCAATAAATTTTCCGTGGTATTCGTATTGGCAGTACTGGTGGCAGTGGTGGTGGTTCTCGTCTTTTTTTCATTACTCCTGTCGCGGTTCGCCTGCGCCCTTAACGGTGGGACGTAATTTTCTATCATTTTAACCCAAATGGGAATAAATCAAAACACCGACAATTAAAGCACAAACGAATAAGTTCCACCATAGACTAAAGAAAGAAGAATGGAATATTTGCATCATCAACTGCTCATTGATGGTTTGAACCGGCCCCCCATTAAATGATCATATGAAACACATAACATGGTTCAGTTACTTCACTTCGAAGGATGATTCCGTTCCCGTCTTGTTCGTTTGGTTAGCCCACGCAAGACAAGACGAAGCAAAATTTTTTATTATTGGAAAAGGAGAGAGAGAGAGATCAACATGCACCAATGGTCTATTTTTAGTAACCCCTTTTATTTTATTAAGCCATAAATAAAGTAGAAAATCTCATGGTGTATAATAATAAAACAAAAACAAAATTCTCCAACTTATGATATCACAATTTAATCATAATACCCATAGATTAATAATTAGATCATTTCTCTATCAGAATGATTTGCAATATCTGTATTTTCTTTCTTTTTTTTGACACTTTTCATTAATGTTTCATTTTTCCTTAAAAAATTGACAGGATTTTGTTTATCAATCTACGAGTTGATGATGAGGAATTAATTCCCCCCTTTTTTTTGCTTACAACTCGAATAATTACATTTTATATAGATGATGATTTGTAATCTTCTTGTATGATAATTGCTTTTACAATGTGTTTTGAAATTCCACGTAAAAAAAAGAAATCAAAATATCGTCAAGTGCACGACCAGTTGCCAATTTCTTTTTTTTATCGAAGTGCGTGTACATGAGACCAAAAGAATTTGTAACTTACTCCGCCGATTTTTAAATCGCGAGATTTTTTTTATTAGAAGTACCATGACCACCTGGTAGCTCTGAAAGGGGGAGCGGGCGGGAATAAGTTACGAAATTGACTATAGAGAACGATCATTCATGATTAACAAACAAACAAACAAATATACCATTTGCACCCAAATACTACAACTAATAAACAATACTAATTTTTTATATTTACTCTACTTATTGGAGAAAAAATTATACATATTAGGATTATAAGTAGATGGATTATCATAAATCAAATTACTCTCATTAGAAGGCTTATTCTGTTGTTGAGGCTGCCACGAAGAATTATTACCTTCTGGCTGTCTTTGTGGGATAATTGGTTGTTGTTGTTGTTGAGAAGAAGAATAATATCCAGAACTGGAATACGATTGTTTTGGTGGCAATTGTGGCGGTGGTCTATCATAGCCATGCTGTTGAGGAATACTACCTTGACTATATTGTTGTGGTGGTGGTGCTGGACGTTGTGGTTGATAATTCACATATTGTGGTTGACTATATCCTCCTGACATTTGTGGTTGTTGCTGTTGCTGTTGCTGTTGATATTGATATTGATATCCACTTGATGTACTACCACCAGTATAATTCGACAGCAAATTGTTACTATCAGTTCTATTCAACATTGGTTGTGGGAATTGTTCTCCAATACTCATATTTCTCATGCCTTTACTTAATTCATCAATGTTACTCTTGATATTCTTACAATGATTCAATAATCCGTTATAAAAAGTCTCACCTTTGGTTAATCCACTATGATACTTATTCCAATTATTATAAAATTCATTAATTCTAATCAGCTCTGTTGCAATTAATTGGCCCTTTGAATTCAGTGTACTTTGTAACTTTTTAATTTCTGGATTTGATGTTAATTTTCCCCATTGGGTTTTCAATTCTTCAAATATGGATTTCTCTTGATTGATTAATTTATCCAACTCTTCAGTAAATGGATTAAATTTCTTCAATTCTTGTGGGAAAATAACAGATTTGATTTCATTACTAGACTTCAATTTCATATTTAGCACCAAAATATCAGAAATATCATCACTATGAATTGCCGTCTTGAGTTTTTCAATTAATTTAGATTTTGCTGTCTTGATGGTATTCAAATCATTCAAAAGATCTTCAATGAGTTTGATTTGTTTATCTTGAGTATCATCCATATCTAAAAGACTCACTTCTGGTTCTTGACTAGTAACTTCAAATAAATTTTTAAATTCAGATGACGATGGACCTTTACCTAAAATTGCAAAATATCTTTCATCAATTAAAGAAAACAATTTGTTATCAGAAGTGGATGCATCATATAAAACCTTTTTCAATTGTACAGCATCGTCCTTGCGATTGTTTTGATCGAAATATGAAATCAATTGATAGATTTCCCGCTTGGAACTTTCAATTCTGGCTTTACGATCTTGGTCTTCTTGATATTTTGATGAGATTTCTTGAACTTTTTTAATAATATCTGGAGATACAACATCATTGTTCTGTCCTTTGAGACTTTCTTTAATGACCACTAAAGCTTTTGGTAATTTTAAATATTCCAAAGCTGACAGAGCTTCTTCGTTTGATACTTCAAAATGATCAATCTCATTACGCAAATATTGGGATTTTTCTTCTGAATAAAAACTTGACAATTCATGAATATTAACTGGAACAACATTAACCAAGAAATTATTATAATTCTTTTCATTTACATCATGAAAAGTTGTATTATCACTCAAGGAAATTACTTTAGTACTATCCATTGGTTTGATTTCTGGAAGTGTAACCAAACTTGGAACAATATCATGATAAATCAAATCATTGTCTTTGTTTAAATCAGTGAGTTTAATAGAAACTGCATCCTTCTGGTATTTCCAATTATCCAACAATTCATAAACATCACCACTTCCTTTGGACACTTGTTTTAATGTAGTACTATGAATATTACTCAATACATCTTTCGATTTGGTCAAATAAGCAATAGCATCACCATATTTTCTTCCTGCTTCTAATTGCAATCCATGGAAATACAATGCTAATGATTTGTAATATTGGTGCTTGAAATAAATTGTTGCAATCCAAGAAGAATCCAATTCTGCAACAACTGAATGAAGATCTTGATCTTCTCTATCCTCTGGTCTTTCCAAGAAATCATCCTCATAATTCTCTCCATCATCTTCAGCATCATCATCGTCGTCGCCATAGCTATAAGCTTGCTTTCTATCCTGATTAATCATATTATAACAATCTTCATATAATATGCTTGTAGATTTACAAAGTTTTGAAATCAAGGAATTCTTCAGTTGATTAGTATCACCAGTAATAACTTTCAAAGTGAAAATTTCTTGGGATTGAGCAATCATTAATTTCCCCAAAAATTTAATAGTTGATTGTGCTAAATCTTCACTTGGAGCATGTAAGAAATTCTCATTAATAAATTGAAATATTCCTGCTGCTTGTTGCAACATCATGACCAGTTCTTTAAATGAATTTTCCCCATCACTACTTTGCAGTTCATTATATTTATAATTAGCAATCTTGCTTAATAATGATCCAATATTATATAAAACATTCGCTTTTTCAAATGGCAATGCATTTTGTTTATGAACCAAACCCGAGAATGAATCATGCCATTCAAATTCCAATTTTTTGGATTTGTTGACATCATGGAATGGAACACGTAAATCTATCAATTCTAATTGACTATAATATGTATAATATAATCTCAATCCAGTACTATCAGCATTAACTCCTCTGATATCTTGACGTAATTTGTTAAAAGAATAAAGATCATCTTTGAATTGAGCTGTATTGCCATAGATCGAAAGTAAATAGTTATTGAGTGGCTTAACCCAATTGACCTCCTCTGTTTTCTTATTTGGAATAACAAGTAAATGTGTCTTCATCGATGGTTTCTATTGTGGCAGTTGATGGTTGGCTAATAGATTGGAATCAAAATTGTTCCCCGTAATTAATAGATTGTTCGCCATTGCTCCCATTTTTGTGTGGACAACAACAAAAACAGAGAAAAACTCGACAGTGGTGGTAATTGAGCACTGATACACGACTTGTAGTATAATTGATGTTGTTGCTAATATCTCATCTGGGGTAGTATAGTCTAATGGTGACAATAATCAGACTAGGTTTACAGATGTCCATCTAATTGATCTAACACCCCATCATGACATGTGTGCTGTTGATGTGGTGCTGGTGTTTCATGAGCATTGGCAGCAATATATTAACAGATCTAGCAACCAGAAATATTTCTCGCATTTTCAAACTCGATCCCGCACAGACAATACTGGATAATTCATTTGATACCAATAGCTATATACAATCATCAATTGAATAACGAATTTCAACAACCCATTCTTCATGAAATGTCCAATTACATGTCTACCTATGCTAAGGTAGTTGAGATATCAAATAACTTAGATAATCTAATTCCCATAGGAACTATAAATGTTTATAATCTTCCTTTTGAAACTTGTGATTTAGGAGGTGGATTGGAAGCACCAGATGGTTGGAAATGGTTAGATTTGAAATTATTACCACCAAATGATGGAAATTATCATCACATTATCACATTACTTGACTTTTTGCAATCTTATGGATTTTTCAAACTCACATATAGAATCATCAAATTCAATGAAGATCCAATGTTTCAAATATGCAAAATTAGATTATATTCAATTCCTAGTGATATTGAAGGTGCTAGATTTTTTAGAGATTGGAGACAAATGTTAAAAGCTAGTTTGAAAATAGATAAAAATTATATTATCAATCTAGATATTTTATTAAAATATGTGGATTTTTCATCTTCTGGTTGGAAATCAAACCTGAAAATGTCTATATCGGAGTTCTTGCATAATCATGATCTGATATTTATTATAGATGCACAAAAATTGGTGAAATTATCAATACCACCCATTGAGGAGTCCAAGTTTTATATTCAACGATGGTGTTCTGGAGGGTCTGTTGGTAGATATTCTATCAGTACAGAGAGTCTTGATAGATCATTCGGACAAAGAGTTAAAGATATCTATAATGAAATTCGATCTCCAAATTTATCAAAATACGTTCATGATGATATTGACATGAAAGAAGTTACCCAGATTTCATCAATTGAATTGAGATTATCGAAATTGGCAATGGATGCTACAAAGGATTCAGTTAAAATACCAGGGGTGAAATCATTAGTATACCCATATCAAGCAAGATCATTGGGAGTAATGTTAGAAAGAGAATCAACTGTACGGAGGAGTTTGGTACCAAATTTTATAAAGCTAAAATCACCTATCAGTATGACAGAATTCTATTTTGATCTATACACCAAGCAGATCTGTACAAAACCAAGTTTAGTTACATTACCAAAAGGTGGAATATTAGCAGAAAATATGGGTCTTGGGAAAACTTTGATTTGTTTAGGCTTAATATGTCTAACTAAATTTGAAATATCAAAAATTCCATTAGATTTGTTACTTTATCATGAAATTGAAATTCAAGACTCCGTGAAATCATTAACTAAACTTTGTCGCGAGAAAGTTGCCCAATCTTCAATACCATGGCAGTACTATAATCTACCTGAATCGTTGAAACAAGATCTTAAAGAGAATCCAGGATATTTTTGTATGCAACATGATATAGATGAATCTTTCAATTCTGCTGTACAACCAAGAAAGAGATCAAATAATAATAAGAATAGTGCAACACTCAGAAAGCTTTACATGTGTAGCACAAGTTTAGTTGTTGTTCCTGATAATTTATTTTCACAATGGAGTGATGAAATAGCCAAGCATGTTGACGAAGGTTATCTTAAAGTGCTATGCCTTGCAAATCATATTAAAAACAAGGACGATACAGATAATGTAACTTCTATTTACTTTTCAAATACTGTTCCTCAAGATATCCCCTTTTTAATAAGTTATGATGTAATATTATTTGCACAGTCTGCTTTATCGAGATCTATAAATGATAAACAATCTCCTATCCAGAATATATATTGGAAGAGATTGATAATAGATGAAGGGCATAGTATGCATTCAAAATCATCCAAAGCGGCACAAATGTGTCGGTTATTATTTGCAGAAAGACGGTGGGCAGTATCAGGAACACCAACGTCTGGATTGACTAAACTTTACATGGAAGAGGATAACAACATTGATATTCATCTAGTTGAGAATGAATTTAATGCTAAAACAGATTTGTCAAAACTAGGTACTATTGTTAGTAATTTCTTGAAAATGGAACCATATTATAGTAATCCTAAACTTTGGTCACAAGAAATCATATTACCGCTCAATAAATCTGTATATGGGTCGGAATTAACATTCAAAAATTTATTAAATTCGATAATGATTAGACATCAACCAAGAGATATTAATGTTAAACTTCCGAGATTTCATCACGAAAAAGTAGTACTACAACCTTCATTCCATGATGCTTTATCGATGAACTTATTTGCGTCTGTGTTGGCAGTCAATGCAGTCACATCGGAGAGAACGGGTGTGGATTATATGTTTCATCCATATAATAGACAGCAATTACGAAGACTATTGTCAAATGTTCAAAGAGCCACCTTCTACTGGACCGGATTTCAACAAGAAGATGTTCAAACATTAATTGATATTTGCGATAAAGCATTAGAAGATGACAAGTATAATGAGACAGATATAGAATTATTGAAAAAATCTAAAAAGGTTGCTCTTACGGCATTAAGAAATCCAAGATGGAAAATGTCACAAATGATTCATGAATTAAACTATTATGTTTCTAATTGTTCAATGTTTACATCTACATATGGAATAGGTACTATTGAATCAAAGGGCGTCGGGATATTTGGAGCACCACAATTATTATCCCTTAAAGAATTTTGGACCAAAAATGAACATTTGACATTTAATAGTGAAACTGAATTCCAAGATAAGTTGGAATTAAATTCAAAGGAATTTTGGGCTAGATATTGGCAAGATGAAGCAAGTAGAAATAAAGAGAAGTTTAGTAAGAAGAAAGTTATTGAAAACCAGGCAACAATTCTCGGAATGATGACAAAATCAGAACCTACAAGGGATGAACCCACAAATAGTGAGCCACTACAAACAATAGTTTCCCCGCCAAAGAAGAAACGTAAAGTAATGTTTGCAGATGCTACAATACCCGAAGAAGAAGAAGAAGAAGATCCATTTCCACATGAAAAAAATTCATTTCAGATGAATGTTGATTCGATAAAGCTTTTAGGAACTTCATCAATCAAATTAACCTACTTGGCAAACAATTTATATGAAAATCAAAAGAATAAGATTAAATCCATAGTATTTTTTGAATTTGAAGATAGTGCCTATTATCTTACTGAATTGTTAGAAATCATTGATGTTAAATATATCTTGTATGCAAACTTTATCAGTCCAATAGAAAGATCAAAAAATCTTAAAGATTTTTCTAATTATGATAATGAAAAAAATGGAGGTATTGTATTAATTATGAATATTGCCCATTCATCGCATGGATTAAATATAATTGCTGCGTCGTGTATATTTTTCATTAATCCAGTTAAGAAAGAATCAATTGAAGCACAAGCTATTAAAAGAGCCCATAGAATAGGTCAAGATAAAGAAGTAACAATTAAAACATTGACCTTAGATCATGTTGATGAGTTGAAAATATTTGGTACTGCTAATACTGATGATAATGAAGAAGTTAATGGGGATGATAAATTATTGGAATTCTTAGACTTGAAACTTGATGATGAAGGAAATGAATTTGCTTCATTTGCTGAACCAATTGTATTGTTTAATTAAAGTTAATGACAAGAGCTACCATGTCGTATAGAGAAATATGAAGAGTCAACAAAAATTGAAGAGCAAAGAAAGAAAGAAAAAAAAAAAATTGAGTTTGGAAATTATTATCACCAGGTTAGAACTCAAACCCCGAGGTTAGATATCAATTCAGCAATAACAGATGCAACCAGATTCAAATATAAATCATAATAACAAAGAAGAAGTCGAAGATGATGATGAGCCAGATGAATGGGATTCAAGAATATTGAAAACGGGATGTTATCAAGAGAATTTGAATTTACAATTATGTCACGCCGATAAAGGAGATTGGAGACAATGTTTGAAAGAAATGCAACTATTTAGAGAATGTTGGGAAAAGAATAAGAACAATGAAAGAACCCAAACTGTCAATAATGATGATAATGATAATGATGCTTGATCAATACTTGGTTATATTCAAACACCAGTGACAATTGGATTTGACGCGTTTGATTGAAAGACGAAAAAAAAAAAAAGAACAAAAAACTTTGTACATTTTTTTAATAAGACTGTAAATAGATAAACAAATGTATAAATGAATGAAAGAATGAATGATCATGAACAAACCAAGAGATATATATAATGAACTATACAAACTACGAAGTGATAATCAACATTCTTCAGATGACAACAATGATGAAGATGATTCAGAATCACAGATTGAAAACATTGAAGATGAATATTATTATTCTAATGATGAAGTAGAAAATCAATTACGAATAGATTTAGAAATATCAGAATTAATGAATAATTCAACAACTTTAAATCAATTTAATAAGAAATATAATGAATTAAAAGATGAAAGTTTACGTAAATTTTATCAAAGAAATCAAGAAATTTTCAATAAATATAGTCAAATTGATGATAGTAAAGAAAGTGATGAAATTGATATATTAACAGGTGAAATAATTACAAATAATGGACATTTAGATCGAATATCTGGTAATGATAATGATAATAATAAGAATATTTGGAGAGTTGATTATAATAGATATTTAAAAGAATCAGAACAAGAACTTGATGATGAAAAATCAATGAAGAAGATAGTTAAGAAATTGGATTTATTTAATGGGAAAGGAAGAAATATGGATGATGGTGATGATGATGATGAGGTGATGAAATTTTCACCAACTAAAGGGAAAGTACCTAGTGGATTGGAAACTGAAGAATCACCTATAAAGAAAAGAAAACTTAATACAATAATTCAACAATCAGTGTCAGACGATGACGAATCAGAAGATGATGATGTTGATGATGATACTGGAGATTATTATTATGAATCAATAATTGTTAATGATAGAGATAAGCCATTCAAATTACTGAAGAAGAAATTAGATTTAAATCTACCTAAATTATCATCAAATAATAAACCAATATTACTACCCAATAATTTACAAAATGATATATCATCATCAACTGAATCAATTGAAGAAATGCAACATCCATTACAAAATAACCAGATTGAATCATCTTCAGAAACTGAAGATTTCCCATCTTTGGAATCATCACCTTATCCAATACACCAGAAGAATTCATTTGATGAAGAATATCAAATCATTGAAGATCCATTGGCCTATCTCCTATATCCCAAAGAAGATGAACAAGATACGTTAAAGATATATCAATGTGCATTTAAAAAGTCATGTAAATATTGTACTGGGAATAAAAAACTATATGAAGATCATTTATTACATTCCCATTCTTTTCAACTATCTAAATTAGGATATCCCATATCAATTTCTACAACTACCACTTCAGAAGAATCAAATATTGATGGAATTGATTTTATAAATTTATTTAATGATTTTCCTAAAAAAATCAACTTACCCAAAGAATCTAAAATATTTTCATGTGATAATGAAATTGGAATAAATGGTTCAAGATGTCAAAAATATTATTTGAATGAAAAATTATTAAATGAACATAAATTAAAACTTGATGATTGTTCAATAAAGAAATTGGTTTTATTTTGTCCTATTTTAGGTTGTGGTTATATGACTGATTGTGGATATAATGATTGGAGAAATCATATGATTGAATCAAATCATGCCTCACTACCCTCATTTACATTAACAAATGTAAAGGATAAAGACGATGATGATAACGAGAGACTAAGAAGAAGAGGAAGGATTGTGGAAAATCGTACAAGACATGTTAATGTTGATGTACCAAAATTTACCAATCTTGAAAAGAAAATTGATTTGAAATTTATTGAATCAGGTAATGAACCTACAATTGATGAATTATTCAAATGATAAAAAATGTAATAATATTATAAAACTATTTACAGACAAGTTAATAAAACAATTATGCAGTTTCTGTTGAAGTTGGAGGAGTAACATCACCATCATCTGATTTAGGTTTTGGTTTACCTTTAAAAGCATCTTCACCTTGAAGATATTTATCAAAAGCATCATTTCTTTCTCTAAAAGGTCTTGGACCACACATTCTAATCATATCTTCTCTTGTTAAAACTTCTTTCTTAAATAATTCCTTAGCTACTTTATCAACTAAATCTAATTTTGAAGTTAATAATTCTTTACAATCTTGATAAGCTTCATCAATTAATCTCTTAACTTCTTTATCAATTAATCTAGCTGTAGTTTCGGAATAATTATGATGAACTTTAATACCATCACTATCACCACCTTGATCATAAACAATTTGTCCCAATGATGGAGACATACCTAATCTAAGAACCATATGTTGAGCCATCTTGGTTACTTTTTTGAAATCATCACTTGCTCCACTTGTTATAGTAGGACGAGTTATTTCTTCTGAAACTCTTCCTCCCAAAGCCATAATCATACGATGCTTAAATTGAATTTCTGATAAAAGATATTGATCACCTGGTAAATATTGTGCATAACCTAAAGCACCTTGAGATCTAGGAATAATAGAAACTTTAACTAAAGGATCAGCATATTCTAAAAACCATCCACAAACTGCATGACCTGCTTCATGATAAGCAACAGTTTTCTTTTCTTCGGGAGTTAATAATTTGGATTTCTTTTCTAACCCAGCAACAACTCTTTCAATGGCATGTTCAAAATGATGAATATCAACCAGTGGAGAATCTTCTCTAGCAGCAATTAATGCACCTTCATTAACACAGTTGGCAATGTCGGCACCAGCAAATCCTGGAGTTAATGCGGATAATCTACCAGCCAATTGATCTAAAGTTTCAGTTTTAAGTTGTTGATATTTAGCAAAATCAATATCTTTTTGTTTAACATCAATATCTTCCAAAGCTTGCAATTTAATTTTACTTAAATGAACTTTAAAAATTTGTTTACGACCTTCAACATCAGGAACATCAATAGAAATATGTCTATCAAATCTACCTGGTCTCAATAAAGCTTTATCCAAAATATCAGGTCTATTGGTACCGGCTAACACGACAACATGATCAGTCGTATCAAAACCATCCATTTCGACTAATAATTGATTCAAAGTATTTTCACGTTCATCATTTCCACCAATTTTACCATTACCTCTTTCTTTACCAATGGCATCAATTTCATCAACAAAAATAATTGATGGGGCCATTTCTCTAGCGGTTTTAAATAAATCACGAACTCTTGAAGCACCAACACCAACAAACATTTCTACAAATTCAGAACCAGAAACAGATAAAAATGGAACACCAGCTTCACCAGCAGTTGCTTTAGCTAATAAAGTTTTACCAGTACCTGGAGGACCAGATAAAATAGCACCTCTTGGGATTTTAGCACCCAATTTTTCATATTTTTGAGGATCTTGTAAAAATTTAACAAATTCCATAATTTCTTCTTTTGATTCATCACATCCTGCAACGTCTTTAAATTTAATTTTAACTTCATTTTCTTGATTAAATAATTTAGCCTTTGATTTACCAATTTTGAATAATCCATTTGGACCACCCATTCCCCCACCACCAGCTTGACCACCTGGCATTCTTCTCATGGTTAAGAAATATAATCCACCAATTAATAAAATAGTTGGTAAAATAGGTAAAACATAACTCATCCATGAACCTTTTTCTTCATAAACAATAGGTAATCTTTCACTAATTGGAATAGATAATCTTTCTTGAACTTTATTCATTTCATCCTCAAAATATTCTAAAGAACCAATAGTAAATAAAACAGTTGGTTTCCCATTACTATTGGTATGACTTAAACTTGACATTGCACCAGGAATTAATTCAGCTTCAACAATATGTTTATTAATAACAGTTAATTTAGTAACTAATCCTTTTTCAATATAATTAGTTATAAAATCTTGCATTGATAATTCATGACTTTCAGCATTATTGGTAGCTTTAGTAAATAAATATAATGTAACAACTGCAGAACCAAATAAAACAATATAATTCCCAATAGTTTTAAAATCAATTTTATAAATTTTTAAATTTTCTTCATCAAGATTTGGATATTTTTTATGTAATTTACGTTTAATTTCTTCTTTTTCTTCCTTATCTTTCTCTTCTTGTGATTTTTCAGGTTTTTTATCTTTATTATCTTTTGTAGATTTGTTGAATAAAAAAGTGGACTGGTTGAATGATAATGGACGAAATGTGGAAAATGTTCGAATAGTTGTTGGTGATATACTTCGACGTGGAAGTATGGCTCTATTTAGAAACCTTATTGAACTAACCCTCAACATGTTTATGATGTGTATGGTGTATTGGTATTGTTGTTGTTGTTAAAGGGAAGAGTGATTAAATGTGGAATACTGTATGGGGTTTGAAATTAAATGGAATGAAATCTGTAATAATCCCCGTTGGTGGGTAATGAGAAATTTTTCTTTCCAGTTTTTTTTTTTTTTATTTTATTTTGCCATTCAACTGGCGGTCGTGTACACGGTGCCAAATTGTTCCAAATCAAAATGTAATATAACCTCCATCACCATTAGCAATGTTATCATTACAGAATCATCTATTAAAACTTAAACTAATAATTAATTATTTAATAAATATATTAAGAAAGAGGAAGAGAATAGAATGGATATATAGAAAACCAAATTGATTAATTAATAAGAAAGAAAAAAAAAATTAAAATAGACTAGAATAGAATAGAATAGAATAGAATTAAAAAAAAAACATCAGATATCTAATACATTAATCATCCTTTTTGAATACTTGATTCCAACAAGTTTCACAAATTTTTAAAAACTTCTTTTTATTATATTCTTCAGAACTTTCATCACCCTCTTCATTTTCATTGTCTTCATCATTACTTTTGGATTTATTCTTGTTGAATATTTTAAAATTAAATACATTGGATCCATTAATGGTTATACTTCCTGATACATCAGTATTTTCTTCGTCTTCAGTTTCATTAATTGTAAGAACTTGAGTAGTTGGTGCTTCATCATGTACTGAACTGCCGAAAAATTCTCGTTGTGCAGATAATGGCTGACTATTAAAAGGTGCAGCTTTATGTAAATCTCCACGAAACACATCAGTCACTGCATTTGCTTTTGGTTTATTCACTTGTTGTGGTTGTGGCTGGGGTTGTCCTTGTGCTTGTGGTAGTTGTTGCTGTTGATGATGCATTGGTGGTTGAACTATCACTTGAGGTTGTTGTGGTTGTGGTTGTGGTTGTTGATGTTGTATTTGGGTTCCTTGTAAAGTAGCTCTTCTTCCAAAATGAGTAGCGGTTGCTGTTAGTGGAATCATTCTAACTCTTGGGTTAACTTGTCTTAATTGACTTCTTGGTAATGGTACTGGCACTGGTTGTAATTGTTGAACTGGGTGATGTTGTAATGAAGGTGAATAATATTGTTGAATTGGTGTGGCAACATAATAATATTGTGGTTGTTGAATTGGAATAAGATTAGGTTGGGATTGTTGTTGTACTTGTGGGACAATTCTTGCGGCTCCAGGTATCATTCTTGGTCTTGGTCTATTTCTAATTGGAGCAGAATGAATAGAAGGACGTAAATTGCCCACATTTGTACTTGACGGAACACCTTCACCAATACTCAACGGTGGTGGAACATTCAGTCTTTTCAATTTCTTTACCCCTGATAATCTATTAAGATCAGAATCATCCGAGGCATAAACTGGTGATTTAGGTGGTAATCTTAAATTCGGTGGTGGCAATTGAGGTTGAGATGGTTGTATCACTGTGGTTGTTGTAGTGGATGTAGATGTAGTACTTGTTGTCGAAGCTTCTTGATTAGTATTGTTTGTTGTGGAACTTGATTGTTCATCAATATCATCCAGATCTTTACTATGTCTAGCAGCAATTAAATTCTTTTGTTGTTGTTGGATTTGTTTCAGGAGTTGAATGGTTGACTTCATAGCTTCATTGATTGAAGGTGGTAATCCAGGACTAACGATTCTTAAAGCAAGATCAGCATTATCATTTGCTCTTAGATTTAAAGATAATGGTCTATGACGTTTTGGAGGAGATGTAGTTGATGTAGAAGCAGGAGCAGACGCAGACGTAGATGCAGATGCAGTTGATCTTGGAGGTGAAGTAGAAGATGAGTTTTTACGTTTCAATGAAGTTGGTTTTTCTGAGGAAGCCGTTGTAGTATTAGTAGTAGTCTTCTCTGGTATTTTAGCTAATTCTGGTGGTGTAATTGAAGGAGATGCCCTTGCAGCAGTTTGAACTTCCACTTTACTCGACATGATTAGTTAATGAATGTGCTGGAATATCACTTGATACTAAATTAATTAACAATAAAAAAAAATAAAAGACTGAATCAAATAGATATAAATCAAAACTTGGAAATTGAAGATCAAAATATGACAGTGGAAACAAAAAAAAAATGAGGGCAAAGGGGGTAATAATTAAATTAAGATTGTCGGGTTTTTTTGATACTGTTTTATATAAAATTTGCTTTTCTTTTTTTTATTAAATAATCCCACCTTGTTACCTGTAATGTATCTGTTTTTTTGGAGGCAGATAAATGAATGAATGAATGAGTTTGTAATATTGAATTGTATTAATTGAAAATGTTGAAGTAAAACGTAAAATTTTTTTTTTTCTGTCTGTTTTTGGTTTTTGAATTGTCACAAAATAAAAAGGGGAAATCAAACGAGTAAAAATAAATAAACAAATAAATAAATTCGTGGTGTTTGATTGTGTACAATTCTTAACAAATATTAATGAAATACGTGTAAGAAAGAAAAAATGCTTCTAGTACGTCTTGTGGTTATCAGAAAATGTTTGAAATTTGTAGCAAATGGGATTTATAATTCAATTTATATTCTCCAGATGGTAAATGAACAAGTAGACAATAAAATAACAGCAGCTAAAACAAAACAAAAACTAAAACAAAAAAATGAAAATTGGGCAATAAACACCGTTAAAATTCCTTTATTTGATTATACTCTTTTGTGATAAATGTTATTATTGAGTTGTCTGTAGTTGGAAGTTTCTCTATTGATTTGAGGACTTGTTGTTTTGTTTTGCTTTTGTTTGTTTGATTGATTGATTGATTTCAGTTAGAAATTTTATGCTGGGTTCAAAAATAAATTTCTGTGAACCTTTCTGGAAACAAAACCAAAATATCTAAATGTAACTGCGGCTAAATTGTTGAGATTGGCCCTTTTAGAAAACACGAGTTGTTTAGACGTGTAATGAAAGAAAGAAAGAAAAAAGACACACACAAATGGCAGTGGTTGGATCAAGCGTCTATTGGTTAATACAAGCGAAATAGATGGTTGTCAAAAAAGAAAGTGTTGTAAGAAATGTGTTTGGTGATGTGGTTGTCAAATATTTATTGTTGCAGGTGGGTTGTAAGAAAAAAGAAGAAAAAACCCAAAGAAAAAAAAATTTTTGCTTCTTTTTTGAATTTGTTTCAGAATTCTTTATTTAGTAATAATTAAACAATTAAATATGAAACCCTTTAAAATAATACAACTATAATTCGTTGGATTGAATCCCGTTGGTTGTGTTTTAATTTAATATATAAAAAAAATCTTTTGATGACAGACAATAATAACAAGACGAGTTATTTTATTTGATATTTATATTGAGTGATTAACTGGGGTTGGTTAGGAGAGAATTTTAACCAGAAGAATGGATTTAGCCTTGGTTTGGCTTTAGGATTGGGATTTGGGATTGACTTTGGTTCGGATTTGGGATTTGGGATTGTTTAAAAATCAAAAATTCTCTCTTTTATTGTTGTACTGTAGATCCTTTTTCCTGTATTGGTTAGTTTCTTTGTCTTTCATTTCATTTCATTCATTCCCACTATCATTCATACATTCATTAAAAAACTTTGTTTTCGTTTAGTCGTGTAATTTTTATTTTTCTTTTGCTGTCTGGTTGCAATTTTAATTCACCAACAGATGATGACTCTGATTCATTTTTTTACAACCAATTGGCAACATCATTGGTGTTAAACTAACATCATCATCATCAACAACAATGATGAAACATAAATGAATGTATTTCAGACATGTTCATATTCACCTCCATTCCCTTCCGTCATTGGCTTCAAAATTCTCTTTCTATTTTATTTGTCGTTTCTTTTCTATTATATTCATTTTGTTTCTAAACAGAATGTTGAAACTAATTTAAAATTCTTTCAAATTTTTGAAATACAAGAAGGAAAACCAATTTAGACAAAGCCACAAAGTAAGAATCAACCTCCAAATTGAAATCTGGGTGTGTATATGTATGTTAGACCGACGGCATCATTACTTACTTGCTTAAACTCACAAAGAAGAGTATATGCACAATGAATAATCAACCCATTTTGCTAGTACTACTACTGTAGTTGTTATTGTACACATTATTCTATCCCAATTACACAGAGTTTATATGCATTCAATTTATAAATAAACTCGCCTCAATTATGTATCAAGAATTTTCATCGGATTTATATCCGATAAGAAAATATGGATTTCATTTGAAATTTTCAACAACAAGAAGAAGATCATCATCATCATCATCATCATGAAAAAATAGACATTCTTAGTTAGATGATCATTTTTAAAACAATAAAGATTAGTTTAGTTGTTGTAAATCATTGGTTGAACAATTATAGGATAATGAACAATAACCAAGATCTTCTTTCACTACTACCCCATACTGTTGTATAATCAACTATGATCAATAATGATAATAATAATAATAGTATATTGTTATTTATTTTATATATATATAATGTACAATCAAACAATCAAACAAAAAAAAGAAACACAATCACAATTTCAATTTCAATGATCGGATATATGACTTCTTCCTTTCTTTAGTTAACCTAAGCAGTGTATTTTTCCCAACCTTTTTGTCTCTTAAAGGCATTAAGGGTATAATATTTGGTAGTACAAGAGTAACCTCTCCAGGTGAAATCTTTGTTTGGATCACAGTTACAGTTTCTAGCAAGTCTGACATCTTTGTCAACTGGACAGTTAGTGAAAGGAACGTGGTAATAACCAACATCTTCAAAGAAATGAACTTGATCTCTTGGTAAGAACAAAGCAGCAGCAATAGAATGGACTGGAGCATCACCCCATCTTTCATAAAAGAACCCACCAGCTTTATCCAAATGTTCGAAATATTTTCTATAAGCATCACTTCTCCAGAAAGCCAAAGAACCAATTTCAAAATTGGACCAGAAATGACAACCATTGTAAGTTTCACCTTTATCGTCACTAACCCATTCCATCAAGTTGTTTTCAGCCAAATATTGTGGGTTTTTATCAATAAATTCTTTAGTGGTTTTCCACAAAGTTGGAATAGTTTCTTTATATTCTGGTAAAGAAATAGTGAAACCATAAGCCTTGTTGTTATCTTTCATCCATTTGAAAACATCATAATCAATATCACAGAACAATTTAATATCAGGTTCAACTCTCCAGTAGTAATCATAATCATTCAACAATTCTTGTCTCCAGAAGAAACCACTTTCGAATCTACACATATGTCTGTAACTTTCAGAATGACCATAAATAATCTTCTTTTCTCTCATTTGTTCACGAACCAAGGCAGCCTTTTCTTGATCAATCCATTCAGGATAAGACCAATGTTCTTTTGGAATCTTACCAAATTTAGCAGTACCAGAAACCAAACCACTGACGGTTTCTTTGAAATTGTCATCAAAATCAGCATCATTCAAGAAAACCCAATCATAATGGAACTTCTTGTTGAATCTATCTTCAACGTGTCTAATTGATTCAGCTAAAGAATATAAATCAGAGTTTCTAGCCAATGTAACAAAAGTAGCTTTAATCTTATCTTTGGTAGTGTAATCTTCTGGAATATCCTTTTGTGGGATAGCTTCAGGTTGTTGACCTTCAACTTGTCTGTATTTTTGTAAAGGACCTCTAGCTTTACCAGTTGGAACATCAACACCCTTGTTAGCAGCGGCTGCTGGTTGCTTAACTTGGGCTACTGGAGCGGAATCTGCTGATGATGAACCAGAAGATTGATAACTTGGTGGTTGGAAGGATGAACCTCTAGTCAAGATATAACCACAACCAATTAATACAAGTGCAAAAATCCCAAATCTAATGAGACGGGCATTAGATCTAGTAGAAGCCATGATTTTAAATAAACTTAATTTAAAATTATGAAGTTATTACTAGAAGGAAAGAGGAGGAAAAGTAAAAGTAAAAGTAAAAGCAAAAAAAAAATAAAAAAATGTGAAAATTTATTTGTGGTTGTTGATAATGAACAATTTTTCTCTCTTTTCTTTCCTTTTCCTTATTACGTGTTAAACAAATATGTGGGTGTGTACTTTGGCTAAATTTCTAGAAATAAAAGGCGCGCGTTGTAAATTATTTTTTTTTTCTTAGTCGTGCAGAAAAGTTTCTTTTTTCATTGTCTTACTATGGTTCTTACAGTTTGTGTAACGTGTTGTCGTGTACGGTGTTCAACTTTACCAGGCTAAATCTCATCATCATCATCTTCTTCTTCATCTTCAACAGAATCTCCCATTTATTAAATTACCGTTTAAGGTTAATATTTTTGCAAATGTACTTACAGAACAGGAATGAATACTTACATTACATTACATGAATAAAACCATTATTATAATTGACTTATTCATATTGGTTCTTTTTTTTTTTGTCATACGCGTATAGCCATACACGTGTAAGTTGAAAGAAGTGAACTATTTATACGATGACCATGATCTTTTATAAAGAGACAACTGATACCTCTCTCTTCCTCCGCCATGGATCTGTGATATCTTAGAGCCGATATTTGCATGTTCGATATAAGACTATTGCTCTTTTTTTTTTTAGTTCATGTCCCACAAAGATATCGTACTTTCTAGTATGCAATGAAGAAAAGGAAAGTTTTAAACTAGTAAATGAATTTCATATATATTCCAAGAGAAATTATACAAGAATATGGTTCTGTTCTATAAATATCCCTTAATAATTATGTGAGATCCCTTTATTGGTTTGTAGTTATAATACTCCCCCCCTTCGTGGTTTCTTCCATTTCTTATATGCAGTAATCTGTTTGTGAATCTTTAAGTGTAATTGCACCACATATTAAGCGGCTTTTTTCTTCTTGTTCCCACGACCATATTTAACGATATCTCCATTATCATCAACTTATAACCAAGTTATCTTTTACAAAAAGAAGGGTCAAGGAATCAAATCATAGTAAGAAAAATTCCTTTTTCTTCTTGTTGTTGTTGTAATATTGCATGTCAGGTATATGTATAATCTATTATTACTGATAAGGATTAAATTAAATACTCTCTCCCTGAAATTACAAAGACTTTGTTCTTTATTTCATGAATTGTTATACACGTGATGCAACATTTTTGTAAATTGAACAATTAAGGTTTATATTAGTAAAGTTGTACATGCATCAAACACCAATCTAGAATTTGATCAAAGAAAACCCGAAAATATACAACAATGTTTCTTATCAATGTCTGTAACCTCTAGAGTGTTATAATCAAACGATTAATGAATTTGAAAAGTTAATTCAATCCGAGAACAAACCAAACTCGAGCCACATCGAACATTAATAACAATAGTCAAAAACGTAGACAAAGTTTAAGAGTAGTTTTCTTGTTGTTGTTGTTCTTCTTCTTCTTCTTCTCCACATTATTGTTTTAGAATTCTCAATTGACCTTCCTTCCTTTTTGCAATTATAAATTTATAATTCCACTAAGAAAAGAAGCCCTCGCCGTAGAATTGGGCCCAACGTCGTGGGAGATTAAGTCCCACGACCAAACTGAGAAAAAAAAAGGGGGGAGGATAAGACAACCGGAAAACGGAGAACGGAGAATTTCCGACAATTGTTCCATAAGTTATAAAGTCGATACTCCCCCACTTTTCACCATACCAACAAACAATTAACATAAAAAAAAAGACTATATAAACCCTGGATTAATTCCACTTCCTAATTTCTATCTTGTCTCAATTGAACTAACCAATTAACCAACCAACTAACGATGGCTTCAATTGATATTGATAAGTTAATCAATGAATTAACATTGGATGAAAAAATCAGTTTATTAGCAGGTAAAGATTTTTGGCATACTTTCCCAATACCTTCAAAATCTATTCCAAGTTTAAGATTTTCAGATGGTCCTAATGGTATTAGAGGTACAAAATTTTTTGATTCTGTACCATCTGGATGTTTCCCATGTGGAACTGGATTATCATCAACATTTGATAAAGATTTATTAATTAAAGCAGGTGAATTAATGGCAATTGAAGCTAAACATAAAGGAAGTCATGTTATTTTAGGACCAACTATGAATATTCAAAGAGGTCCTTTAGGTGGTAGAGGTTTTGAATCTTTTAGTGAAGATCCTTATTTAACTGGTAAATCAGCAAGTTTTATTGTTCAAGGTATTGAATCATTAGGTATTGGATCAACTCCAAAACATTTTATTTGTAATGATTTAGAAAATGAAAGAAATTCAAGTGATTCAATTTTAACTCCTAGAGCATTTAGAGAAATTTATTTGGAACCTTTTAGAATTTTATTTAAAGATATAAGTCCTTCTTGTTTAATGACTTCTTATAATAAAGTAAATGGTGTTCATATGTCTCAAAATAAAGAAATTTTAGAAGGAATTGTTAGAAATGAATGGGGATGGAAAGATGGTTTAATTATGAGTGATTGGTTTGGTACTTTTACCAGTAAAGAAGCCTTGGAAGCAGGTCTAGATTTAGAAATGCCAGGTCCTGCTGTATTTAGAAGAAATGATGAAATTGGTCATATGATTAAAACTAAAGAATTGAATATTAAAGTATTGAATGAAAGAGTTCGAAATGTTTTAACTTTAATTAAAAAATTAAGTGAAAGTTCAGGTGTTCCTGAAAATGCTCCTGAAGATACTGATAATAATACTCCAGAAACTAGAAAATTATTACGTAAATTAGCGCAAGATTCAATTGTATTGTTGAAAAATGAAGATAATTTATTACCTTTGCAAAAAGATGATTCAATTGCTGTTATTGGACCAAATGCTAAAGCTGCAGTTTATTGCGGTGGTGGTTCAGCCTCATTACGTGCTTATTATACAACTAATCCATTTGATTCAATATGTGAAAAATTATCTTCAACTCCAAAATATACCGTTGGTTGTCATAATCATAAATTTTTACCAGGATTGGGTGAACAAGTTATTAATCCAAGAACCGGTAAAAAAGGTTATTCAATGAAGTTTTATAAAGAACCTAAAGGAACTGATAATAGAACACTTATTGATGATCATGATCTTGATTTGAGTAATTTTCATTTAGTTGATTATTATAATGATAAAGCAAAAGATGGTTTATATTATATTGATTTTGAATGTGAATTTACTCCTGATGAAACTGCTGAATATTTATTTGGATTGACTGTTGTTGGAACTGCACAGTTATTTATTGATGGTAAACTTGTAGTTGATAATAAAACTAAACAAACTAAAGGTGAATCATTTTTCAATTGTGGTACTATTGAAGAACAAGGATCTATGAAATTAATCAAGGATAAAACTTATAAAATTACTATTGAATTTGGTTCAGCTCCAACTTATACATTAGGTAATAAAGGTGCAGAATATTTTGGAGGTGGTATTAATCTTGGTATGATTAAAGTTATTGATGCTCAAAAAGAACTTGAACATGCTATAGAATTGGCTAAATCAGTTGATAAGGTTGTATTATGTGTTGGATTAAATGGTGAATGGGAAGCTGAATCATATGATCGTGAACATATGAAATTAGAAGGATTACAAGAAGAATTAATCACTAGTATAATTAAAGCAAATCCAAATACAATTATTGTTAATCAATCAGGTACACCAGTTGAATTCCCACAATTGGAAAATTATAAAAGTTTGATTCATTGTTGGTATGGGGGTAATGAAGCTGGTAATGCTATAGCTGATGTTTTATTTGGTGATGTCAATCCAAATGGGAAATTATCTTTAACTTTCCCAATTAGAGGTATTGATAATCCAACATATTTGAATTTTAAAACTGAAAGAGGTAGAGTATTGTATGGGGAAGATATATTTGTTGGTTATAGATATTATGAAAAGTTACAAAGAAAAGTTGCTTTCCCATTTGGTTTTGGTTTAAGTTATACTAAATTTGAAATGAAAAATTTACAAGTCGATGTTGTTGATAATGGTGACAATGTCAAGGTATCTGTTGAAGTGGCTAACATTGGTGATGTTGCTGGTTCAGAAGTTGTTCAAGTTTATGTTAGTAAATTAGAAACTGATGTCATTAGACCAGTTAAAGAATTGAAAGGTTTTGATAAAGTTGAATTAACACCAGGAGAATCCAAAACAGTTGAAATTGTTTTACCTATTAAATATTCAGTTGCTTTCTTTGATGAATATGCTGAAGAATGGTCTGTTCAATCAGGTGAATATCAAATCCTTGTTGGTAATTCAAGTGATAATACACCATTGATTGGTTCATTCAAAGTTGACAAGGATTACTTCTGGACTGGTTTGTAGTAGTAGTAATAATAATAATATACAAATGTTTGTTATTTCTTTCTATAATCAAAAAATAAAACTATACAAAATATTGTTTGATGGAGGATGTCTATTGATAATCAACCCATTCTTTAGGTTTTTCTAAACCCATTTTTTCATAATATTTCTTACCACAAGAATAACCTCTGAAAGTGAAATCTTTATCAGGATTACAATGACATTTATGGTCATATCTGAATTGAGAATTTAAAGGACATTGAGTATAAACACCATGTCTATAACCAACATCTTCAAAATAATGGATTTTATCTTTAGGTAAGAATAAACTAGCAGCAATGGAATGAATTGGAGCATCACCCCAACGTTCATAAAAGAAACCACCAGTTTTATCTAAATATTCAAAATATTTAGTATAAGCTTCACCTCTCCAAAAATTCAAATTAGCAATTTCGAAATTTGACCAGAAATGACATAAATTATAAGTTTCACCATTATCATCACTGATAAAATCCATGAAATTATCTTTAGCAATATATTGAGGATTTTCTTTAATGAATTTTTTAGTATGATCCCATAAAGTTTCAATAGTTTTTCTAAATTCATGAATTGAAATAGTGAAACCATAAACTTTATTATTATCTTCCATGTATTTGAATAAATCATAATCTAAATCACAATGAATATCAATACCTGGTTCAACTCTCCAATACCAATCATATTCATCTAATAATTCATTTCTCCAAAAGAATCCACTTTCAAATCGACACATATGTCTATAACTTTCAGAATCACCATAAATAATTTTAGCTAATTTCATATTCTTTCTAGTTTCTTCAGCTTTTTTCAAATCAATAAAATCAGGATATGACCAATGTTCAGTTGGAATCTTACCATATTTTGTTTTACCAGAAACTATAGAACTTGTTAAATCTTTAAATTCTTGAGTAAATTCTTTATCATTTAAGAAAACCCAATCATAATTGAATTTTCTATTAAATCTATCTTCAACTGTACGAATAGATTTAATTAAATCGTACAATTCTTCATTTCTTGCTAATGTAACAAATGTAGCTTTTATTCTTTTTGGTTTTTCTTCAGGAGTTGATTCCTTTGGTTTAACGGCCTTGGATGTTGATTCTTGTTCAACTTCAGCTTTGACTTCTTCATTTTTTTGATCTTTTTGTTCAGGTTCAGTTTTCAATTCTTCTGGTACTTTAACATTTTCAACTTGTGGTGGCTGAGCTTGTGATGGTTGCTGTTGCTGTTGTTGTTGTTGTTGAGTAGGAAGTGATGAAGTAATAGTAGTACTATGATGAGTTAATACATAAATAGTGACAACAGTCAATAATACAGCCAAATATTTAAGATATGGCAGTCTTGAACTAAGCATCATCTTTGATTATAAATTATATGTTGTCCTTGTCCTTGTCCTTGTCCTTGTCGTTGATGATGGTGAGAAAGATAAGATCTAATGTTGTGGTTGGAATAAGATTTTAAAGTTTTAAGATTTCCACCTCTGTTTCCAATTAGTTGAAATAATAAATACAAAAATGTGTTGATAATCCAGATCTTCTTCCTTTACTTCACCAGTATTTTTTTTATCCCAACAAATGATAGTTGTTGATACTTGATAATGATGTTGGTGTTCTTTTTGCTATTTTTATATAATTTCACAATTTTCTTCCAAAAATTGAAAAAAAAAAAAAAAAAGAAAAAAGAAATTCACCCTTTTGTGTGATTATGTAAGCACGACTAACTAAGTATCTTTTTTTTTTTGACTAGACCACCGGAATTTCTTTTCTTGTTTTCACTGAAATGAGCTTGCTGTGCTATCAATTGAGTGGTGAACACCTTGTAACGGAATATGGTCGACGTTGTTGGTTGTTTGATTCAATTGGTTTCATTGGTTATCTCTCTCTCTGTGAGTGTTTCATTGGTGGTATGTGATGGGCTTAGTAGGCGTGCGGATGGTGGTAGTGGTGGTGGTGGTGGGCGTGTCCGTGTTTACAAAACTGATTTTGTGGGTAATTGTGCATTTGTACACTACTACGGAAATATTTATTATTTTACAATTATACAAAACCCACCTTGGGGAAGATAGAGAGAGGAATAAAAGAATAGAATAGACTACAGCGTACACAATGAACAATAATGATGATTATTATTATAATTATTACTATTGTATGGAGTGTTGGTGGAGAAAATTATAATACAATCATATCTTGAGAGGGAAACTGTTCATCGTATCGCATGTGTGTAGAGAAAGTGTCATATCCCTTTCCACCTGGTTGAAACTTGAAGCAAGGGAGAAAATCACGGAAGAAAAACCGGCATTCGGTGAACAGTAGGAGAGAGGGAGAGAGGAAGAGGAAGAATAACAATTTATAATACTATAAAAAGGGCATAATTCCTTTCGGTGAAAGAACCTTCTTTTGCAAATTACAAACGTTCAAAGAATGTACAAAACCTGAAATAGTTCACAAAAAATTTTTTCAAGTCTCCCAATGTTAGAAATAAGCGCTGACGATGATGATAATGATGGTACACAAGAAAGTTGAGCTGAATTGAAAAGTTGATACGTGGTAACTTCTTCTTCTACGTCTTGTTGTTCTTCTCCGTGAAAAAATAAAAGAAAAAGAAAATACTCCCCTATGTAATATTGCCTAAGTTTCATCCCTTGCTTACGTTTAATAATAGAAACAATGAAAAGTTATCTCATAACCAAAGGAGTGAACAACTTCACTGAACATTGAACTCCTCCTATAACTAATGTGTTTCAGTACTGGTGAAAGATAGTATCATCATATCGCTCTTCTTTTGATATTCACCACTCGTATCTGAACAAACAGAATTCAATTACGTCGTTGTTCATCGTGTTAGTGTAATTATCTACATATTGTGTAATTATGTAATATCACCTGACTAATTATTTCAACTTCGTTTCCAATCGCCAGCAACTACAAATTTGAGATAAAGGATAATTTCATTTGTAATTCTTCCGATAAAATTCTGTTATGAAACAAGTTGCGGATGTTTTGATTAGCGACGAACCCTTTTCTGTAATCAATCAATCAATCGATGCACTGTTCATGTAAGGCGATATGATTGATTAATTAACTAATTAAAGGGTGTCGAAACGAAACAGGCAAACGTGAATTAAAATAAAATTAAAAAAATTTCATGTACAATTACACCGGACTCATGCATGGCCGCCACCACCACGACGCCATGAATCATAGGCCGAGAAACCAACAAAACTTGACCTGGATACATCGCCAACATCAAATTGATATCTAGTAGTGGTTGATAAACTTCATATTGTTGTTGTTTATACTAAAATGAACATCTCCACAATCACCAAGATTGAGTTTTTTGTAAGATGATCTTAATTTTCTAAATTTGTACTAAATTTGTACCAAATTATCACTAAAAACTCAGCTACAAAACAACTAATCGTACGAGTAATGAACAAAAAAAAATTTTAGTCAAATGATTAATGGACGATTTTCAAACGAACAAATTACTTATTAGTCTTGAAGTAGGAATAAGTATAGAGGATTCTACAGAATTAACAACCAGTTTATGGGATTAATAAATAACAATAAATAAAACATATATTAACACAATTGCTAAATCATATGATTATCGTTAGTAGAATACATTGGGTTGGTAAAAACACCAAACCCAATACAGTTGTTAGAACCTTACAACAAATCATATGGCAGCCCCGCCAGAAATATACAAAAGAAATAAAGTGTGTGTTTACTTATTGACTAAATTCATATATTTTGTTGGGGACGAGTCATAGATCGTTTGAAGTGGACTGGCAATTAGACTTAGAAACTCCAATTGATTTCATGTCGGACACTTTTCAACATAAAAAAAATATATAAAAAACTGTAGGGAAAAATCCATCTCCTTAAATAGTTGGGGGATCTGGACAATAACTATAGTGTAAAAAAAAAGGACACACTGTCCGGTTCTATTCTACTCATGCTTTGTGTTAAGTAATATCATGAGATGATCTAACGTCTTCTATTTCACACAAAAGAGTAAGTCACGTGTTGACCATTTAGGTGTATTAGTAAAGCGGAATTTGCAAACTAATTGGGATTTTTATCCCGTGGCCGAATTGGATTTGACTTTTGCATTCGTGTGAAAGTCGCCGGTTCGGAACTTGTCAAATTTAAAATTACAGAGAAAATTAGCATTTCCCCTGCATAAGGACGGAACGCTTTACAAAGAGATTTACAACATTTTTTTTTTTGCCTTACCTTGCTTTAGCCATTACAGATGATAGGATAATATTATCCATTATTGGCTCATGGTTAATTGTAGAGTCATGTAGTACGGTCATTGCTGGATATTGATGGTTATGATAAGTGATTTTGATTATCGGCGGAAGTAACGCGATAGAAAAAAAAAATAAATTATAAACACACAAAGAAAAAAAAAACAAAAATTTATACAAACTGACGATATCTACCATCAATAAACAAGCCACCATATGGGCATTCACAATTAGTTATGTTATCGTTTAAAGAGGATAACGATGATATACCACCCAAATCACATTCTACATTTATACAAGACGAAGAAGACAATGATAACCAACAGGAGGATGTGAGCCAATTACATGCATTTGAGGAATCACAAATCAGAAAGATAATCTCAGATAGATATAATAATGATCCAATAAATCTAATCAGACAATTACTGAAAGATTTGCAAAATAAACAAAATGAATTGCTACGGCTTAAGGAAGAGATAGGAGATGAGTCAGATGATGATGATGATGAATTTATATTGGATAATGAATTAGAATCAATTAAGAATTGGGATAATGATAATAATGAAAATACTACTAATACCAAAGAAGATAGTTTTGAAAATTATTCAATTATTGAGAATTCACAAGAATTACCACTTGAATTACAAAGTATTAAAAGGAAGAAATCAAAATTAATAATTTTACCAATTTATAATCATCAAGATTTAGAAATTGATAAATATGGATTCATTAAAAAAATAAGAAAACCTTCAACTAGTAGGATACTGTCAGAGAACAAATCAAGAAATAAGAATAATAGATGTCATGATAACGACGATTCATCTAGTGAATCTATTGGGATATTAATTAATGAAAATAATGAATCTAGATTAATTAGTCAATTAAAACAAATATCTCAAATTCATGATGATGCAAATTTATATTTTGATAAGAAATGGGATATTTTAATTAAGGATATCAAGTACTATTTTATGTTTGATAATAATACTAGTAGGAATAAACAAGATATACCAAGTTTAGGTATTAGAGGAGTTAATTTAAATCATTATTATTTCCCATTTGTAAATTTAATTAATCAATTTGGTATTCCTTTAAGATATAGATATTTATGGTTAGATTTATCAGGATCTAATGATATTCGAATTAATGGAGAATATCAAGAATTAGTAACCATTGATAAAACAACAATTACTCCTAAAATCAAAAAATTCATTGAAGAAATTGAATTAGATTTACATCGCACATTACCTTCAAATTATTATTTTAATAACATATTTGAATTCAAACCAGGTGTTTATTTTTATAAACTTCAAAGGATATTGTATGCTTTTGTTAAGAAATTCCCCAATATTGGATATGTTCAAGGAATGAATAAAATCATTGGTACTTTATTATTAGGTATAACTGATGGAGATGAAGAAGATGTATTTTGGTTATTTATTTCATTAATTGAAGAAATATTACCAAAATATAATGAATCAACTAGTTTTTTCAATTCAATATCTCAAATTCATCAAGAAAATGTTAAATTGAAAGATTTATTACTGTTGATAATACCTGATTTATATAAGCATTTTATTAAACTTGATGTTGAAATTGAATTAATTACAATGAATTGGTGGTTAACTTTATTTATTGATTTAAAATTAATTAATTTAGATGATTGGTTTAAAATTTTCGATAATTTATTAATTGGTGATCAATTTTTATTCTTACCTTGTTTTACTTTATCTATTTTGAAAACTTTAGAATCTAGTTTATTGAAATTGCAAAGTAATGATGAAATTTATAAATTTTTAAATATGAATAATTATCAAGATAATAATAATCATCATGTTGATCATCATGATGATATTAATATTGGGTTTGGAATTCAATATAATTTGAAATTTCATGAATTGATGAAACATTATTTAAATTATTCAAGAAGGAAAGAAATATCTGATGTCTTTTTGAACCCTGTCACATGATCTAATCACATGATATGTTATATCATGATATGAAATGAATATGCCCAGAGTTAGCCCTAGTTTTATTTATATATATATTTATATAATTGTATTTACATGGTATACAAATAGTAACTATAACTATAACTATAATAATGAAAATAATAATAATAAAAAAAAACTTTGAAAATGAATAAATAATCAGAAATTCAAGTAAGAAAAAAAAAAATAATAATAAATAATTATCAAATAAATAAACGTAAATTGAAATTCAATATTCACTCACATACAATTCCAATATTAAAATACTTCACTTATAACATCAGATGCTTCTCTATAAGTTTTCAATAATTCCAAACATTTTTCACGTTCAGCTTGAATACCTTCATCTTCTTTTAATAAATCTTCAAATAAATTCTCATTATATAATTTAACAACTAATCTATTTTGAATATGTTGTTTAACATGATTAACCAATAAACACATGATTGCTTTTGGTACTTGATCTTGAATAGTTTCTCTAACAATACTAAAATATGAAATAATTAATCTTCTAATTAATTCACATTCCATTTGTTCTCTTTCACTTAATTCATGTATAGTTTCATCACTTTCAAATGATGATTCATTAGATTCAGATAATGACATTTTATTATTAAAATCATTAACAATAACATGTGATGACACATTTATATTTGGTGTTGCTCCTCCATTAATATAATTAGTATTGAATTGTAAAGATGATGATTCTTGTGGTGGTGGGAATTTAAATGGTGTTGGATTTAATTGTGCTTGTGTTTGTAAATGTTGATGAACAACATTTGGATCTTTACCAAGGAAATAATTCAAATATGATTCTTGATGATTAAGTTGCTGTTGTTGTTGTTGTTGTTGATGGTGTGAGTTTGAAGATTCAGATTTGACTGAATGAGAAACATTACGTTTATGACTATTTGGAAGTTCTTCATCAATTGATTTAATATCGGCTTCAAGATCTTGTATTTTACCTTCCTCTTCTTCATCTTCTCCTTCTCCTTCTTCCTCTACACCTTTTTCTAATATTCTCTTTGATGCTAATCTTAAACGACTATTCAGTTCCATTTGTTTTTGTTTTTCACGTTCAGCAACAACAATGCTCATTGCTTTAGCAGCACCAACAAAATTTGGATGATTGGTGTTGATATAAGCTTTATTAATTTCAATTAATGATTCAACATACTTAATAGTTGGACCCAATCTTTCTCTTAATAAATCACTAACAACTTCAATCAATTTACTTTGTAATCTAGGATATCTATTCATTTCAGTTGAAATATCTGATGAGCAAACATTATGAACAATCTTCATCAATTCTTCATAAACTAATTCAACACATCTATGGGAAGGGTCTTCTAATAATTTAATTTGGGGTTTAACTAAAATATCAAAGGCCAATTCTGGAACAAATAATGAAGGTCTAGGTCCAGTTGAATTTCTAATTGCTGTTCTAATATCATTAATTGATAAATTATGGGTTGGATTAATTGACGCCAATTGTGATCCAAATATTTCATTATAAATATAATAAATTCTTGCCCCTCCACACAATTCTTTGGTGGCAATTTCATTAACTGTTGAACCTTCAATAGAACCAACAAATGAATTGGCAAATTTGGTCATTAATGCAAGTACAGTAGCTCCATGTGATTCTTTTGAATTGCCGAAATCTGGAATATCTCCATAAGATGCCAATTCCTGTTCAGTTTGTCCAATCAATGTATTTAATTTTGCTTTAATATCTGGTAATCTATCTCTAATATGATTCATTAAAATTTTATTTAAAGTTTGGGCCAAGTATTTAGTACCACATTTACTAGCAATAATTCTATAAGCAGGATGATTGATGAAAAATTGTTGTTCTGCCCATAATGATTCTTCTAATGACTTATTTTCAGAAATATCTTGTTGTGAACGATTAACAATACCAATAAATCCCAATTTCAATGGATAGACATTACCTTTTAAAATATCTAAAGCATTTGTACCTTGGTCCATTAAATCAATTTTAGTTAAAACACCAATAGTACGTTTACCAGTAGGATCAACCTGTCTTGCTAATTTAAGTGATTCAGAGTTAACCAAATCAACATTTGCTGGCGAAACAGCTAAAATTATACAATTTTGTTTTGAAATATATTCCAAAATCAAGTTTCTAGTTTGTCTTTCAATATCAGTTGGTTGATCTCCAATAGGAATTTTGGTTAAACCTGGCAAATCAACTAAAGTTAAATTTAAAACATTTGGACTGTAAATTTTAAGATTTATAGGTAATCTACTAATACCTTTATTTTGTCCAGCAATTCTAGCAGTTTCTGATTCAATTTCTCTTCTAATATCATGGAAATCATAAAATCTTTTATTTGGAATATGTAAAAATTCACCCCATTCAGCAGGTGGTTTCTTGTTTTTGGTATTACTACCGCCATTCATTTTTCTTAAATGGTCTTCTAAATTAATTTCCTCCAGAGAATCAGAATACGATTGATCTTCTTGTGCAGGTGGTTTTGGTGGGACTTTGGTAACAATGGGATCATTTTCGTTAACGTTGATTAATTGTAAAACTAAAGGTCTTCTAGTAACAATCCCAGTACCTCTTGGTAAGAAATCTTTACCAACAATGTTTTCTAAAACAGAAGATTTCCCACATGATTGTGATCCCACTACTGCTAAAATTGGCAAATCGATATCTGCCAACAGGGTAGTGGCAACGATATCTTGAAGTTTATTAACAACAGGGATAAGATCTTGAAATGACATTCTACTTCTTCTCCATACACACAATCACGATGGTTGTAAAAGAACAAATATGAAAAACCAGTGGGTTGTAAAAAAAAAAAAAAAAACAAAAATGAAAAAGGCAAACAAGTGTTTTAGAAATTTCTTTGGTAAAAAAAAAAGTTTTCCAAAATTTTCTATTGAGTGGCCAATTAAAAAAATTGTTTACCTTTACTTGAAATTGCTGTAAACACAATGAGCAACTTAATCCAATGAAATTTCACTACACAAGTTTTAACCACCTGTCTAAATATAATGATGGTTGCTAAATGCCGAGTGGGTGGTTCATTCAGCTACAGGTAGAGTTAATCTATCAAAGACTACACCAGTGGTCAATCATCATCAAATTGGGATGACACGATAATTTGTCTCATTGATAATAATAAAAAAAATAAATCTTACAACACATGTACAGCAGCAGCAGCAACAATCATCAAACAGCAACCAAAAAAAAAAAAAATAAGTGGGGAGGAGGAGGGTGTCACGTGGCAAATATACACTGACACAATCATAAAAGAGTCAATAACTAGTTTATTTCTTTGATGTATATTAATAACCTTACTTGATCTTATCAAATAATAACCTTACCTTTGATTCAACCAATCATCAATAAATGTTATCATTGTTTTGACGAGTAGATTGGACTGTTCCCATGGCTTCACTTTTTTACATAGTGTAAACAAACCAAAAAAAAAAAGTTTGAACCGGTCGCGTCAAAACCAAAATAGTGAGCAATAGTACACGACCGCGTACTGTCAAGTTTTTTTATTCTTTTTTTTTTTTTCGTTTCTTCGTTCGTTGGCGGTGTGCAAGTGGGCGGGAAATTTTTCAAAACCACACTCTGTCTTCTTGAGGAGAGTAGTCTACTGTATCAACCAACCATCTAGCATCTACTACACAATATTTAATACAATGTGGAAATTTTTGGCTATCATTGGACTTATATTTTCCTATTGTAGTGCACAATTATTGGATTCATTATCATTTGACAATAACTGGATAAATACTCACTATATTCGTACAATTGATCTTTCCAAAGGATTTGTTAAAGAAACTGATTTAATTCAAATTAAAAATATAAATGATAAACCTCAAAATGAATATTATTTTGTTGTTAATGATGGATTTGATAGTATCGATGAATTGAGTGTTTTCACTGCCTTTGTTGATGATAAAGTATTAGAAATTAAAATTGATGAAGTTATTCCTGATAAAGTTTATAAATTAATTTTACCAGTTCCAATTGCTCCAAATTCTGATGTTGAATTGAAAATTAATTATGTCTATATTGATAGTTTAATCAGTATTCCAAGTAAAATTTCAATGGATTCAACTCAACAATTGTTGTATAAAACTAATAAATTCCCATTCTCACCTTATGTAACCCAAGAATATACTTTGGCACTTTCTGGTATGTCAAAGGGTCAAGAAATGGAATTACATATTGATGTTGATGAAACTCCTGGTTTACCTACATTAAAACCAAGAGTTGATGATCAAGTTTTAAAATATGGTCCAATTGCTGAAGATATCCCAGCATTTGCTTTAAAACCAATGGGTTTGATGTATGATCATAATCGTCCGTTAACTAAAGCTGTCAGTTTGAATAGATCTATTTGGTTACCTGCTTCTGACATCAATAAAGTTTCAATTGAAGAATATTATGAATTGACTAATACTGGTGCTGAATTAGATAAAGGATTCTCCAGAGTTGATTGGATGAAAGGTAGATATGAAGGGGTTAGAAACCATTGGGCGTTAAGTCATTTGGAATTTCCTTTATTAGACAGAGCTTTTGATGATTATTATTATACCGATAAAGTTGGTGTTGTTTCTACTCACAAGATCTTCAAGAATCATTTATTATTACAACCAAGATATCCAATTTTCGGTGGTTGGAAATATAATTTCACTCTTGGATGGTCTGAAGATTTATCTAAGTTTGTTCATAAATTACACGGGGAAGAAAATCAAGATGAATATATTATTAAATTCCCTATTTTGAATTCATTAAGAGATGTTACTTATGAAGATGTTTATTTAGAATTTTATTTACCAGAAAATGCCGAATTCCAAAATGTTTCATCCCCAATTCCATTTGAATCCATTAGTATTGAAAATGAATTATCTTATTTGGATGTTTCAAAAGGTCATACTAAAGTCACGGTACATTATAAGAATTTATTTGATGATTTGCATAAATTGGATGTTTTTGTTAAATATCAATACACTCAAGTTGCTTTCATTTACAAGATTGCCAAAATTTCCGGATTTGTATTTTTGGGATTAATTAGTTATTATTTGTTAGGATTACTTGATCTTTCTATTTAATAGAGTATTTTTGTTTTAATTCATTCAATTGTTCTTGTCTTAATTCCATCTCTTGTTGATTAATCTTTGATTTATCTATTTGATACATTGAAGTTATGATATATCTTCCATTAAAATTAACACCATTTAATTCTTGAGCTGCCCTTTGAGCATTTATTAGATTTTTATAGATAATAAAACAAGTACCTGGTTGTGATGAATTTGTACGAATTTGATGAATATTTCCATATTTGCCAAAAAATTCAAATAACTCTAAATTAGATGTTCCAAATGGATAATTCTTTACATGAACTATAGGAAAATCATTTCTTGACGACGACATGATTAGTTGATATTGTTATTGACTCTAATATTGATGTATATTTGTTGTCTACAGATGAATTTTTTTTTTGCTATTTTTTTTTTTCAAGTGGTTTGTCCGTCAATCAATCCTTTATGGTTGTAATTGTCACACTACGTTTTTTAGAGGACCAACTTTTATAAGCAAATCCAGCAACCATCAACAAAAGTCCAATGAATAAATAACGATAAATAGAAGTAGGTCCTTGAATTATTTCTTGTTCTTGCTCATCATCTGTAGTTTCATCTTTAATTTCATCTTGTTGTGAATTTGTAGAATCTTGTAATTGATCAGATTTACTAGCCGTTTGAATATCACTTATAATGACAGGTTCCAATGGACTTGAATCTGATACTTCAACATTACTGATTTTTTCTAAAGTATCAAATCCTCCAATCAATTGACCAAATACAACATGTTTACCGTCTAACCAACTAGTTTTATCAACATTAGTAATGAAAAATTGTCCTCCATTGGTATTTGGTCCAGCATTTGCCATAGATAATCTACCTAATTTATCATGTTTTAATATAAAGTTTTCATCATTAAATCTATCTCCATAAATCAGTTTACCCCCATTACCTTGGAAAATACCTCCTTGAATCATAAAATTATTAATTATTCTATGAAAACCTGAATCTTTATATCCGTATCCATAAGTCATAGCTGATAATTGATAAAAATTTTCAACTGTTTCAGGACATGTTTCTCCAAATAATGCAAGAGTTAAATCTCCTAATATAACATTACCATGTTTAACTGTAAAAATAACTTTATGTGTAACAGCTGGATCTCCTTCTAAATAACTTTGTTCACTTTTAGATAATTGAAATTTTGTAGTTGGAATAACTGAAGAAACTACTAAATTAATGAATAGTAATATATGAAATAAATACATTGCAAAAAGTTGGTTATTAAATATGAACAAAAACACAATTTCAGTAAGGATAATACTCCTCTTTATATATACTTTTAAAGTAAATCACCCTTTGTCCAATTTTTAGAATGATATCAGGGAGAATTTTTAAATTCCTGAATCTAACACTTAAGCAATTAACAACGAACAAAAAAAATCCAATCAATTCCGAGGGATGTTAGTCACGTGGAAAGTACCGGAAGTTGATCTTTTCAAAACGAAAGAGAAAAACTGGAAGAAGAAGAAGAAGGAAAAAAAAAAACTTAGTGGCGACGAGAAATCAAATATTTCGCCTGGCACTAATTACAACAAACTACTTCACTAATCACTTATATTTACAACAATTATTACTCACAATGGATTCAATTAATGTTGATATTAATCACTTGAAAAAAGGTGAAGTCAATTTGGGTACATCGATTATGGCAGTTAAATTTGATAAAGGAGTTATTCTCGCTGCTGATTCTCGTACTACAACAGGTACTTATATTGCTAATAGAGTTACTGATAAACTTACTCAAATACATGATACAATTTATTGTTGTCGTTCTGGATCAGCAGCTGATACCCAAGCAATTGCTGATATAGTCAAATATTATCTTCAACTTTATTCAAGTCAATTGCCAAATGGTGAACAACCAGAAACTAAAATTGCTGCTAATGTATTTCAAGAATTATGTTATAATAATAAAGATAATTTAACTGCTGGTATTATTGTTGCTGGTTATGACAAGAAAACTGATAGTGGTTCAGTTTTTTCAGTTCCTATTGGTGGTAGTATACATGAATCAGAATATGCTATTGTAGGTAGTGGTTCAACTTATATTTATGGTTTATGTGATAAAAATTTCAAATCTGGTATGTCAAAAGAAGATGCTGTTGAATTTGTTATTCAAGCTTTAACAGAGGCTAAGAAATTCGATGGTTCTTCTGGTGGTGTCACACGTATGATTATTGCCACCTCTGAAGGTGTTGAAAGAAAATTCATTGTATAGAATTTGAAATGAATATTAGATAAATGACAGGAATATGATTCACACTTGTGAGTTATTGTAGTGGTGTATTAATAGTGAAGAAAGACAATTACCAGTGTTACTCCAAAGGAAGCGTTAAATCAACTGGATTGATGAATTACATATACTCTACCAACTACGATATTTAAATCTTAATATATATTAATACAACACCTACTTCTTTGAACTATTTCTTCTAATTTCTTCAGCTTTCTTAACCACTTTAGGTAAATGTCTATGATTAGCAATTCTTCTAATTTCAGGCATGTATTGATATCTTTCTTTCAATTTATCATCATATTCCAACTTAGCTCTTTCTCTAGCTGATTTAACTGCACTTCTTTGATCTGATCTAGCTCTCCACACACGTATACTTGTATCTTCGGAACCAGACAATATGTACTTACTATCAGTTGTAAACATCACAGCTGATACTCTTTGCATTCTCTTGGTATGATAAACATCACGAGATCTTCCATTCAATGCCGGGAAAATTCTAATAGTTTTATCCCAACTTCCTGTGACTAATTCTTGACCTGTTGGGGAATAATCCACTGACATAACCGGTGCAACATGCCCCTTGTATGTTTTCTTTGGTTTTTCCATCTTTCTCATATCCCAACTATAAGCATTAGTATCATCACAAGCAGATGCAAAGTTGAAAGGTTCCATAGGGTTGAAACACAAGGCATTGTTTCTTAAACTTGTCACGGCTTTATGAACTGGTGTGTTTGTTCTGATATCATATAATACAATGGAATTATCCGAACCTGTACTTGCTATTATATTAGTTTCACTTTGATTGAATTTAACAGTATTGATATTATCACATCCCCAACTTAAATTGGAGATATATTTAGAACGGTTAATATCCCATAATTGGATAGCTGCACCACCAGTGACAAATAAATCATCCTCACGATGATGATCAATGCCTTTGAATGAATGTTCACCAATAAATGTTTTAATCAACCCACCACTTGTCTTACTACCACCACCAGTTGTTCGAGATCCTTTATTAGTGTAAACTTCATCATCGTTGATCTTGTGGTCAAAATCATCGGTGTTCACTGACCAAACTTTAACGGTTTTATCATCACCACAACTAAACATTTGATTATTATGTATACAAATCCCACTAACCATACCATAATGGGCTTTAAAACTAGCGGTTTCTAAACGATCAGTTAAATTCCAATATTTGATTATACCATCACCTGAACTACTTGCTACTTGATTAGTAGTATTATAATTCTTAGATAATCCATAAACTCCATCACGATGTCCATCACCTAATTGACCAACAAATGGTTGAGCAAATATACGTTCAAGTTTAGTTGCTTGTAATGCTCTAGTATATTCTCTTGCACGTTCAAATGGATGTAATGCTGGGTTTAAGTTACGTGGAAGAGCTGATTCTTGAGTGTTCTTAACTGGAACATATGTATCTGATGATCTACTAATCGTTTTTATCTTCATTGCTAGGTGGTTAGTTGGTTGGTTGGTTGGTTGGTTGTTGTTGTAGAAGAGATAACCTCATCGGGGGAGAAAATTGATTGTGAATAATTTTTTTTTTTTCACGAGTGTAAAGATCGTTGCAGTTGCTGCGATAACAGAATGACAATACTCTACAAAATTCTTACATATGAGAACTTCTATTACATAAACTAGTACATTATTATA